TTAGCTCGATTTCAGTTCAGTTTCAATTTTACTTTCAGAAATTCGAAGAAATGAGAAGATTCAGTCTGGTGACCAGTTCCGAATCGTCACCTGAGCTGGATCTATGCCTCATAGCAGATGGTGAATATAGAATGCCCAAAAAGTGTTACTGCGGTGGAGCCGTTTTCACCGAGACATCCTACACCTCAATCGATCCTGGGAGGCGATACTTCACTTGTCGCAATCGTGATGTGAGTTTAGTAGATTGCATAATTACTAGATCATATTTCTGGGAAAAATAGAAGAATATTTATGATAATTCTTGGGTATTTTTGTGTAGAATGAAGGGTATCATATTCGGAAATGGTGGGATTTTGTGGTAGATGAGGAAATAGAAATCCTACATCATCAGATTACTAGTCTGAAGGAGAAAATCCAGAACAACTTCACAACTGGAATTCGCGCTGAAAAAGCTATTGCAGAGCTGAAGCAAGGACAGGTTCAGAACGAGGAGCTGATTGCAAAGCTGGAGATGCTTATTCAGACGAACAAGAAGAAAATCAGTGTGGAGATGACATTTGGGATAGCAGTACTTGTGCTTCTACTTAGTTTGATTATAATCTTTTTTAAGTAAGTGGATTGTTCTTCTTATTTTAAGACTTTGATGATGTTATTTGCTTTCGGATGAAGATCCTCTAATTTTCAAACTTTGGAAGAGGTCTTCAAGTTTTAAATCAGTCGAACTACGTATTTCAGTTGAACATCGTCATTTATGTCAATTATTAATCCTGTTGAAACTGAGTTGAACCTAGAAAAACCAGGTTGAACGGTACAACTCAGTAAGTCGAACCTTGTATTTCAGTTGTACATCGTTATTTATGTCAATTATTAATCCTGTTAAAACTGAGTTGAACCTAGAAAAACCAGGTTGAACGGTATAACTCAGTCAGTCGAACCTTGTAATTCAGTTGTACATCGTCATTTATGTCAATTATTAATCCTGTTAAAACTGAGTTGAACCTAGAAAAACCAGGTTGAACGGTACAACTCAGTCAGTCGAACCTTGTAATTCAGTTGTACCTAGTTACTTATGTAATGTTTAACCTGTGAAAACTGAGTTGAACCTAGAAAAACCAAGTTGAACGGTACAACTCATTCAGTCGAACCTTGTAATTTAGGTGTACCTAGTTAAACTTACTCAGTCGACCTTTAAAAACCCAGTTGTACTTAAAAAAACCAACTAAATCCAAGTACACACCAACAACAAGCCAAGTAGTTAAGTTTTTAAAACAACACCAAACAAGTTCATAAAAAAACACTAAACAAGTTCATAAAAAAACACCAACAACAATCCAACATCTCATTTTTCTTCAATGTTTGGCCTTTTTCTTTTTTCCTTTCGTCTTCTCCTTGCCTCTTCTTTTTTTTCTGCTTCTCACCAGCGTCAGATGGAGTGTAACAAGAAGGTGCTCTTGTTTTTCTTTTACTGGATTTTCGTTTCTTTTTCGGCTCCTCCTCTTTATCTCCACCTTCTCCCTCTTCATCCGCTCTATGCTCCCCCTCTTTATCTCCCTCTTCATCCGCTCCATGCTCCCCCTCTTTATCTCCCTCTTCATCTGCTCCATGCTCCTCATCCCCTTTATCTCCAGCTTTTCCTCCTAATATAAACATATTTTTATGAACAACAACAAAAAACAATTGATCCATCAGAGTAGAACTAATGTATTACCTTTGCTGGTGTTTCCTTTGTTTCGCTGTTCCATCACAAAACTTTCAACATTCTTCAGTCTCTCATCAAAACCAAAAACCACTTCCTGAAGTTCTTTTACCAAATTCCCCATCGTCACCACCGATTGGATCATCTGTTGAAGTATTGGTGTAACGGTGTCAGGTTCTTCTCTGCGCTCTTCTCTTGGTTCTTCTCTTGATTCTTCTCTAGGGACATTCGCAGTTCCACCTCTACCTGCCAAGTCCGTTTCATACAAATCTCTCCACCATATCTTCTTTCCTTTTGCAATTAGATGGTCTTTCCAAGAGTCAACGATTGGATCAATAAAGCCTATCCCATCATCACAACCAGGCTCTACGATGTGATCCATAAGAGCTTCCTCGCCCGAGTCAGATTCCAAAATGCTAATGATATCCTGTGAATTTTGGATAATGAAAATCAACACATTTGTAAATTTAAAAACCAAACAAATATCAAATACAATCGTCGACAATCTCACCCTAGTTCTTCCAATGGTCTCGTTAATGTCTTCCAAAGGAAAACCTTTCATGGAACCCTCGGCAAACTTGTGCTTACACAATCGTGGACAGTCCTTCTCAGGTGGAACAACATATACTCGAAATTTGCATCCCAACGCAGGAATACACTCAAATGCAAAAGCCTACACATAAAGTTACAATATCACAATATTATTTTCTACAAAGTAATAATTTGAAACCATTGGTAAGAGTTGGTTACCTCCAAAGGAAGAATGAAACCAGAAAAGATCCATGAATATTTGTCTCTCACGATGCCGTTCTTGAACTTCTTCATCTTCTCCCTCACCTCAACCATACAATCATCAAATGTGTAACGCCCCCATGGGAATGTTTTACACAATCCCAAATCATCAACAATCTTAAGAAAGAACGGCTCTATGTTTCCTGCAACCTTAGACTTTGCTTTCAAAACAGTGGATAAGAAATACACGACAACCATCTTCTTCTTGTCCACACCGCTCCGCAATGACTCGAGTTTCTCTCCCACATCTGCGATTGTTATGTTCACTTTCCTTCCAAAAATCTTCTCCACAAACTTAAAATCCCCATTTTTCTTATCCTTTAATTCTTCATAGTTGCTCGGGTAGTCATGGCAGTCCAACCCACATAACAGAGCATGCTCTCTTATGGAATATCTAATAGGAACTCCATTAACCACAAACCACAGCTCATTCATCGAATCTGTACAAGCTTGATGAAGTAGCAGCATCCACATGCCCATAGGCTTTCGGTTTGGCTCCTCCTCCATGTGAAAAATATGCTTAAACTAAGGGTGAGCTGTGAACCACTTCAATTCAGTTGGAAACTGCTTTATCATGTTCACTGTATCCTTCACACTACACCTCGATCCTATCTTACAAGCCTTGCTATATTGCTCTGGACCGAAGTAAAACTTCTCTGGTTGCAGTGGTGTACTATAATCCTCGTTATCCTGTGAATTCAAACTCAGATTTAATAAACCGTTAAAATAAATAAATACTTACTCGAACCTAGTTGAACCTAATATATATAGTTGAACCAAGCAAGCTGAACATAGTTGAACCAAGCAAGCGCAGTTGAACCTAACATACATTAGAGATACTAATGTAGTAGAACCTAGAAAACATAGTTGAACTTAACCAATCAAGCGTAGTTGAACTTCAAACATCTAGTTGAACAAAGCCTACATAGTTGAACCTAGAAATACGTAGTTGAACCTAGCAATACCTAGTTGAACCTAGCAAGCGCAGTTGAACCTAACATACATTGAAGACACTAATGTAGTTGAACCTAGAAAACATAGTTGAACTTAACCAATCAAGCGTAGTTGAACTTTAAACATCTAGTTGAACAAAGCCTACATAGTTGGACCTAGCAATACTTAGTTGAACCTAGCAAGTGCAGTTGAACCTAACATTCATTGAAGATACTAATATAGTTGAACCTAGAAAACATAGTTAAACACCAAAATACTACTGACTTTTACCATTTGTCCAATAAAGTACACACAACACAAAATCATTGTCAATTTTCAGTCTAAAAATAAGCAAATGCATATGTATATGTATCTGTAAACGATACCTGGCCAGACACATTCTCTTCTTGTTGTTCATAGCCAGACACATTCTCTTTCTCTTGTTCGTGGCGAGACACATTCTCTTCCTCTTGTTCTTCGTCTAACACATTATCTTCCTCTTCTTGTTGGCCAGACACATTTTGCTCCATATTCTCTTGCTCTTCTTCTTGGCCATACACATTCTGCTCCACATTCTCTTGCTCTTTTTCTTGACCAGACACATTTTCTTCATCATTGTTTTTTGTGGATTCCCTCCCTTCATCTGGAGTTTGGGTTTTTTTTCTGGTTCTGGAGTTGAGGGACTCTCTTCACTTATTTTGGGATTCATCCGATTGATTGAAGGAGACACCACTTCCGGGGGATTCTCGGAATTGATTGCAGGAGGCACCACTTCAGGAACTTTCTCTACTTCTTCTGTTCCTTCTTCCATTAGTGCTTCTGTAGTTGCTGGAGCCGGAGGATTCTCAGAATTGATTACAAGAGGCACCATTTCGGGAACTTTATCCACTTCTTCCGTTTTTTCTTCCATTGGCCCTTCTGTGTTTGCTGGAGTAGGAGGATTCTCGGAATTGATTGCAGGAGGCACCACTTCGGGAACTTTCTCCACTTCTTCGGTTCCTTTTATTGGTGTTGGAGCATTCGTTCCCGTTGCTGCTGTGTCAGTTTCAGGAGGAAGTGGAGGACCGGTTCCTGCTTCTGATGGAGGAACAACTTTGGCAGGTTCTGATTCTCTTGCCAAGTTTTCATTTCGTTGACCTCTTCTGGTTTCGTATACCCTGTTAGCAAATTTCACTTTAACCATATCTGATAAATCAAATCAAAAGAAGAGAGAAAAAGAGAGATGAAGAGGGTTGACGGAAATGGATGAAAAGAGAGATAGGAAGAGAAGTATAAAATTCGAGATGAAAAAAGGAGGAGGAAAGAAAAGACGAATCAAACTCAGTTTATAGTCTCACGGTTTCCTCACGGAAACAGGGAATCGGAGAGAAAGAAGATGAATGAATCGATTTAAAATTTCTGTAAATTTAGAAAACTAGGGTTTTTTATTGGATCCGAGTTTGTATGGGCAAAACTCAAGTTGGGTTTGTAATTCTAAATTTTTTTTAAAGATAAAGTTAGATTTGCACACTTTTTATATTAAAAATAAATTGAAAATAAATTAATTATTATAATAGTGGTATACTAGATTGAAATTTGAGTAAGAGTGGCATTTCAGCCATTGTTCCCGTGAGCTAAACTCTCCATTTTCGTCTTCTTTTCAAGCATTTCGTGCTTTTGTTTTCCTCTGTAATCTGTAGCTGCCGGATTTTCAAAGGTTTTGGGGTTCTCTACAGAAATGGGTCCTTCAGAAACGGAAAGTGATAGCAGAGGTTTTCAAAACCCAGATTGGGAAACCGAGTTTCATCGCTTCGAACAGGCGATATCGTCTGGTCCGGCTTCAATTCGCGTAAGGTCCCTTATAAAGTTATCAGATTTAGCGAATCGAGTACCCGAGAGTGTTCTATCCCGTGCAATCCCAATCCTCGCCCGTCTTCTTCGTGTCACCGACGATCCCAATCGCTCCGTTCAAGCTGCCGCCGCTCATTGCTTGAAACGCATCGCCTGTCGCGGCGGCGAAGAGAGCGGATTCGCGGTGATGATGGGGAGGTCCGGTGTGATTGCCGGCTTGTTAGGGTTGTTATTTGAGGCGAATACTAATGGTAATGCGTTCCGAAGGTTTTGGGTGAAATGTTTGTGGAGTTTGGTTACTTTTGGATCTTCGATTCGAATTGGATTGGCTAGGTTAGGCGGTTTAGAGATTGTGATTCGCGAGTTGAATACCTGGGAAGACGATTCGAGTAGGTGGTACCTGTTAGAGATCCTTAGTGCCTTGACGACAATACGAGAGAGCAGACGCGTCCTTGTTCATAACGGAGGGCTAAAGTTTCTTGTAGAAGCGGTTAAAGTTGGGAACTTGGCGTCAAGAGAGAGAGCCTGCCATGCAATCGGATTGACCGGTACGACTAGACGAGCCCGGCGAATGCTGGTTGAAGCAGGAGTGATTCCAGCACTTGTGGATCTGTTTCGAGATGGAGATAATAACGCAAAGCTCTTAGCTGGTAATTCCTTAGGGATCATATCGGCTCAGACCGAGTACATTAGGACTGCCACTGAAGCTGGTGCCATTCCTCTGTACGTCGAGCTTCTCTCTGGAGAAGATCCGCTGGGGAAAGATATCGCAGAGGATGTGTTCTGCGTGCTAGCTGTAGCTGAGGGCAATGCTGTTTCGATAGCGGAACAGCTTGTGAGGATCTTGAGAGAAGGTGATGACGAAGCCAAGCTTGCGGCTTCTGATGTGTTATGGGATCTTGCCGGTTATAGGCATTCTGTATCTGTGATTAGAGACTCTGGAGCGATTCCTTTGCTTATCGAGCTTGTGAGAGATGGGTCCATTGAGTTCAAGGAGAGGATCTCTGGAGCTATTTCTCAGTTGAGTTACAACGAGGACGACCGTGAGGCGTTTTCTGATTCTGGTATGATACCGGTTCTGATTGGATGGTTGGCCGATGAGTCGGAAGAGATTAGGGATAATGCAGCCGAGGCACTCATTAATTTCTCTGAAGACCGAGAGCATTATGCTAGAGTCCGTGAGGCTACAGGCCATCCTGTGTTTCAGAGTATGCAGAGCAGGCTTGCTAGAATGCGAGCTAACCATGAATTGATGGTTAGGTCGATGCGAAGGGTTACAATCGCACATCTTGCCCGGGATCCTCCAGATCTTCTCTGATCTGATGGGCAAATCCAGCTCTCCTCCACCTGCTTTGATGTATGTTTATAGTTTGACTTTGATAGAAGAATACTCAAAATGCTGTTTGATTCTTGTGATTTTTTTGTTCTTTTTCTTTTCCTTGCGATGTTTGTATACATGTAGTCATGTACCAAAAGATATAGACTTTGAATGGATATGGAATTTACGTCTTTGATCTTCTTTGACATGATTGAGCATTGGACCATAGAAAAATCATATACTAGCATTTTTCAGGGAGTGGCTGCTCGTAGCTAACCAAGGGATATTGTGCTATGCAGCAAAGCGGTGTAACGGACTTGTCATCGACCTGTGGCTTCTTCTGCGGTTTTACTTCTTCAAGAGCCTCTAAAGTGGCATAGCTTGCTTTCTTTACGGAGCTTCTGAAGCTGCTTGATCAAGTAAGAACCAAGCACCATCTATTCCATTTCCTCACAGAGAAAGTATATATATATATCTGTCTTTATGTTTTGAATTTTGATTCTTTTGTGTTCGGTTCTTTGAGCAAGATCAAGCGTTACTCGGCAGGGTAGAGAATGTTTCCTATTTTTGGTTGTTTAAAAATAGCTCAATATCTGATAATTATCTCAAGTTATCAACTTATTATCATATGTTATAAGAACCGTCAAACGATTTTCATAGATGCATGCATACTAGTAATTAGTTATTTTCATAGATGCATACTAGTAATTAGTTAGAACAAATGACAAGTCACATAAACAAGGATTTTATAACTATAAAAAACTGAAAGAATCGAATGGTCACCCTAAGATCTCTCTAAAATCTGATCTTTAGACAGCACAAAGGCAAACAAAAACAAGTTTTGCAAATTGACATACTTGGGTTTTGTCTATTCGTGGTGGGTTTTTGTCCTCTCTCTCTTCTGTTCATTCGTTTTTTTCTCTTGTCAGGAGAGAGAAAAGAGAGAGAGAGGAAGTTATTTCGAATCGAAGAAAAGAAGAATTGTTCTTGAAGAATCAACCTATAGCGCGTGTTCGCTGCAATGCTAACTTGGGAGAACCCAGTTAGGCTTGCAAGCAACACCGCCTTGACGAAAAAGCTAGCCTTCATTACATTCATCATCATTTTGTTATGGCCGGTCACAATGGTCATGTCTCAGCAGCAGCAGGAGGTTGTGCCAGGTTCAGACGCAGATTGCCTCCTGAGATTCAAAGACACTTTAGCAAATTCTTCTGTCATTAGGAGTTGGGATCCTTCAATTGCGCCTTGTAAGCGAAACTCCGCCGAGTGGTTCGGCGTTCTCTGTAATATCGGCAATGTTTGGGGTCTACAACTCGAAGGAATGGGCCTAACCGGGAAGCTAGACCTTGAGCCGTTGGCTCCGATCAAGAACCTAAGAACTTTGAGCTTCATGAACAACAATTTCAATGGTGCAATGCCATCTGTTAAGAAGCTCGGTTCGTTGAAGTCATTGTATTTGTCTAACAACCGGTTTACAGGGGAGATACCAGCGGATGCGTTTGATGGTATGCATCATTTGAAGAAGCTTCTGCTGGCGAATAACGCCTTTCGGGGCAAGATTCCTTCTTCTTTAGCTTCTTTGCCGATGCTTTTAGAGGTGAGGCTAAATGGGAATCAGTTTCATGGAGAGATACCTGGTTTTAAACAGAAAGATCTTAAGTTAGGTGGCTTCGAGAACAACGACCTCGAGGGACCTATACCCGAAAGCCTTCGCAACATGGATCCTGGCTCCTTTGCAGGTAACTAAACAAACATTTCAATATCTGCATATGTTTGGTAACTATAAGAGTCAGTTCTTGAATACGTTAAGAAACAGAATCTCTCTTGTTTCGTTGAAATTGCAGGGAATAAGGGCTTGTGTGATCCTCCACTAAGCCCATGTTCAGCGGATTCAGGGTCTTCTCCGGATCCCCCTCCTATTCCCAAGGAGAAGAACAAGAACCAATCTTTCTTCACGATTGCAGTTGTTTTGATTGTCATTGGGATAATACTAATGATCATCGCGCTTGTGGTTTGTGTCCTTCATACCAGAAAACGGAAGTGCTTGTCGGCTTGTCCATCTGCGGGACAAGACAGGACGGAGAAATACAATTACAATCAATCCGCGGACATGGAGAAAGCTGCGGAGTCTGTTACGAGCTACACTACGAGGAGAGGAGCCGTACCGGAACAGGGGAAACTCCTGTTTCTGAAAGATGACATTCAAAGATTCGACCTTCAAGATCTTCTAAGAGCTTCTGCTGAGGTTCTTGGGAGCGGAAGCTTTGGTGCTTCTTACAAAGCCGGGATAAATGGCGGGCAGACGCTGGTCGTGAAGAGGTATAAATATATGAACAACGTCGGAAGAGACGAGTTTCATGAGCATATGAGACGGTTAGGGAAACTGAGCCATCCGAATCTGTTGCCTCTTGTGGCTTACTATTACCGTAGAGAAGAGAAGCTCTTGGTCGCTGAGTTCATGCCAAATCGTAGCCTGGCAAGCCATCTTCACGGTATGTAAAGATCAAATCTTTGTTTGTCTATAAAAATTGTTACTTAACGGGTTTTGACGCGCGAAAAAATGCTCTGTTTCAGCGAATCACTCCGTGGAACAACCTGGATTGGATTGGCCAACAAGGCTAAAGATTATACAAGGAGTGGCTAAGGGTTTAGGTTACTTGTTCAACGAGCTACCAACACTCACGATCCCTCACGGTCATCTCAAGTCATCGAATGTGGTACTCGATGAATCATTCGAGCCCTTCTTAACGGACTACGCGCTAAGACCTGTGATGAACTCAGAGCAATCTCACAACCTAATGATCGCATATAAATCGCCAGAGTATAGCGCAAAGGGATATATAACGAAGAAGACTGATGTTTGGTGCCTCGGGGTTTTGATCTTGGAGCTTTTGACGGGTAGGTTCCCGGAGAATTACCTAAGGCAAGGGTACGATGCTAACATGAGCCTCGTGACTTGGGTGAGTAACATGGTGAAGGAGAAGAAAACGGGTGACGTGTTTGACGAGGAAATGACAGGGAAGAAGAACTGTAAAGCAGAGATGCTAAGCCTGTTGAAAATCGGGTTGAGCTGTTGCGAAGAAGATGAAGAGAGGAGGATGGAGATGAGAGATGCTGTGGACAAGATAGAGAGGTTAAGAGAAGGACAAGAGTTGGACAATGTCTTTGCTTCTCGGTTAATAGACGACGAAGACTTTGGTTTCGCCATGAATCGATGATGGAGTTGACCAGTCTTTCTGATTAATGGAAAAGTTTGAAAAACAATTTGTAATCTTGATACAAGAAAGAGATGATGAATCTTCGTCTGCAGCTTCAACGAGAAAGAAAGTTTTGGGTTTGTTACTTAGGGAGAAAATGTATCTAAGTGCCAAATCCATGAGATATAACGATTGATCATGAAAAAAACCAAAATTTTTCTTTTTTGTTCTTTGTTATGTAACTTTTCCAGCTTTTTTAATCACTCTCGTCGTGTAAATCCATTTGACATCTAGACATATATAGTTTTAGAAAGTTTATTCAGTTATCCCCCCAAAAAAAATAATTAATTTATGATTTTTAAGAACTGAATTTGAAACCATGCCGCGTAGTAACGTCAGTCACTTGAGATGGGAGTCTCAGTTTCATTGCGTGTAAGGATGCAAAGTTCCGAACTTTTTTTTTTCGAAAATTGTAAAGATTTGAAATTTAGGGCAAAATTGGATTTTGGGGATAAACTAATAACTATCGCGGATAATCCGCGACTACCCCAAGCCGTCGGAGAGAGCTACGGAGACACAGATAATGATAGATAGAGAGAGAAGAAGAAGCTGTGGAAATGATCCATTGATTTTTTTTCTTATTTTGTTCTTCTTCTTCAGTCAACCAGTGAATCCCCCAATCTTCTAATTTGGGTTTCTCGAATCACTAATTTAGACTCACCGCAGATTCTCTCTAGTTTTGAGGATGAAACCCTCTAAGATTGAAGCAGAGCCTGTGAAGGGAGAATTGGAATCTAGGGGACGTAAGCTACACTTTGTAATCGATGAAGTCCCAAAAGGGAAACTGGAAGAAGAAGCATACGAATTCTGGGTTAGTCGCTGTAGCAGTGGATAAAGACAAAGGAAGCCAACATGCTCTCAAATGGGCAGCTGATCATCTCGTCTCCAAAGGACAAACCATCATCCTCCTCCATGTTATCCTTGGATCATCATCTGATTCAGGTCTCTCTCTCTCTCTCTCTCTCTCTCTCTCTCTCTCTTTGTTAACCTCTTTGGTGTTGTTGTTGTTGCTCTCTTCGACTCTGTAGAGACTGACTTTGTGTTTGCAGTTGAGGTTAATGCGGAGAAGCATGAGCAAGCCGAAAACCTTTTCGTGACGTTCCATTGCTATTGCAGCCGAAAAGAGGTAAAAAAAGAGATTCTTGCCTTCTCTCCTTCGCTTGCTTGCTTACAAATTGGCCTTACTGCTTTATATCTCTCTGTTTTGCTAAGATACAATGCCTTGACGTCAAGATTGAGGATGACAACATTGTCAAGGCCCTTTCCGAATATGTTTCCTCTGGGGTGATTGAGAATTTGGTTCTTGGTGCTCCTTCGAGGCATGGATTCATGAGGTATTATGATATCAAATCTCTTCATCCGCTGTCTTATTTCTTCTTATCCTTATGTTTGTTTCTATCCTTATTGAAGAAAATTCAAGATGTCTGATACACCGAGCCATGTAGCGAAAGCAGCACCTGATTTCTGTACAGTTTATGTCATTTCGAAAGGGAAGATATCATCTGTCCGCAATGCCACGCGAACTGCTCCTTATCGGTCTCCGCTTATGGGTCAGATTGAGAATCATTCTGCAGTCTCTAACTACGAGAGGTTCAGGAACACCATGAGCTTTAGAGGTAAAGATTGGTTTATTAGTTTCTTTTTTGGCTTAATCCCACATGAAACCCGAACGCATCTTGAAATTGTTCTTTTTGCTGCTACAAACAGATAGGACTCCGGCAAGGCCTTCCGTTTCTAGCTCCATTGAAGATTATGGAAAGTAATGTTTCATGAGAATCATTTTTTTTCTTTTCTTGCCAAGAAACTGATTAGTTTTTTTTTTTTTTTACTTATCCTTCTTTCTTTATCATCAACAGGTCACATATACCGAGGGCATCAAACTACGCAAAGCCATTCTATGATTTATCAGACTCGGAAAACGACATATCATACGTTTGCTCAGGCAGGCCAAGTACCGCGAGCTCAGGCCGGCCAAGTACCGCAAGCTCAGGCAGGCCAAGTACAAGCACTAACGAAAGGTCTGAAATATCCTTTGTGAGCTCAGGCAGGCCGAGTACAAGCACTAACGGAAACCCTTCCTATGTCTATGAGTTTCCTGATTCTGGTTTTACCCCGAGATCGTCGACGGGCTCTGGACAAAGCGTTGGCTCTATGCGTCTAGGAATCAGGTTTAATGACACCAATATCCAACATGATTTCTCATTCGTCTCACAAGATAGCGGTCGGTCATCTTGTTCTTGTTCACCACAAAACTTGGTAAGACGCGTTTGATTGGTTTTATAGACAAGCAGCAGTATATGTTTTCGAAAATAATTAAACTATATGTATGTTTTTTTCTTAAAACGTACAGGAAGAAGTGGAAGCTGAGATGCGGAGATTGAAACAGGAACTGAAGCACACGGTTGACATGTATGGACTAGCTTGCAGAGAAGCACTAGCAGCAAAGCAAGAGGTAAACAATATAAAAGTGAAACTTGGTCCGAGTATAAAATATTCTTGTGCAGTGTTGACTCAAAGAGATATATAACTTTTGGATAAAAGGCCAAGGAGCTCCAACGTCAGAAAATGCAAGAGGAAGAATGGGGGCAAGAAGGGAAGCTATCAGAGAAAGCTATAAAGTCGATAGTTGAAAAAGAGAGAGCAAACAAAGCTGCTATAGATGCTTCTGAAACAACAAGCAAGATCAAACAGCTCGAAACACAAAGAAAAGCCATAGAAGCTGGAGGTTCTTTCTCTGATTCCCATCTAAGTTATCGGAGGTACGTTATTGGTGAGATTGAAGAAGCCACTAACTCATTCCACAAGGCTAATAAGATAGGCGAAGGTGGATATGGTCCGGTTTTCAAGGGTCACCTTGATCATACCCCTGTTGCTGTTAAGGTTTTGAGGCCAGATGCAGCTCAAGGAAGATCTCAATTTCAGAGAGAGGTAAGCATAGATAACCTTGAAAAAGAATCCGACTTTGGTTTAGATGTGGACCGACCATTTGAAAAACTGTTGCAGGTAGAAGTTCTATGCCGCATAAGACATCCACATATGGTGCTACTTATTGGAGCATGTCCAGAGTATGGAGTACTTGTTTATGAGTATATGGCCAAGGGGAGTTTAGCTGAGAGGCTCTATAGGAACGGAAACTCGCCACCACTCTCGTGGGAGCTCAGGTTCCGGATTGCAGCCGAAGTTGCGACGGGTCTGCTCTTCCTTCACCAGACGAAACCTGAGCCTATAGTGCACCGTGATCTGAAACCCGGAAACATTTTGATCGACCAGAACTACGTAAGCAAAATCGGGGATGTAGGGTTATCAAAACTAGTGCCTGCGGTTGCTGAAAACGTCACGCAGTGCCACGTCACAGCAACCGCTGGGACGTTCTGTTACATTGACCCGGAGTACCAACAAACCGGAATGCTAGGTGTGAAATCTGATGTCTACTCCTTCGGTATCTTGCTTCTCGAGCTGCTCACAGCGAGAAGGCCGACCGGTTTGGCTTACTTGGTTGAGCTAGCGATGGAGCAAGGGACATTCAAGGAGATGTTAGACCCAGCGGTTCCTAATTGGCCTGTGGAAGAAGCTTTGTCTTTGGCAAAGATTGCACTTAGATGTGCACAGCTGCGAAGAAAAGACCGACCAGACCTTGGAAAAGAGGTTTTACCAGTGCTCAATAGACTGAGATCTCTTGCAGATTCGAACATGGAGTGGATTTTGTTCAACTGTAGTAGAGGCCCGTCACCAAAACATAGCTCAGTCTCCTTGCCAACAGTGGTGAGTATTGAAACATGGTCTTAGCAATCTCAACATTTTTGGTTCTTCTCATCTTAAATTTTTTTTTTGAAATGCTTCCATTGCAGGATGAAATGAGTGTAACCTCGGATGATGACTCGATTACATATTCAGCTACTTTATCGGAGCCGGAGAAGAATTTAGGTGCGTTATACTCTCCACCTAATGTACTGTTTATTATCTTCTAATACATTGTTAACATGTGTTTTTGTCCATCAAATCTCAACAGTTTCACTTTTTGTTTCAGACGAACACGAAGATGATTAGCATTCTTGTCTGTTGAATGAAAGATGGAGTGAGGCCACTCTTGTATCTGTATTTTGTATGTACATTATTGTGTAAAGTTGCGAAGAAGAAAACAATAGAACAGAAAATTATTAGGTTTTGTAATAATCTCTCAACAAGACGTAAACTCTGTTTTGGTATGTAAGACAGAAATTTTGGACCGCACAATTCCTAGGATTGGTAAATTGTACTCTTTCACAGCTCATTGGTTTCAGTGGGAAACAACTACTGAGCTATATAGAGTAGCCCTCAATTTCAGTAGAATGGTTTCTTTCCTTATTTAGTTGAAATGCCCAATTCAAACGCATCTTCTTTTCTTTTGCTTTTATACTAGAATGAAAACTTTTCCGCAAACTTGTATACAGTAGTAAAATTATTTAGTTAACTTGTAGTGATATTAGATATTCGTGCTAAATATATAAATTTAAATGTGGTAAATGTACTACAACTTGGTAGTGTTGTTTATGTCGACCAATAAGGAAAGAAGTGAAAGTAGTAATATACTGTATAATTGATTATTTCTTGGTTTTTTCCATCTCATTAGTCACTAAATAACAAGAAAACAAAGAAGCTAAGAAACAAAACAATTAATATTTCGAGGCAGTTAGTTTCATATCATGCAGTGATGCCAGAGTGCTTAGGTGTGACAACATCATGCGTTACTATTTGTGTCCACATTCAAACTCTTAAACGCAAACTAGTGTTTCTGGCAAACACGTTTTGCTATATAAACGAGCTATTTACTCTGATACTTTTCTCACACTCAGATTCAAGAACATTTTATAGAGAGAGAGAAAAAAAAAAGTGAGCTCTTTGAGAAGTATTTTGCAAACAATGTCTTCTCTTGGTCACTTGCAAATTCTTGTTTTTCTCTATGCTCTGCTTATTTTATCAGCCGAATCTCGCAAAACGCAACTTCAGAACAGAAATTATATTGAAGCTAAGGACGATGGTGCAAAAGGCACACAATGGGCTGTTCTAATCGCTGGATCAAATGATTATTATAACTACAGGCATCAGGTTTAAATTGTTTATTTATTTTAAATGGTCCTAGAAAGAGATTCCATGCATGAACTAAATATCAACCGTTGTTTTGCATCACAGGCTGACATATGCCATGCATATCAGATACTGAAGAAAGGCGGTTTAAAAGATGAAAACATAATCGTGTTTATGTATGATGATATCGCGTTTCACGAAGAGAATCCAAGGCCTGGAGTTATCATCAATAAACCTGATGGTGACGATGTTTATGAAGGAGTTCTTAAGGTTCTTATTTTTACTTCTTTTTGGCGTTTATATATACATTTTTATTAGTGTTACAAATGGAATATTTAAGTTCTGTTGGTTTTGGTCAAATAGGACTACACAGGAGAAGCTGTGAATGCTAAGAACTTCTTGAATGTGTTACTTGGAAATGAAAGAGGCATCAGAGGAGGAAATGGCAAAGTTTTGAAGAGTGGTCCTAATGATCATGTCTTCATCTACTATGCTGATCATGGAGCTCCAGGGTTACTAGGTATTTTACAATCAATCCATATATCTATTAACTTAAAGATTTTACTTCGCTCTTGATACTAAATCCGCGGTTTCTTGATGATGTTTTCTCAGGGATGCCCGATGGAAAAGATCTCCACGCAAATGATTTCATTGAAGTCTTGGAGAAGATGCATCAGCTAAAAAGCTACAAGAAGATGGTACTAGTTACTCAAATCATTCATTGTCATCTCTTTAGCTTTATGTATGTGGTCTGTTTCTTGAATCTTTGAAATGTTGTTTTCTTGTGTGTGATGTTAGGTGATTTATGTTGAAGCATGTGAATCTGGAAGTATGTTTGAAGGTCTGTTAAAGAAGAATCTCAATATATACGCAGTGACTGCTGCTAATGCGAAAGAGAGCAGTTATGCGGTTTACTGTTCTCCATCTGATCCATATCCTCCTTCTCCTCCCGAGTATGATGGTACTTGTCTCGGCGACGTATTTAGCGTCTCTTGGCTTGAGGACAGGTACTGCAAAAAGAAATATATATTCTTGTCTTTATGGACTTTTTCGAATGGTTTGATTTGTTCTTCAAGACTTTGAGAATCATTTTCTTCTTTCTCCAAATGTTTTATATTTTGTGTGTTTTGGGGACAGCGAGCTTCATGACATGAGCAAAGAGACTTTGAAGCAGCAATACCAAGTGGTAAAGAGAAGAACAGGAACTGATACTGGAGCACCAGATGGTCAAGATTGGACTTCTCATGTTACTCGTTTCGGAGCACAGGAGCTTCTTCAAGACTATCTTGTCTCTTACATTGGAAACAATCCTGAAAACAAGAACTTCACTCTCGCTAGATTCACTTCTTCACCAATCTCTAATTCAAGCTTCGTCAATTCCCGCGATATCCCTCTGTTATATCTCCAGAAAAAGGTGAAGCTATTTTGTTTTCTAGAGCAGCTTTACGATCATTTAAAACAGCAAAGTGTTTGTTTGATTGTTTCTTTATACCTCAGATTCAAAAATATCCAGTGGAGTCGCCTCAAAGACAAGATGCTGAGAAGAAGCTGTTTGACAAAATGAATCATAGGAAACAAATCGATCAGAACATTAAAGAGATTCTGCGACTTTCGGTTAAACAAACCAATGTCTTAAATCTCTTAAGTTCCACAAGAACAACAGGACAGCCTCTTGTAGACGATTGGGATTGCTTCAGGACTCTGGTAACAACCACATCTCAAATTTTGTTACTTGTGTTCTACGCAACAACCATTAAACCAGTGCATATGGAATGAAAATCGCAGATTAATAGCTTCAAGAATTACTGCGGAGCAACAGTGGATTACGGATTGAAGTACACAGGAGCGCTTGCCAATATCTGCAATATGGGAGTGGATGTGAAGCAAACTGTTTCAACCATGAAACAAGCTTGTTCCAACAAATGATGTGCAAAAAAAAAAACATATCTATGCAAATTAATGTGATCGATTCAGAATTATGAAAGTTATTCCATAACATTGTGATGTGGAGATGGTTGATGCCTATTTTTATATAAAAAGTTTTAATTGATAACGCGAAAGTCTTGGTCTTAATTTGTGAATTGGAATTACCTGAAGCCTTTAAACACACCCTTCTTTGAATTTTTTTTTTTTTTTTGACATATCTTTTTGACATATCACAAGCACACCTTTCATCATGAATTATTAGGTCAAAAGAGAAGAGTGATATACCACACAAGAAAATTAATATCATACATACCTGCTCGATCGGAGTGAGCTTGAAGAAACTCAGAATACGATATAATTAGATTTGTACGTCTAATATAATCAAACAAAGTAGTGTCCTATTCAACCCATTATACTACTCTAGATAAGTTCATTTAAATAGAGTTTATTGGTTCATGTATTGTACTACTCCATTTGCTTGATTTTTGATATGGATTTTCAAATAATTAGGATATACTTGTATTTAGATTTGTTTATCGTTAGTTTGTATACCAAGACCATTGAGTATATAATAATGGATTTTGACTAATTACTAATGTTTAGTGATCAAATAATGAATTTAACACAACATTTTGTTTGACTATATATAATCCATAAATCCCTTACAAGACAAAAACGTTTGACTATGATATTTGTCTTTACAAAATTGTAGTATGACTACCACACCATATACAGAGGTCTTCTCAATAAATGGATATATACATATATATATATATATGTATACATAAATCAATATGTAGACTACTTCACCAAAAAAACATTTTTAACCCATTGACCGAAATGGCTGGATCATTCGGACAAGTATCTTATGTTGGGGCTATGGTTCCAATGGCTATTATTTTATGTTTGTTTCTAGCCAGCAACGTGAGCTATGCTCGAAGGTCGGCCACCTACATTGACGGAGAAGAAGATGGTTTGGAGTCCAGTGGCGGATCTATAGCATAAGAAAGTGGGGCACGTGCCCCATACTGATTTTTAAACAAGTTCGTATACCTTATTACAATTGTTGATTCGTTGATTGAGTTCGCCATTGTTACACCGTTTTATTCTTCAAGTGAAGAGCTCGGTGCCTTGTTACTTGTGTTATACGCAACCACCATTAAATCATTACATATCGAATGAAAATCGCAGATTAGTAGCTTCAAGAATTACTGCGGAGCAACAGTGGATTACGGATTGAAGTACACAGGAGCGCTTGCCAATATCTGCAATATGGGAGTGGATGTGAAGCAAACTGTTTCAACCATGAAACAAGCTTGTTCCAACAAATGATGTGCGAAAAAAAAACATATCTATGCAAAATAAATAATGTGATCGACTGGTTAGAAATGTAAATGTTATTAAATAAATATATGATGTGGAGATGGTTTGATGGTTGATGTTTGATGTTTGATGCCTATTTTTACATAAAAAGTTTATTTGATAACGCGAAAGTCTTGGTTTTAATTTGTGAATTGAAATCACCGAACAATAACCTCGTACCAACTGTACGGTACGGACGACAGTACTTGGGTTGGTGCCAATAATAGTCTTCCTCCATAGCTTGTTAACCACGAAAACCAAAGACATAAAAGGCAGACAGATCATTAAAACGATTCAAACAAGGGAAAAATAAGAAACAAGAACAACTAGGGTTCCTTAACCTAGCTTGTTTTTTATTTTTTTTTCCATGAAGATAACAGCTTTAAAAGAAGATCCTTACAGTTATCTATGAACTATCAACTGCAAAGTCCTTTGACTTTGATAGATATATAAATGAATCCTTTTGAACTTTTCTCAAGACAACATCCCGTTTGATTTTGCTATCTTTCTTTACTATCTTGAAAAATTCTTGTGATCATATATACATATTCAACAGAATGATTTCGCTAGATTTCATCATACGTCTGACGAACCAGGAGAACAGACGAAACAGAAGGTCGGAAACAACAAACACAAGGGAACGTCTTTTGTCGGGGGAGTTATCGGACGGTGGCAGACGAGCCAGAGATCAAAACGGTGTCCCGAGAGGGCATCTTGCGGTCTACGTGGGCCGTGATGAGATGCAGAGGTTCGTGATACCGACCAAGTATCTTGAATATCCCGAGTTTAAGGTTTTGATGGATCAAGTAGCGGACGAGTTTGGGTATGACCATGAAGGAGGGATTCATATTCGTTGTGAGGAAAGTGTCTTTGAAGAGATTTTGTTTAGATACATGTCATGTGACAAGAAGAAATAAGTGTACATAACAGACAATATATAAGTTAAATAAATCATCTTAAACTTTTCCTCTTCTTTCATTTTCTTTCTTCCTACAGTATTTGGCATATAGGCAACAAAACAAAACACAGACCTTTCTTGGTGATGCAAATGCCAACTTCATTTGTTACTTATAAGAGGGAATCAAGGAACAAAAACAATGCCGTGTTCCTTAATCGTATCGATCACAATCCCTAGCTTCCCTTCAATTCTTTCTCCCTTTCTTGGCTCATAAGACACAGCGTAGACGTCTGCTTCCTTTGAACGCTCTGCTATGAGCTTGCCGATGAGTCTGCAGGCTTCGTTATCGACAAGAGACGGTATGTTGGTCCTTATATCTCTTGCGTTTGTGGTGGCCACCGAAATGACTTTGCTTGTTGGCCTATGCATCACTTTGGCGTGTATGAACTTCCTGGAGAAGAAGACATTCAGCAGGAAAGGCCTCATGTACATGTCTGTTCTCTGCTTCCATGACTTCCTGTTGGGTCTTTTCGCTAATTCACCTCGTGATCTTCGAGTCCACGCAGCTTGCACAAAAGACTCCTAAACAATCCAATAAAAAGGAAACTTGAACTAAAAGACTAAAATCATAATTGGGAAACTAAGACAAAGAGGGTGTTTTGAATCATTATGAGCTATATTTAGAAGAAGAAAGAAATGAATCTTGAAATACCCAACAGATAAAGAAATGAGCTTTGTGGAGAATCACTCTCGAGCATCAATGGCAGATGCATATAAGTGGTGGTAAGACAATACAATGAAACACAAATCCACAAAACCCCACATTTTTCATTCACATCAAGTTGTTTCATGAATGATTCACTAGAACCCTTAATTAAATGCCTAAATTGAACAACGAGCTCAACATACAAGAACACACACACTAAGCTACAGAATCAGAAAAAGCACAAAACTTACCGACTGAGAGCAATTACGAAACTATGCCCAGTGATTGTTCACAGACAAAGGAACAAGAAGTCTTTACCTTTTTGACAATGGGAGATGAGATAACCGGACCGAATCCGATTGAGAGGTTGGGAAATGAAGATTGCCATGAAACAGAAGAGCCCAGTTTGCTGGAACGATTTGACCGAGTCAGGCTCGAGTCGAAAGGGACGAGTGAGCAAGTCGATGAGACCAAGCAAGACATCTTCGTCGAGCTTTGACTGTGAGGAAAAAGCGGTTGGAGAAGAGAAAGTAATTTGATCGGATAAGGCTCGGCGGCTCGATTCACCGTCTCGTCGTACGCTTTTTCGATTTACAATTTACGAACCCTGAACCGGACCGGCTGATTTAAACCCGATGAACCGGATCGAACCGTCACCTCAAAATACCGGTATGTAAACAGAAACAAAAGGATATTTTCGAGAAAAGTAAAGGGACAGAAATGAGCGTTTTGATTCGACAAGTGGGGAGGTGTCAAAACAAACAGAGCAACATAAACCCTAAAGCTTCCCATAAATCCTCACACAGACTCAAATTAAAACTCTTCATAATCTGAAAAAGTTAATTATTTTAAAATTATATAATTATGTTTAATTGAATATTCTCTCTTTTTGCCCTTGTTTGAATCCCCTGTCCTCCTGTCTCTCTGATAAAATCCTTGAGAGAATAAACGGAGACAGAGAGAGAGATTTAGTGGGTTTCCGGAGAAAATGGCAATGATTGTTCCAAAAGAAGGGCTTGTGGTTATGGAGAAGGAATCTATTTCATCCGCTCCATCGGCTTCTCCTCTTCGTCTCCAACCTCAGTTTCCTGACTTCACCATTCCTGTAAAAGTGAGTTTCCGCTTTCCGAATCCTAAAAACACTGAAAGTGAGCTCCTTTTTCTCTCTGCTTAGCAAAATATTCGAATACGGCTTCTTGAGTTTCGACACTCTGTGTTGTGTTATTATCTGCTTTTGGTATGCATATTTAAGAAAAAACAGTAAGGGGTTATATGATTGAATGATCTGATTGAAATCATTGTGTGATATTTTCCTATTTTTTATTTTGATTTTGTTGATTCAGGATTTCTTCAAGTCCAGGGAAGCTCGTGAATTTCTTAGTGGGGCTTTAGCTGGAGCTATGACCAAAGCTGTTCTTGCTCCACTTGAGACAATAAGGTCTTGCATACATACTCCACTTGTAATCTCCTCACTGAAATCAATCCCACTTTGATGTTTAAATCTTGTCTAACTTCATTGTACCGTGTGAAATCTTTTAGGACAAGAATGATTGTTGGTGTTGGATCGAAAACCATTCCAGGTAGTTTTCTTGAAATCGTACAGAAGCAAGGGTGGGTTGGTCTTTGGGCAGGCAACGAAATCAATATGATCCGAATCATTCCAACGCAAGCAATCGAGCTGGGGACGTTTGAGTTTGTAAAGCGTGCAATGACATCAGCGCAAGCGAAGCTGAAGAAGATCGAAGAGGCAAAGATTGAGATTGGTGACTTTAGTTTCAGTCCGTCCATATCTTGGATCTCTCCTGTTGCTGTGGCTGGTGCAGCTGCAGGTATCGCCAGTACACTTGTTTGCCATCCCCTCGAAGTCCTCAAGGTAATAATATTACTAGTCTTATCGAAAATCTGCTGCATAACGTGAAATGTAAAGCTTTTCTTGTTGTGCCATTAGTGTCGAAAGAGACTGATTTTCTTTTTCTGAACTTTACCAGGATAGATTGACTGTGAGCCCTGAGATTTATCCAAGCTTGAGCCTTGCGGTTCCAAGGATTTTAAGAGACGATGGGATCCGTGGATTCTATGCTGGCTTAGGACCAACATTGGTCGGGATGCTTCCTTACAGCACATGTTACTACTTCATGTATGACACAATGAAGACTTCTTACTGCAAATCCAAGAACAAGAAGGCTTTAAACCGTCCAGAGATGCTTCTTCTTGGAGCTCTTGCCGGTAAATAGAAAGTTTCTTTTTACGGTATATATCTTGACTCAAATCATGTCTAGGGATCAATGAGTTGTGAATGGTGGGTCAGGTCTAACGGCAAGCACCATTAGCTTCCCATTGGAAGTGGCGCGGAAGCGGTTGATGGTGGGAGCTCTGAAGGGTGAATGTCCACCGCACATGGTTGCAGCAATAGCAGAAGTAGTGAAGGAAAGAGGAGTGATGGGACTCTACAGAGGATGGGGAGCAAGTTGTTTGAAAGTCATGCCGTCTTCAGGCATCACTTGGGTCTTCTATGAAGCCTGGAAAGATATTTTGCTCGCCGCCAACACCAAACCAATTCTATAGTGACGAAACTGAAACTTAGATCACCATTGTTACTTGAAGCTAAGCTAAGCTGCATCATCACATTCCACAGTTATGTGTTAGGGAATGTGGTGGCTTGGCTTGGCTTTGCCCCATGAGATGTTTTTTTGGCAATTGAGAAGCTGAGTTTTTTTTTTTTGTCGTTAGGCTAAACAATTCTGTGTGTTCTTCTCAGTCAAAAAGAAAAGAGCAAATCGATTTTAACCACAAATTTTATGTTCAAGATCATATACACAAACCATCACACTTCCATTCGTAGATACAAGCACATATATATATATATACATAAGTATTCCAAATATTTATATTTATTTTTCTAAGTCAAACATTGTCCAAATCTGCAACCCAAATGAAAATCTTCTGCCTAACCTTCTGTTCCTTCTTCTGAGACTTCGCTCTCTGTAACAAGAACATGTCAAAAAGTTCTGATTAAGCACAACTCGTATTGACTGCTCAGGTTTTAGTTTTAGAGAAATGTACCTTCACCAAACAGTTGTTCGAATCGGGATACTATGTGTTTCCCATATGTGTACTTGCGCAAACTCTGGAGATGAATTTTCATTCTCTGCACCAGAATCTCCCTTTGCTGATCTTTACTGATCTCCAAGACTTTCTGGACCACGTAATTTGCAAACTGGTCCTTCATCATCGCCTGCGGAAGAAGAAAAAGAGTGTTAGAGCAAATCCAATATGTTTTCAGAGAGGTTTCTTTTTGGATCCGTGTTCTTACCAGCAAGTGATTGTCTTCCTCTGATTTGCCCATTATCTCGTCAATCAGCAACTCTCTCTCGCTACTATCAGCGTGTTCCAGACACTTCTCCACAACGTTGGACGCGTATTTGTGCTGACTCATCTGAACAACATTCCCTGTCAACTTCTCAATGATCTGTCTCCTTTCGTCGGGCTTCCCTCTTTCCAGGACATGCTACAAGCAAACCATACAGCCAAAACCCAAGATTAAGAACAAAATGAGATGCAAGAAAATGTTGGGAGTGACACTGGATCCGGATTTTAGTCAAACCTGAGTGACATAATTCCCGTACTGATCATGAGCAAGAGCAAAAGCGGATTCCAAGATTTCATCGATTATACAACGAGTCTCCTCATCATCTGAGCAATGCTCCAAGATTCTCTATAGCAAATGCAGAAAGAAAAATAATGAATATTTCAAGTCCAAAGCACACAAGAGAAACGCGGAAAGCTTCAGTCTTTATCCATTTACCTGGATCACTCGGCAACCATAAGGATGAGTAGAAAGAGTGGCAACTTGACCACGGAAAGATGCAATTACGAATCCAATCCTACCCGCAGGCATACTCTCTATACACTTTTGGATAACATGATTTCCGTTTTGATCTCTGACACACTTCATCACATTCCCATCGAGCTCACGAATCAGTTCTGTCTTTTGGTCAACATCTATCACTTCAAGGGCCTGTAAATATCATAAGGGTACAAACGATTACATATGAAACTAACAACCACTTACTTTAAAACTGATATTTTTGGGGGAAACCATCTGAACAGCATCAGTTTTGTATTATTTATTTACCTTTTGTATCACACGACATCCATACATTTGCAAGCTTAGAGAAACCATCTGACCAGCAAGTTGCTTCACGAGTTCTTCCCTCTGCGCTGGAGTTCCATGTTCTATGAACTGATCCAAAAATCACTATTTATCAGCAAACTTATGGACAAGAAAACATTCCAATTCAAAAGAAAAAGTGGCTCACCTTTTGGATAACATAATTTCCAAAAACGTCAGTCATCAATTTCGAAGCTTGTGGAAGAACCTCACTGAAAACAGATGCCTTTTCCTCATCAGAGCAGTGCTCCAACTTCTGTTGAATAAACCGGCTGCCATGCTGATCGACGCTGAAGTTAAGGAAAATGAGTAGAAAATTATTATATCTACTGATGCTTTCAAAACACTAATCCAGAATTAAATAAAATGATAGATATCAGAAAAGAAACACTGCCTGAATTCAACAACACGCCCTGCGATATCAGACAGCTCGAGTTTACGAGCATTTGGAGACTTGAGTTCATCAAGAAACGAATGTCTTTTGAAATCATCGACGACGACACTGTTGGCTCCTCCTCTGTTCCCTTGCCATCCACCAGGGTAGATCCCTGTGTTCCTACTTGGTCCTTGTTGATGATACCTTGTTTCATTTCGTCTTCCAAAGTGGCTCATCATCCCACCAACCGGTGAGGATGGCATCACTGGACTAGCAAGAGGTGATCCCGGATACTGCGGCATGACTCTTACACCCGGCGGCACTGCAAAGTAGTTTCCCATGTGCCGGGGGCTATGCAACCCGAAACTCGGACTCAATGGATTGTTGTGAGGTTCATGATTTGCCATAAAGCCAGAAGCTTGTTGGTCTTTCTGCCCAAAAGAATCAGTGCTGCTCTGAAACGAAGGAGCATATGCGTCTGCTTGAGCCTGTTGATAATACTGCAGCTGATAAGGATCCACGAGAGAAGGAACGCTTTGTCCAGTATGTGGTACTCCAGGTAGCAGCCTAGCGTTGTTGTAGCCCGAGGAAGTAGATGAGATATCATATGGCATAGGAACAGTCGATTCTTGAGATGGGTATCCACTCATATACTGAGGGAGCATCCCAGAGGCAGGAGGGTAACCGCTATAGTTATACTGCGGGAGGTACATACCCGAGGACTGAAAGTTATGATTGTAAAATGGGCTCAGAGATGTCATATATGCTGCTGTTGATGTATACATAGGAGGCGGTGCCAAACCGTGAGGAGATTGGAAAGTCGAATGTACCTCGCCAGTTGCAATCTTAGGTAAGCTCTGCATCATGTCGTGTGTAGTACCGCCCATCCTCGGATAAGTCATTTGTTGTGGAGAACTAGGTTGAACCTGATACGATGGAGGTGTATGTTGCAAAGGCATTCTCCTTCCCTGAGATTGTTGCTCTTCTTGGTTCCTCCTGATTCTAGAAGCAGCGGAGGATGGAGGAGAAGCACCAAAAACAGATAGATTGTTGTCCTCGAGCCTCGCGTTTGATCTCTCTTTCTGTGCAATAGCAGAACTTTGTGAGCCCAAATCAGAGGTAAAAGGATCTTCACTAGCAATTGCATCCATGGAGAGAGGATCTGTCTCCCTCAGCAGACTACTAACACTTATATCAGACTCCGGTAATCTCCTTGTGCTTTCTGATGGTATACCAGAGGAAATGGCATGGATGTCTTCTGCTATTGGTCGATTCCCTGCCGAATGAGGCCGCTTGAACACAAAAGAAAGTGTAAGAGGAAAGTCTTACTTCATGTGAACTGATATTATGCTAAAGATCAAAAGTTTTTAACATTTTGGTAACAAGTCATAGCATTAAGGAACCATGTACCTGAATCATATCAGCAAAGCTCTTACGACGACCAGCCAAAGAAGCATAGGGCTGTTGTTCACCCGATGACACCTCATCCTCAGGCTCCTCTCTATGTGTCGAAAGCGCAGTTCTAGAAGAATGCAAGGAAGATCTTATCCCAATATTATCCCAAGAGGCTGTTTGACTCATACTATTATCACCAATCCCACCCAAATGACGCAGCAAGTGCTGGTTCTCACGTGAGATCAACGGAGGAGGGAGTCTCGGATTCAAGTTGATGTTGGACAAATAGTAAGCTACATACGCAGGGTCGCCACGAATCTCTGCTTCCGAGTCACAACTCTCAATAGCCCTACTTAAAACTTCAGAGCTACTACCTTCCTGCTGTTTCAAGAGATTCCTAAGAGCTGCAAACGAACCTTCCATGCTAGGCGGCGCGCTTCCGCTCCGACTAGGGATTTTCCCGGTGTGATCACCACCATCCAATCTATTTCTCTTCATAAGGAACCCTAAATCTTCAACCGCCATATCTAGTGAACCAAAGATCCCAGTATCCCTAGAAGAAGCCTGCCAATTTTTAATATGATCACCTTCCACCATTCTCATAGCGCTCTGCGTCGTCATACTTCTATATCAAACCAAAAAGTTTCATATTTTAGACAAAGAAGTAGCCTTAAAACAAAGACGTAAGCTTCAGAGTGATTCTGCAAAACCAAAAGCTAAGAACTTTAAGATATGATCCTTGTCAACTGAATTTCCTCAAGGTCTTAAATTTTAGTTAATCGACGTCTTCCCTGTGTAATCGACCACATATGAATGAAATCTAACCATCAAGGACTGAAATTTCAGACTCGATTATCCCATTTCCGAAGCTAAAAAAATTCAGTCAACCCCATACCATCAAGCAAAAACTCACAAGGATCATCAATAGACGCCATCTTTTAGAAACTATACGAAACCGTTGGACTTGATCATCTTCCTCGTTACAAACAGTAAATCGTTTCCAGAGGCTATAATCGGGGATCAAAATTAGAAAAAAAAACACAGACTTCACTTTATCTTTTTTTTGTCATAAACTAGCTCCTTGCATGACTAAAAGAAGAGAAAAAAGTAGATAAAGAAGGATTATACAGAGAACGAGAGGAATAAGAAGCAGAGTTAAGAACCTGATGTTGATATTCAAGCCCCCATGAAAGTGTTTTCTCGCAGAGCTCTCGAAATGAAATGTCGCAGAGAAGAGACCCAGAGAAAAAGAAAGATAGAGAGATTAAAACTAAACCCTTTGAAAAGTTTGTACCAAGGGCTTCGTCGAGTCACCAAGTCAAGACTTTGTTTTTCTTTTATTTTTTCTCGGCAATTATTGGGATGTTAATCTTTAGTTTAATACCTGATTTTCAAATTAATTTTTAAACAGTTTTCGATATCCGTATTTTTAACAACATCACCAAAATTCAGAATCACGACGGATTCGCACACGAAGAGGTCCTCCTAGCCGTATAATGACTGAAATACCCCTTTTTGGTTCTTTGTGCGGTGGTGGTGTGATAAGCCCTTTCTCGTCATTTTGTACTCCCTCCAAATTGATGACTAGGTTTGCCACGTGTTGACACTTCTAATTGAAAGAGATACGTTCACGTGGCTCTGTCTCTGTTGCCTGTTGCTACCACCAAAACACACACTTAACACTTTAGTTTTTTGCTTTGGATGCGCTTACGCACACCTGCACAAAATTTAACTTCAATTTTATTTGCATACAAATTTAATTGATATACATTATATAATGTTCATTTATAGTTTTTAGAATTTAGTTAAATTATGAAGGATTGAAAAGAAATATAAAGTCCTTTAAATGACCATCTAGACTTTGTCCAAAAATAATGAAAGTGATATAGAAGAATAAGACTTTTCCATCACCATCACCATCATCATTCATGATCATAGATTTAGCTTCCCATTAACAAGACAACATTGGATTCTTTTCATATGTGCTACATCCAAACGACAACAATGCAAATGGTCCCTTAACAGTGAATCTAAGACCAAAGCAACTGTTCTTGGATTTTATAACCTCAAGGCAAACAGAATGAAGCTAATGTTAACACACAGTTCTCTTCATTGATTTGTCTGCAAAAATTAAAAACCCTATAAAGGGAACACAGATGATGCGACTGAACTTGGAATCATTTGTGTGTTTCATCATTTTATTATCAACAAGGGAAAAGAATTGGCGATGGGTGTCTTTGAAGCTTCCCAACAGAAAAGTCGAGTTTTTTCATCTTTTCTTCACACCATAGAAGATGCTCTTTGCTGATTTTCGCCATCCTCAGAACCCGAGTTGCGAGTTTGATGTCAATGGCTGCAAACAAAAGCTGAACACCTTCCCATGTTTGAGGCCAAGATTTGTTTCTCAACCCTTTTGTTTTCTTCGCAAGCTCCTTCGCTTTCACCCTCTTCTGCAGAAGTTTTTTACAGAGACTCAAATCTTACGAGACACCAAATAAGTATATGCATATACATTATTGCTTCTAAGAAAAAAATCGTACCTTTGCAACAGATGACTGAACCAGTTGCAAAGGGGTTGTAGAGTTGATATGGTTATTGTTGTGGTTCCCAAACAAGTGAATAACCCCATTTGGTTTCTTCTTATCCATTTTCAGGAAAACGTTGAAAGTAAGGATGGAGCTCTCGATGATTTTGATGAGATCATCAGCGAGTACCATGAAGTCTGTGTCTTTCTCCATCTCCTTTTTATCAGACCCTGATATGTTTGTACATGATTAACTTAAAAAGTGTTACTACTTCACTTCACATCACAAGGTTTTGTTCAAGTACAATGTGAGAGCTGAGATATATCACCTTGAATCTTAGGAGCTTGAAGTAGCTTAGGCATTGCGTTTCTGGCACGAGCATAAAGCTCAGCTCTTGATCCCTGCTCAAATGGTTCGTTCTCTATATACCTCTGAAGCAAGACCAGGAATTGCTGAAAGTGTTGAGCAGTGTGGTTGTAGAAAGTCTGGGTTTCGGGTTGGCACGAGATCAAGTGGCTCAGCTGCGTGTACTGACAGTGAAGTGCCTCCCATGTGAGGCAGAGTTGAGCAACGTAAGCTACCTCTAAATCCTGATAGGGGTCCATGATCTCTGCCTCCTGCAAACGCTCGATATCTTCCTCAGGAACATCCGTTTTCTTCAGAGAAAGACATTTAAAAGGCGATGACAGCTTCTTCGATGCAGATCTTGGCGACGGAGTTGAAGGGCTTGGAGCAATTCCAATTCCTGAGAGAGAGAGGGAAGAACAATGCGCAATTGTAGAGCAAAGTTAATAACTTTATTAAGGCATTCCACAATGCTAAAGTGTAAACAGAGATCAAGTCCAATTTTAGCATAATCACTGAGAAAAAAGAGATCAGAGGCAAGAAGCTTTTTTTTACCAGTTTCTTTAAGCTGCTGAGAGCTTAAGCGATCAAAGAAGAGCATACGCTCGCAATACTTTTCATAGACAGCATCAAAACCTCCCCACCATTGAAGTCCTTCAGCGACCACATCTCTCCACTCACTTGAACACTTGTCTTCTCCCTCATCTTCGCCTAGATAAGATTCCTCTTCCTCCTCTTCGTCTTCTTCAGGTATCAACACCATGAAACTGTTTCTCCTCAGCTCCTTAAGCCTTCTTTTAACCTCATTGGTGATGAAATCATCGTCGTCGTCTTCGATCTCATCTGCTTTCCCTGAATCTGTCACACCAGCTACAGTGTTGTCACTCCTTGCTTGCTCTTGCTCCTTTTCTAGGTTTGCCTTCCTTGACTTTCGAAATTTCCTGACTTTCAAGAAATCCATTTCCTCAAACACTTGGAGGACTGTCTCTTTGCTTCAAATCTTTAGATCTAAACTGAGATATCTTTGCATGAGGAAGAAAAAGAGATGATAATGGCGTTTCTCTTCCGCCACAAAACTGACTTTAAACCCTTTCTAAGGAATCAGAGAATCAACCAAACCAAAAAAAAAATGGGGGAAAATGCATGAATCTAGAAAGATCTCACAGACTCATGACCCAGAAAAAAAAACCCCATAGAGAATCAGAGACAGAAGATGAAAATGCATACAGAACACTTGAACCACCACAAGATCAGTTGCAATAACAGCCTTTGTTCGAAACTTCAGATTTGGATTTATCTCTAGCTGATAAACACTCGCATTCTATGCTAAACCCCAACAAAACAGTTCACTGAAACTACACTGAGAAATTGTGAGGGAAAAGGTTTAAAATTTAAGGAAGTAAGCAAACAAAATTGAAAGATGAGAGAAACGGAAATCAAAGAAAGAGAAATGCTGAACCACTTAGCAAAAGAGAGAGAGAAAGCTTTATGGCTTTACTCTATTCAAGTCTTGGGTATATAGAGGGAAGAGGGAGCACAATATAAATGTGAGAGACTGGTATTATTGATTTCTAAACAGATCTCATTAAAATTCATTAATTAACTTTTGATTTCAAATTCCAAAAAAAAACTACCAAGTTTTCTTCTTTTCATAAACCTTTGACCTTTCCTCAAAAATTTCCATTTTCGGTCAAAAACTTGAAAACCCTTAGCAAGAGAGAGAGGTTCCTGGGTCAATTGACCTTTTTTCTCATAGGTTGAAATTGTCTTTTACTTTCCTTAAAGTCTTAATTTTTAATTGAAAATTGTAATTTGAAATAAAAAGTCTTTTTTTTTTTTACAATTTTGGTGGTTTCTCAGAGAGAAGTGAGAAAGAGAGATCTGAGAAGAAGAGAGAAGAGAGGCATTGGGAGAAAAACAGTACAGAGAGAATATTGTCAGAAAAGCCGCGCAATCTGTTGTCCTTCCCTTTGGTCACATTGCCCCCTCTTTTCCTCTCAAAATTACATTTCTAACCCTGCCCCACATCTATATCTACGAGTTTTATCTTTATGATGGGCTTCTCCAAATCCAATGTACTATTGGGCTTTTATTATCAACGATGCAATTAAACAGAATTGGTTCGGCTTTTACAATCGAGTGGGATTTGGATTAAACCGAATTAGAGAGCATGTGGTCATGGTTCCATGGGATCATTTACCCGTTTGTCTTGTCTTGTCTGTGTATGTGTTCTTCTCTGCCACGTCGTCTCTTCTTCCCTTCTTCTGGTAAGTTCATTCGATCGTCGCTTGCTTCTGTTTCTGCTTGACTATTGATTTAGATGATGAGCGATGCTCGTCTTTCTTGGAATTGTCGTTTGATTTTTTTGTATGTTAGTTTATGTAATTGAAAATCTGAGAGTACTATGTTTCTTTTTTGTCTAATAAGAACTATATGCTTCTAAGTTCTAAGTTAGTGTTGTGTTTGTTACTCTTATATGCATACTAAGTTACTAAGTGCTAATCAAAATTGTTCTGTTGACTTTTGATGGAATATTTAGGTGAGAGTGTGATGATGATCTTTCTTTTTTTTTATAGTGTTTCTTTGCTCAAAAATTTCAGCTAGCTTTTTCATAAATGTTCTAGCAGGATTGTAAATGAACCAAAACAAAGATAACGTTAAGCCAACAATCAAAGATGAAAGTCCATTTGAAAAGCTTCAAGAGGATCTCTTGATAGAGATATTTATCAGAGTTCCAACATCAGAGTGGGAACAAATCTCTACCGTTAGGAAACAGTGGGCGAATGTATTCCGTGGAGAATGCTTTTGGCAGGCTGCTCTTAACCGGACGTTTCCTTTTGCTACCAAAACTCAGAGATGGATTGGTCCAATACGTCAAGGATTAAACAAACGGTTGATAATCTATGAACAAGCTAAGCTGAATATCTTTTTTGTTTGTTTCGAAATGTTTATTAGTTAGATTCAAGGAACATAATAGACTTTTTAGCTGCAGGAGATTTGTGGCTTTATACATCAGCAGAAACGTATTAGGTGTGGATACAGACATTGATGAAATGTTGGGACATATATACTCGTTCTTGAAAGATCAGCTTCAACTTTCAACTACTCCTGCTTCAGGCCTTCTCCATGGAACTCTGATCGGTAATTATGTTTATCATTAGCTTGCTTTCTATTAGTATACCATTGACATTTTTGTATCAATTTATTCTGATGGCAGACCAATTGATAGTTTGTGGCAAATCGAAAGAAGAAGCGGATGAGCTCGCGACAAAGATTTGGCTGGCTCTTCTAGACAATTTAGAGGACACGAAACATACATTTGTTGTCCTGAAATCCATTGCGCAAGAATATGATGTAAGTGGGGGAAACAAAGGAAACTCTGAATTTCCATAAACCGGTTCCTTGTAAGAACTCATTCTCTGTTAAGTGCAGGGTTTTCTTCCATATCCATATTCAAGACCGATTAAAATGCAGTGGAAAGTGTTTGAGAAACTGTTTGTGGATTTCCGCGACTTGCTTGATCATTCAGAGTACTGCGACCTAATAGGAATCGCCAAGAAGAAGTTTCAGACGATACCACATCTTTGGTTAGGCTATTAACTAACTTTTAGCCAAAGAACATTCAAAAGTCTGCATCTTTGTAAGAAAAACGTCTAAAACGCAGATTCTTTGGCCATGTAATATTCGTGGTTACTTGTTGACTAACAACGACTCTTTTTTTTTGACTATTTTAATCTCTTCGTTACTACCAAAACGTTTGTAAAAAATCCAATTTTTCACTTCGTCTTCTTCAAAATGGCTCTCGCGAAAGTGATGACGATTCTCGTTCTCTTCGTCTCGGCGTCACTGTCCTTTGCGCAATCCAAAGATATCGGACACATCTCCATACGCGTCTCTGAAACCGGTCTCGAATTCGCGAAAGATTTCTTCATCCGCGAGGTGATATCAACGACGATTCCGCTTCAGCTACCAAACATCGAGAAGAAGGTTAAGATCCCTTTGATCGGGAAAGTTCGAATGGGTCTGTCGAATATTAGGATCTACGCGGTTGATGTTCAGTCGTCGAGGATTGAGACGGGGGGAAATGGAATCGTTCTGAGTGTTTCAGGTGCTACTGCAGATTTGAGCATGGATTGGTCTTATACTTATAAAGCTTCCTTCTTTCAGATTTCTGATCATGGTGATGCTTCTGTTAAGGTAAATTTCTGGTGGAAAAAAAAAGTGATGAGCTTTTTGAAATGGGTTTTTAAAACTTTCTCTGCATGTTCTGAAAATCAACAACGAAAACCAAATTTGGGTCTTGCATTTTTGACATTCTGTTTTCATCAGAAGAAGAAAAAGCTTAACAGGTGTGATGATGATTGTGATGATGAAGGTTAAAGGAATGGATTTGAAAACCACTGTCACTCTCGTCGATGATAACGGAAGTCTAAAGATTGCCACACGGGAAAGTGATTGTAAAGTGAAAAGCATCGGTATTCATATAAATGGTGGTGCTTCTTGGCTATATCAAGGGTATTGTTGTTGAATATCATCACTTGCACTTTCTTTTATTCGAAGGATAGAAAGAAAAAGATTCTTACTTTCTCTTATTATTCTTTCTGTTTGCAGGGTGGTTGATGCATTTGAAAAGAATATTATTTCAACTGTTGAAAACAATGTTTCTAATCAAATATTGGAGAAGTTGAAGAAGCTTGACTCTTTCTTGCAATCACTTCCGAAAGAGAGAAAGATTGATGGCAATGTCGCAGTGAATCTCTCTTTTGCAGGAAACCCTGTATTGGGTGATTCCTCTGTTGAAGTTGAAATCAGTGGTTTGTTCTTGCCAAGTGGCAGTGGTGTTGTAGCTTCAGGACATCGATCTTCTTCCATCTCTCGTGGGGATGATAAAAGAATGGTGGCGATTTCAATAGAGGAAGAAGTTTTCAACTCTGCAACACTTGTCTACTTCGATGTAAGTTCCAAAAGTTTGATAGATCTTTGGTTTGAACAACAAAATCTGTAAGCTTTTTGGATTGGATTGATACAGGCGAAGCGGATGCATATGGTTATCGACAAATCAAAGAACGGATCGACTCTAGCCACATCTGACTGGAAACTCATCCTACCAGAACTCTACAAACTATATCCAGATGTTAGAATGATGCTTGACATGTCAGTAGCATCTCCTCCTGATGTTAGCATCACAGAGAATGGAATCGAAGCGGCGATTCATTTGGAGATATCAATCGACGTTCAAAACTCTGGAGCAGTCCTATCTGTAGCACGCATATCATCGGTATGTTAATAATAGTACTAATAACACACAGAACAGTCCATGATCACTAAAAGCCAGAATCTGATTCTTGTTTGCAGGTTCTGAATGTTGCGGGTTCTGCAGAAATCGCAGAGAAGAATCTAGCTGGGAGTCTCAGGCTATTGGATTTCAATGCAACAATGAAGTGGAGTAGAATCGGTGAGCTTCAAGCAAGCTATATTAAGGTAAAGTAAAGATATTGAGTTAAGTTAAAAAGACTGAGAGACTCTTGCTTGGCACCAAACTGGGATGTTTCTTGCTCTTGTTAGGACGTGACGTCGACGATTCTTGAAGAGTTGTTTTTGCCGAACGTAAACACGCGGCTCAAGAGAGGATTCCCGTTGCCGTTTCCACACGGTTTCACGATCAAAAACGCAGGGATCGTCTATGTTGAAAACGGCGTTATGGTCGTCAGCGACATAGCATCTTATTAGATATGAACGGTCTCAAAAGATTATGGAATTTTCTGAAGCTGTTGCGATTTCTCCATAAGCTGCGTTGTAAATTGTCAGTAAGACTTAAGTATTACCGCATGTATTTATTTCTCAGCTAGTAGTTCGAATCTCCTATGTTTTTTGTTACATATTTCACATTTTACAACATTTATACTGCATGCTGTAGCCTGTATATAAATGTTTGTACTTCCGTTCTGTGACCATGTAATTTTGTTCATAAATGTGCTTTTTTGCAACAACTAAATGTAACTTTCATTGTGAGAGAGAGAGACGTAATCGTTAAACTGGTCTCTAGGCGCAAACATAATGATCTTATATAATGGTTTGGGCTTTGTCAATTATGGGCCCTATTATAATGGTTTGGACTTTGTCAATTATGGGCCTATTTTGTATATATAGGCCCTACTACATATCGTAGCTTTTTTCCAATTTATGGGATTTTCTTCTTCAAATAAAATATTAGTAATAATAAAAAATTCCTTATTTTATCTCTCTAGAAAAAAAAAAAAGAAGTCCTCATCTCTCTCTCTAAACAATCTTCGGCTGCTGCTGTGTAATTGTGGGTATATCGGCTCGTACAATCAATCACACCGAATTTTTACCCGCGAAAATAAGGTTTCTTTCTGGTTTTAATTTCCTTCTTTTTTCAAAATTTTAAACCTTTTTTTTCTGACAATGGAGATCTCCCTCCCTCTCTTCTCCTTCTAGGGTTTCTCTCTCCCTCTCTCCTTCGTGTTTGCCATGGATGTGGCGGCGGCTAGTAATGCTCCGGTGAATCTTAAATCTGTCCCAGCGACTACGATGGTTGAGGAAGAGAACGGAGACGGAGGAGAACCGGTGGCTCCTCCGCCTGCGAAAAGGCAATGTTTTGACCAAGAGATGAACAGAGTGGCGGAGATTGTGCTGGTTTTGTCGGCGTTGGGGAGGATGCGAGCAGGGGAAAGCCCGACGGAGTTGGAGCTGGAGCTTATGGTGGAGGCTAGGTCGAAATTAGCAGGGATGTGTCAAGAGTTTACCCCTAAGGACATTGTTGGTAGCGATGGTGTTAGAGCTGTGATTGAAGATCTGGGTTTGAATGGTAATCCTAAAGACCAGAGATTAGGGTTACGAGCGCCTAAGCTGACCATCTCCGAGAAGCTATCTCTTGGGAAAAGAAAGGTAACGCCTTGTTTCGTGATCTGTTCTTTGATGCTCATCACAGTTAATTCTGATGTCAAGTAGAGTAGAAACGTATCCCTTCCTCATGTTTTGATTAATACTTTTTTTTTCTCCAGATGGAAGAAGCAAAAAAGTTTCTTACACCTGCAGTATCCACTGTGTACGCACCTCACTTGTCACAGCCAAACGGTGGTGTTGCATCTCCAGGTCTTGGTACGTACGGCTACACATTCTGTACGCGTTTCGATAAACCATAGAGCTCTATCATCAGGCAACGTGACTGTTTCTTCACCTTTTGTTTTCTGCAGCGAAGAATGTTTCTGTGGCAAATCAGTGGCCTACTACTGTTAATGCAACTGGAAGCAATTTCAGAGTGGAGAGACCTCAGATGATGCTTAACGGTGCTTCTCAGGGCACTCGTAAGTCCTTATTTTCACTTTCATATTTCTTCTTTGTCTTCCTTAGATGCAGTTGCAGTGACAAGATACTGTTAGCCTTTCTTTGATTTGGAAAATAGCAAACGTTTATTATGTCTTGCATATTGTGGTTGGTTTGCTTTGCTTTATACAGTAGGGGTTATAAAACTTAGTGAATGTGATCATAAAGCTAAATTTAGATGCTAATTGACCAATCATTTGGTTTGTAATACTACTTCGTTAATATCGTTGGTGTCGAGTTTATTTATAATACTACTTGTTCCTGTGTTCCAGCAAATTCTGCAGCAAATTATTATGCTCCATCCTGGTCTGCCCAATCTCAATCCACCACCATATCATTCAGTACTGCGTCAGATAAGAAGGTTCCTATACAAAGTTCGGTCAGGGTAACAGATCCAAGCTTTAGGCCATTCATGTCCCAAACTCCGCCTGGTACAAATCAGCCGGTGCAGGGAATGCGTTATGGTCAGACTTCTTCGTTTGGAAACAGCCATAGTGAAATCGCTAAGATAATCCATAAAGTTCTGCAACCACTGGTTAAACAATATCCTTTGTGGAATCCACCTTCAAGAGATTATATGAGCAGAGCAACGACATGCCAGATGTGTGAAGCCACCGTCAATGAAGTGGACACTCTTGTGATTTGTGATGCTTGTGAAAAAGCATACCACGTGAAATGCCTCCAAGCAAACAACATGAAAGGGCTTTCAAAATCCGAATGGCATTGCTCAAGATGTGTACAAGCAAGCAGTGGGAAGCCATTCCCTCCTATATATGGTCGCACCATAACTAAGAGTACAGCAAAAACGACTTCTAGTGCAGCCGGAGTTCAATCATCCACAGCGAAGAAGGTTGGATCTATGGACATAAAGGTTAATCAACAGAAACCAATTGTAACTACGAGCCCTGGAGCACAAAACCTTCCTGGCTTTGTTTCTGGAGCAGCAACTACATCTCGTTTTGAGACGGGTAGTGTGAATGCAAATGCAACTGCAAGCGCAGCAAAGACTACTAACATTGGACCACAAGGCTTTAAGGAAAGTCTTATCTGCAGTAACATTTCTCCAGCACCGGGATCACTTACCGAGACTCCGAATCCTGCAGCCATTGCAAGTACAGGTGCAGTGACAAGCAATGGCCTCATATCAAAACCTTTAACACCAGTTGGCACTATGAGCAGCACTTCTCCATTGCCTGTTAGTAACCAGGTTACCACGAACGCAACCCCAAACGCTACTCCGAGTACACCAATAACTGCAACAGTTACCGGAAATGGTGACATCAGCTCAACCGCCTCTGCGACTGCTGGCCATTCCAAATTGAATGCCGACCTTACCGCTCAAGCCCATGCATTGACTGCTACTTCCAGTAGCAATTCCCCACCAGCAGTGTCACGTTCTGAGACTGCAAAATCAACTGAAGATGTAGCTATAGGTCAAGCGTTGAATGCTGATGATGGACCACAAGCTGCTTTGGGAAATGTTGCTAGGTGTGAGAATCCATCAGAGTCCAAATCTCATTCAGACTCTTTGAATGATCAAACACTATCAGAGAACGGGCAAGAATCTAGCAAAGATGCCACGGAGAAACTTGCTTCTGAAATTTGCCAGAACCACCCAGTAGAATCTCCAGCCGCAGTTATATCAGACCAAGACCCGAAGATCACTGCAAAACCATCCGTGCCACAAGAGAATTCAGTTTACCTGAGACAGGAAACAGCGTCTCAGCCTCCTTCGTTGTCATCTGACTATGATTCACAAACCGAGAAGGAAGCGCCAAGTGTCCAAAACTCTTTACAAAAGGTCCCAGGAGATTCACAGGAAGGCAAAGGATCAGCTAGTTTAGATGATAGGCATCAGGAACAGCCTTCAGATCGCGAGTCTGATAAGTCAGATTCGATAAAGGGAGCCAATGATGCCTGATGTTCTTGAGCATTTACCTGGGATCAGTTCACCAGCAGCTGTCATCATCTCTCACCTTTAAATCTCAATGATAAAACTATACATCTCAACATTGGAGCTGTCAGCTACGGAGGAACTTGCCAGAATTGCAATGATGCAAGTGAAGAAGATGATTTTTGATATAACATGCGTTTTACTTGCGTATTTGTTCTAACTGTGCCCACGGGAGGGAGCGGAGTTCGTTGCTTTACCTCTACTGTTCTTTTCTGGGGCATGATCCATGTACTAAAATATTACATTTCATTCGTTTTATTGGAAAATGGAAACTCATTGTCCTCTCTGATAGATAATCTGATGACTACCTCCAAACTTCATCAATAAATTGTGCTATGGAAATACATTAATTCAAAAGTGCACATATTTAATTTGATGCTTACAATTATTACACATATTTGTGATTAAATAAAAACCATCATGTTAGGCTTTGATATCGATACTCAACACTTTTGTTTTGTGATATACCCGATTATCAAGTCAGCACTCTTTATGTGTCTTTATTGTCTACAAGTCTTTGAGAATACAAATGTGCAATTATGCTCACAAGGGAAGTTTTAGGCCAAAGGTGGAATGTATACTTACTATTATAACAGTAACCACATAGCTAAGAAGGGATGATGTAAATTAATCATAAGGGTTTCTGAAACTTTTCAAGAGCTCTGGAATGTCATACCCCAACATATCATCAACAGTCTGCAACATTTTCGGCTTTAGCTTCTCAAACTTGTCGATGTTGTAACCACTTAGCACCTCCCTGAAATGATCCACATTTGGGAAATCTCCTTTTGGTAAATGATGCTCTCTTTGCACCTGTTTTCAAGTCAAAACACAAAGTCGAAACACTCATTGGTATTCAAGATTCTCAGAATCAGCAATTCACATGTTGTAAAGATCCTTAAAAAGCAGATCAACCTTTCCAAAGACGTCTTCCAAGTTATCTATCAGTTTCTGTTGAGCTTTGGCTTTTCCCATTATGGCTGGCATCTCCTTCTTTAAATGGCTGATGATGTATGCATGTATCTTTGCAGCTCTTGCCCGTTTCACAAACTCGTTTATCTGTTATACCCAAAAAAATACGGTTAGATTTGCTTGGAGGGGAGGAAGTGAAACAAGTAAGGTTCACACTCACTCGACGATCACAAGCTTTCTTTGGAATGTCTTTCAAATCAGAGAGAAGGTCCTCTTGCTCCATTTCAAACAATTCTCTCCCAATTGGACCAGTCGCGGCTTCGTTTATGGGTTTATCACTGAACGAACTGTACAAAGCAAGCAAACAAGGACATAAAAACAAAAATTTCAGTTTCATACCGCTTTTGTGTTAAGCAAAACACTGCCAACGAGTTGAAGAAACATGTCCATTTACCCAATGTAGACACGGACAACCTCGGGAGTATTGAGAACTTTCCCAAGTGACCACATGAGAGCTCCATATACCCTCATTAGCTACACAAAATACAGAGACAGACGTCAAGGTATTAGAGCATGGAAAACAAGAGAAGGAACACAATAAGAATCGATAACAGATTGAGGCGTCAACCTGCTGAGTGTCAACTTGGTCAGCCTTATTCAGAACAACGCGGATCTTGTCATCATGACCGCGTAAAGATGAAATAACACGCTTGAACTCATCGCTTACATCCAGCTTGTGTGGATCGAATAGGAGGAGGATGAGATCGCACTTAGAGGCAAACCATGATGTAACACCAGTGAATTCATATGCTCGCTGTGTCCGTTGTTTTTCCCCTGATAAAACTCCAGGAGTGTCGACAAATGTTACGTGCTCCAGCAGCTTCAACAAAGATAAATGTATCAACAACTATTAGAAAATCAATATGAGCAAAACAAAGACTAATCTCCTTTCGAAAGCTTGAGGTTGAACATACAGGGTGAGGCATCTGAGAGCATTCAAACTTCGACAAAAAGGCAGTCCCAAAAGTTGTAAGACCACTGAATGGCATATCTGCTTGAACTGCTACTGTGTTCCCCGGAATGCTTCTTTCATCAGGTCCAGACTGTGAAACACAATTAACAGATTGAAGACACCCATCATGAGAAGTGAAATTTAAGTTATCTAGCTACCATTTTCAACCACATAGTTAAAGCTTAGAATGTATTATTCGACACTAATTTAGCAGAAGGTGATGGATCAACGTTACATCCTCTCACAAATGAAACCATGAAGAAATACAAATTAACATACCATGACAACGACAAATCTGTCAGTTGTTGGTTCTGGTCCAATATGAGCTCCTGAAAAATATAATAGTTGAAGTTATAAGAAGCTCTTTTATGGTTAATCATTGCCCTGTATGTAATTCCTTATTAAACAACAATAGGTCCCAGAAGGCGAAGTAGAGAGGATAAGCTGGACAACTTGCCTGGATAACTAGCTTTAAGCAAATGCTTAATGAATGTTGTTTTTCCTGTGGAGTACTGACCCAGAAGCATTACCATAGGTTTTGCATCGAAATCACTGTTCGTCTAAGCAAAAGACAAGTAATTAGTTCAATGGTCAATATAGTTTACATCTCAATAGTATTTTTGGAACTTAAGAGAATTGTTGTTATAAGAGTACCAATAAGCAATGCCCAACTTACCAACAAAGGGGATACAAAATCGTTGAACCGATAAGCAACTTCAAGTGGCTTCAGCTTCTGAATGTATAACCTCTTCAGGCCATCGACTATAGATGTTACGGAGGACAGAGAAATCTGAAAACAAGAGATTCAGTTTACACAAACTGTAGATTTTAATTAACTAAAACAGTTCTTAACAGCTAAAAAAACTTAACAGAAACTCCACCAATGATCTTTTTCAATACGTAATAAAGATTAGGTAAGAGCGACCATCAAATAAATATTTAATAAATATGGGAGTATTCTGAAGGCAGTAAAAGATGGTGGTTAAATAGACTGCGAGGAGCAAAACCAACCTTTTTTGAAGATTTTGAAGAGAACCAATGAGCTGTAAGTGATGTATCTGCAGCGGGACTACCTGAAACAGATTGAATCAAATGAGATATAAAATTACAAAACTTAAACCGCTGGGGGTCTAGTATAACGAGATTCTTTGTACCATTCACATTAGGATCACTCGACTTTGAAGAATGCTTCTTCTTCTGTGTAAAATGAACAGTTGTAAGTAATATTCACTTAAATCTCGAAAGACATAAACTGGAAATTACAGGGCCAACACTAACCGCCATTAATACACCCAGACCTTCCATGACAGGAGGATTCATATTTTTGAAATCAACTGCAATTAACCAGAAACGTTTTAGAAACAAGAACAATACATTATCTGTGGAAGCAAGGGTAGCCCTAGGAAGGTACTATACACTGAGCATATTGACATGAAGACAGCACACTTAAGCATGAGTTCGGAACAAGAAAAACAAAGTAAAGATTCATGCTTTAATCAACCATACCGTCGCTATGAAGAACTTCATGCGATATTTCATGTCCAGTCTGAGCCAACGAAACGAGCTATAGAATGTTGGGGGAAAAAAACAATAGATTAAGATTCACAGCGAGACATGGACATTTAAACGAGAGATGAAAAATGATTTTCAACCTGCATAGCAACAATAAACTCTTTGAAACCAAGATACCCCTGTCTCTTTGCATCTGCAATTGCCCAGACCTATCAGAAAGTCACAAGAGAAGAAGCATAAGCTTCAAAGTTAGCATCTTTTAAACAGTTGCTTTGCCAAGTGACCAATTAAACACAACAATATCATAAACCCACAAAATTCTACGACTACATAACAGTCTCTGTGTGCAGCATGATCACAAAGGATTATTAACTTGAGAGTTGAGATAAAGCTATGGAGCCTTCGAATTCAGAACTTCAGGCAATACCATACAAGCAATCACGCATGTGTTTCCTCTTAAATATTGGTTTTAAGTAGACTATCATTATAGCATCTTCTCTATCCTTAAGTGAACTTTGTTCAATCATTGAAAAAAACCCAAAGAATAAAAGCCGCCAAATTCAATTTTATTACTAATTGGATTCAACAAGTAAACCATCGCAATCAATTCAACTCAAATCTTTACCTGTTTCAACTCAGGTCGAGGCAAATTCGACATAGAGAAGAATTTGATCGCATCGTTACCAGTGATGCGGCCGTCGCCGTCTGCTCATTTACAACAAACAGGGAAGCTCTTAGCGCGATAAATTGAATAAGAAAATCGTAGATTGAAGAACCGGTGCAGAAGCAGAATTTCAAAAAAAAATACATCAACACGGGACCTGAATCGGCGAATTCGAACCATTCCTTGTAGATCATTTGATTCTCCTTGGAACAAGAACCAGCTGCGACGGAATCGATCTCCATCTTCGATTGCAAAAATCTCTAAAGATGTGCGGTTTAACAAACTCCTCAGGTGTGAATCCAGATTTGAGGAATTTGCAGTTATCGAAGTTAAAAGGAGAAGGTAAGCCAAAAAAACTAGTCCGTTTTGTATACGTGAGATTACGGTTTCAGAGAAAGCGGGTTCTTCGTCTCGACGGCAAGGGAAGGGGAGAGAGATTTTAGCAATGCAAGAAACTGCCCTATAGTTTCATAAAGTTGCACATATGTCCCAATACTGTTGATTGATCGTAATTACCCACTATTATTAAATATCGATGCGAAAGCTTTCGGTCCCGTCTCAATTATTGGTTCGAGGATTTTGATTGCTGCTTGTCGATAATGCATTTAAGAAGACCAGAGCGCGCGCTTGTCAATACATTTTTTTGCCAACATGATAAATAAAATGAGTTTTTATAACATTGCCAAAATGGTAAATGATACTTTAGATTTAAATGAAAATGAGTCTTTATAACATCATGTTACTGGATGTTTTACTAATGAAATCTAATGTTACTGGATGAGTCATATAATCTTTTAACGAAAAAACTAATAATGTTACTGGATGATTTACTTACACCTGGTGCAATAAAATAGTCAAACCTCACTTTAAAATCTGGTTATATATTTTTCCCTAAATAAATATATTATTCAGTACCAACAAAAAAAAATAGTCGTATTGGTTCACATATTTTCAACTTCTCCCATATACTGTTGACAAATTTGTATCTGAGATTCAGCAGAAACATGATTTACATATTCACTGACTACAAACCAGAGTTCTTACAAATTTCGATTGAGTAATGGAAAACAGATTTACAAAGCAGAATCACAATAAAGTTAAAACATCACCAAACAAAGATAACTACAAAGACATGAAATTATAAGAACACATGAAAACTATTACAAAATCGACGTACTAAAGAACAAACAAGATGATTTACAGTGGTAAAAAGAAAACACAAAAATTAGGAAATGTTATATTTTACAGAGATCCTCTGTGTACACATAGTATAGCAATATCATCTCCAAAACTTTGAGAGCCTTTATGATCCAAAGAATGTTTCAAGAAATCCCAATGGTCTTACCCAAAAGCCAAAGAACAAGCGACATTTCGATACCAAATATTGTATGTAGAGTACTTCTATCGAGTGTAAACCCAAACACCGTGATTCCTGCTCTATTGTTCTCAAAGTAATTCACTACAAAATCCAACAAAAATTGTGAAGATGAGTATATATATAGCAAAAAGATATGAGATTTGGTGTGGTTGCAGAAGCATATATTATATATATATATATATGTACCTAGAGCTTGTCGCTTTTGGAATGATATGGTGCTATAAGCATAAGCAGGGATGAGATTGTTGTTATCAAAATCATCTTCCTCGTCTCCATAATCCTCACTGTCGTCTGTATCTCCAGTATCTACATCTGTAGAATAGAATCCATGTCCAGTTTCTCTATCAACTAGCCTTGGAGTCTCTCCATCGACTGTCTCAAAGGAGTCTATTGTCGCGCAGACATGCCACTTGGCAGCTAGGCAAGTCACCGCCTGAGCCTTGTGTGTGATCTTTGAGGCACTTCGTAGTAGAATGAGCAACGCAGTGACCAGCGTCATTGAACACAGCTGAGATGGTCACACACACAAAAATAAACAGTCTAAGGAAACGGTTAAAGAAGCAAAATCTGTCATCAAGATTTAGTACAAAGTGAAAACAAAAAAACTCACTGCGAGTTCTCCAGCTCTGTAGATATTCAAATCAGCATATGCCTTTGTGGTAATAAGCAGAGAGTAAAACTGACTTCCAGTGACAAGCATCAAGGACAAGAGTATGAAGGTTCGGTATCGGTGGCTGATGATTCTCAGGTGACGTCTGATGCGGAGATGTTCAGACAAGATGGAACCAACATCTGAATCCATCTGAAAAACCTGAGCAAAGTCTTGGAGCCTAAGGATCTGGAGATGGCAGATGAGACGGAAGAGGACGCAGACCAGGAAGATCACGGTGGTTCGGTAAAGCCACGAGCAGAGCTCCATCAGACAAGCGACTGTATCACTCAAGATAACGTTACCGAGGAAAGGAATCTGAGAAGCGCCTGAAGCGTACCACCATATCTTGTACGCGCTCATCGCTAAGAAACAAGGAGTGACGAAGTAGGAGAGAATCTTAAGCGATCTCTGCGTAAACAAAGAGTAGTGATTTCAGAAACAAAAAAGTTATGAACATTGTAATGCTTGTGGAGCAAGTAAAAAAAAGAGGATTTTCAAGATTCATAACTACTTAAGATGTTCACAACACCATGAAAGATTTATGGGATCCCTAAGATTTAGTATTGCTTCTGTGTTGAGATGCAATAGGCTTTACATCAAATTCGTTTCCAATTTCTAATTTGATCAGGAAAAATCCAAAATTGCTACAGAAAGCGACAGATTCAATCTTTTCGAATCGACGTGTAGAAAAAGACAAATGATCTTCGTGAGTTTAGGTCTTAAATTCCCAAAATCGAGGGATTTTACCGACATTGGAGAACACAAAATTCAAATTGGAAACGACAAACGGAGAGAAGGAACGAAACTCAGATTTCCAGAAAAACCAATCAAGGATGCGAAATTCGAAACGGAATCGGAAAATTGAAAAAAAAATTACTCACGTTGAGCTGATTGGTGTAGCCTCGCCGGACAGTCTCGCTCTCGTCCCAGAGCTTATCGAAGAAGAGGAAGCGTCGGAGACCATACTTGCTGACGAATCGGGAGAGACAGAGGAAAGAAAGGGCAGCGAAGCTGCTGAGAGAAAGCTGAACCACGGAATCGTACGGCCTCGAGTGATGGCTGTCGCAGTCAGCGCAAGCGAGCATGAAGTGAGAGGTCACCGGAACAACGAGCGTGAAGACGACAAACATCGACCAAGAGAGAACCGCCGTCCAGGGGCTCGACTGATCCACGCACATCCATCTCAGGTATTTCCGAAAACTCTGGAGCTCGTCCTGCGCGTGAGACACGCAACGCGTGAACTTGTTTTCCCGGTTAATCAGCGGCTCTCGTCTTCCTCCTCCTGCTGCGGTTCCGATGTCGATGTCCGCCATGGACGATCGCTCGGAGAATTGTACAAAGAAAAAGGCTGTGCGAAATCAGACGAGAGAGAGAGAGGCTCTCTGTTTTTTTTATTTGGGTTATTTTTTTTTCCACAAATGTGATTTATTTCGGCGATTGTTAATGATGACGCGGTTGGATCAGGAATAGCTAAAATCGTTAAGGTTATTTATAAATGATTGATGCTAACGTGGCTTTGACAACTATAAAACTAATTGTGATCCAGTTACTAATGATATATCTGAAAGATTTATTCTTGTTTCTTTATGTAGGTTTCTTGTTCTTTATATAATGTTTAAAGATATAATTCATTCAAGTGGTGACCGAATCTTGTAGCTTTAAAGTTTGTATTAATGTGTGTTATAAATTCAGATGAGTCGTAGACAATATACCAAAATTAGAAATTTAGTGTTAGTTTTGACTGAAATGAATATGTGAAATGTTGAGTATTTGTTATAGCATTTTTTTTTTGGGTCAAGTTATAGCATTTATTATTCTTTAAAATTTAGACTTATATATATATATATATATATATTATCAAAATATAAAGTCTAAAAATTGGGTTTAACAAACGATTTTGTGCAGTACCGTTTTAAGATTGACTTTTGTGTCGCAATAAAACAAAAAGAAATGTAGGTTTGTGTTCATGAGAAAATCATGATTTGACAATCACGGAGTATTTGCTGATAAAGTATTTTTATCCTAAATCTAGGAAAAATATTTTTGTTATCAACTAGGAGTAAGTCTTCAATCAAATTATTTCGCTATTAGTCAACAAACCTTACTACTTATTGTAATATTTAATTTGTTAACAGCCTTTTTATATTACGGATTTTATAAAATTCATCATCATCTATGAATTTTATATGTATAGCGTAAACAACAAATCGTCATTGTTTGTAACAAAAACTGATGTAATCAGTGATTTTCTATGTTAAAAAAAAACAGTTGTCCACATTTCTTATTTTTAAAAAAGCAAAATCATTAATTGTCCATATTTAAATATAATCCATTTATCGGCGGAAAAAAATACGTGGCAATCAAAAGTATTCGAAAACATGAAGAGATGCAAGAATACAAGGAGCTAGTGAACATAACAGGCTGTTAGGACATTGACATGTGATGTGTAAAATTTAGGCCGTAGATTACGCAATTCACCGTAGCTACGGCGCCACGTATGTTGTTAAGCTGTTCCTAATTACCATTAAATTAATTTGATATCTTAACAAAAACAAAATATAATTATCCATCACCCTTAACTGGTAAACTCTCAATTTTGTTCCCTTAATTTTTAATTACACGTCCACTTAAAGAATCTAAATTCCCCTGCGGCATGTCTTAAGTGTATTGGATGGGATGATCGAATTTATAAGTTCAAAGGCTCTAGAAATCAATAGAATATAAAGAGTATCTTACAAATTTAGAATAATTGTCGAATTATTCGAATAAATCCATGGGTTTGGTTTGATTGCTTGTGACCTTGTGAGTGGCTATTAATTCGTGTCTATGTAGTGGAAAATTGAAAACTTTTTTAATACTCTAAAGTCAAGACTCTAAAGATAATAATATATATTCGTCATTATTTTCTTGAAATAGATAGATTGCAACTATCTTTTCGATTGTTATAGATGCTGAAATGTTGTAGCATTTGATTGGTCGTGTATTTTCTTTAATTTTTTGTTCGGGGTTTGATTGATGTCTTTACATGTATTTAGCAAGCAATGATCATTACCCTTCATTATAGAATATGGTAGTAGAGGTAATTTTGTGACTAAATTGAATATATAACTTTCCAAGTAAAAGAGTACAAACGGGCCGGCATAAGCTTTTATGGGCTGACAGAATTTCTGAAACAAAAAATACAGGTTGTGCTCGGAACACGCAAAGCCACTACTAAACCAGTTTCTAATAAATTTCAGACATTTGTCAGAAGTCTTTTATTTCCAACAACATATATCTTAGCAGGGTTTTTTTCCATGATTAGTAACACATTTTCTATATTGCGGAATTGGTACTGCACAAAATCGTTTGTTAACAAACATTTTTTATAAAGTCTAAAAATTGGGTTTAACAAACGATTTTGTGAAAAAAAGTATTATGTGCTCGACAATCTAACCTTACAATCAAAACATAAGATAAAGAGAGAGAAAAAAAAAACGAAATCACTTATAAGAGTTTTTTTCTAATTAATAACATCGACAAAGCTGGGAAATCCATTGAATATGTTGTCTGTGTCTCTGTCAAAGCAATTGTTAACTCCTAATGCAATAACATTCTATCGTCCAAATCAAAACTTCAATTTTTGCATATAGATGTTTGTCGTTATCCTTTGGCTCCTCGCTAATAGAATATATCCATATGAATCAATACTACACCAACACAAACCCAGATAATAAACTATTCATCTATGTGGTAAATTGTCCCATGCAGTGCCAACATTTTATATTGTGAAGGTTTATTTATGAAATGATTAGCTTAGAAAAGATAGATACATTTTTATAGCCGTTTGGCCTTAAGGATTGAGTATGAGAAAAATATGAATGTATATCAAAATGTTAGGAGTTAAATGTAGATAGTGTTGTTGATTTTAGGGATCTTATAATGAACTGAAAATAAATCGATAGCGAGCTAAGAATGATATCTAGAATCGTGTACATATGAGATTCTTTCTTTTTCAACAAAACTATTTTTTTTTTACAGCTTATAAAACTATTGTAGAATTAGTTTTATCATTACAATTTTATATGAAAGAACAATCATTTAGATCGTTAAGAATGCTAAATATGTTTAAAAAATGAGTTATTATCTTGTTCTGCTACGTTTATCATGTATTTTTTTGGTTATTGATCAGTGTAGCATGTTTTATTCCCTATTTGATCCGTTTATTGACACCATTTTGAATCTTTTTTGCCAAAGTATTCAATCGTTTTACTTTGCTAAATTAAAGTATTCAATCTTGAGATTGTATTGATATGTTTGACCATTGGTACATTTTAATCCTTATATATCTTTAGAAAAGTTAGACAACGGAATCAAATCTAAGTAATTAAACAGTTTGAAAATTTGAGATTAAGCTAGACCAACATATTCGAACCGACACTAGCTTGAAAATACCATTTGGAGAAACTAACGCTCTAAACCCTCAATTCCCGAAAAGTCATAACAGTAAGATATCATTATAGATTAGTCTCAATTCCATAAAAATTTAAAGATAAATCACAATCTCAAAGAGGAAATTAAAATTTAGGTTTTTTTAAAAAATTTTGGACCAAAACTCGAACCCAAAAGGAAAGCGACTTGAGAGTTGAGATTGGTTCAAGTAATAAATCTTTACAGTAAAGAACAAGGCACAATCATGGCGACTTAAATTCCACAATATGTATCTTCCAAGTTTTTTACCAGAACAAGCCCTATCCCTAAACGGTAAAAAAGCTCGATTTTGCTTCACACTTAAAAAGTAACTGTCTGAATCCGTGGCAGAGAAGCAAACCTAGATGCCAAATCTGGAACAACTCGAGCAGCAAATCTTAATCAAATGGTCAAACACATAACGAATTCTACCACCCAACAGCATTTACAGATCAACATCATCTCAGCCACCAAACTTTAACCTAAAGATTTGGCCTTTGTCCATTGAGCTTTATCGATCACCCATATAACCCACCGACCATTGACCATGCCCATCTCTCTGTTGCTCAAACCCTAAACGTCGATTAGGTACACGAAAGAGAAAGCCTTTCTTGTCTTCATGCTGCATCTAAAAAAGATGAATGAAAAACTTCTAGCTTAACAATGACAATGAGTATTCCAACTTCTTTCTTTGAATCACCCAATTTATTACATTGCAGATGGCTTCACCATCTTTCTTCCTTCAAGCTTCTTATCACAAGGTGAATAGCTTTCAAATCGTATGTCTATGACCTAAGCTTGCTTCCATCGCAGAGCCAAACTCGGTCACAAGAAGCACTTGTGTTTACTTCATGAATAGAAACATTGTTAATGAGCAATGTAATGTGTAAAATGCAGCTTCCTACTCCAAACCATAAGCACATCAGGGAGAGAAATCTAAAGATTTATGGAATTGGATCATTTAGAATCAGCAGCTTTAGAATGTTACATGTAACAAAGGGTTGATCTCTATATAAGAAACAGACAAATGAAACCCAGATCTGGTTCTTACAGTAACAGATCTAACACAAGCTCTCTCTCTCTCTCCCCCTCTCTCTCTCTCTTTAACGTCATCATCTTCGTTGTCATTGTGATTCACAATGATAAAATCATCGTGCTCACATTCTTTTTTTTTCTTCCTTTTTTTTTGTAACTTACTTTTTTGGTTCTTTCAATATGAGATCAAAGGAAAATGAAAAAAAGGGCATAAAAATTTCTTTAGAAAATTGGAGATTGTTTTTGTTTGTAAATCACGGATCTTGCTGGTTTTTACCCCCAAATCAGAGACGTAGATCGGTGCAGTGGAGATCGTCTGTGCTGCCGGCGAATAAGTCAACGCCATCCAATGGCGGAAAATTAAGATCAAACTGAAACGGCGGTTTTCGGCGGGACGACGAAGACGCGATGTCGTCTCCGTCGTCAACTACAGACGAAGACGAATCGCAATCGCTGTGGCAGTCCTCCGGAGCCACCGGTGGAGTCCGCGGATATCTCTTCGTCGCAGGTAACGGCTTCGCAACGGACGAAGACGCCGCTTCCATCGGCGGTCTCGGCCCGCTAAACGACTTGACGGTGCTGCTCATGCTGCTACTAGCCGGCCGACTGATAATCTGCTGCTCCTGGAAGTTACCTCCGCCGTATAACCGGTGGTCCATAAACGGATCGATCTGGTTCTGATTCGCCGCGAAAGGCGCAGCGGAGCACATATTCTGATTCTGCTGGTTCTCGTAATTGAGTGGCTGGAGAGGGGAAGAAGGAGAGCAGTCGATCGGGAAATTGGTCTTGGCCTTAGGACCACGGAGGTTACGAGCGGCTGCATCGTAGGCGCGAGCAGCCTCCTCGGCGGAATCGAAAGTACCGAGCCAAACTCGGGATTTCTTCAACGGATCACGGATCTCCGCCGCGAATCGGCCCCAAGGTCTCTTCCTGACGCCTCTATACCTCGGCTCCTTCACAGATCCGTTGTGATTACCGGCGGTTACCGGAAGGGCGGGTCCAGCGACGGAAGAGCCTCTCCCTTTCCTCATGGAGAAGAAGATATTCGAAAACCAGAAGTAATGTGATGGAGAAGAGATCTGTGTGTGAAGAAGAAGAAGAAAATGTTGAAAAGAGGAAAGATGAGGAAGGTGGAGGAAGAAGGGTAGAGATTGGAAAAAAAAAAAAACTCTCTTCAGCATAAAGCCATTTTTTTGAAAAAATAAAATAATTTCTTTATAAAAAAATTTACTCAAATAATTTTTATTTTTTTAATGTAATAAATAATTATTTATGGTTGGAATAGCTTTTTCCCTTTTTTTTTTTTTCCAATTCTCTTTTCCTCGATTTTTTCTCTACCTTCACGCCCGTCCCACAAGACCGACCAATTCGATTTTATTTATTTATTATGGAGTATCATTTTCTCCACTTTGATTCTTTTCCTTTTGCTTTAAACTTTTATTCGATATATATATTTGTTGAAGAGAAATAACTTCAAAATTTCGGTTTAAAAAACAGAATATGAAAGACTTTAAAAGAGTTCACAAGAAATGTCTCGAAATGCGAAGAAAGCAAAAGAGGGTAAGCACTTGCTTCTGTCCTGACCCTGACCACAACATATATAAAACACTTCTTTGTTTATTATTTAATTTATTTATTAATCGCCTCTAAAGACCAAAACAGTCCAACGTAAAGACCAAAACACCCTCGGCTATTTTATTTAATTTGAATTTTAATAATAATATAAAACCCCTCGAAATTATTAAGTTGAGGTCTTCTCCTTCCTTGGGACCCTACACGAGACGAGACGCGCTTATCGTCATCGTCGTCTCCCGTGTTAAAAGTAAATGCTGTTGAGGAGATGCATTAATGGAAAAAACACTGGTTTTGTTCGTATAAACTGAATTCGTCTCTCTCGTTGAAATCCAATTCGATAAAAAGAATAAAGCAAAAAAGAAAACTCTAAATAAGAACACACATTTTTTTTTTAAAAACAACTTGCTCACCTTTAAAATTCTGGATTTTTTTTAAAACCAAGACTTAAAATGTGAGTTGCTTCTCCAGGCTGATTATAATAGCCTACTGAGGGATTTGATGAGCAGTTTAAGGTTTTTTCTTGTGGCTTCGTCGCCTGTGAATCCCAGAATATCTGAGCTTATGCTCTACAATGAAAGAATCAAAAACCCACCATATTAACATTTATTTTTACCTTTAAACTTGTCAAAAGCTTTACTTTTTGGTGTCTGGTATTGAATAATAACAAAGTTACCTCGACGTTCTTCAAAGTGTAAACCAGAGTGTAGATTGACTTCTGAATTAGTTCTGTATTCTCAGGTGTCATAATCGACGAATGAACCTTTCTGCAATGTAACAAGAATCAAAAGTAGAAGATCACATTCTTACAGTTATCTACCATATTATCTAATCACAAGATTTTATCTCTCAGCCAGGGATTAGTATCTAAACAAGCTTTCACACAGATGTGGTCCTAGTACTCCTTTAAAATTGTCAGAGACAAGTTTCCACTCCATCCAAGAATATAAATTATGTGATAAGTACAGCAGATTCGGTTTCAGAAGATAATAAGGCAAACAAAATCATCAACAGCTACAGATTGTAAAACAGTAGATCTAATCGGAAATGAGTAATGAGTAAAACACTTAATTTGACATTAAGCTAAGGAAGATAGACACTCTTTATGCAAAGATATGTATGATTTACGATAAATCTAGTCCACAAAATAGAGTGTGAAACCACGGAATGTACTATAAGCTGTATGGTTAAGACCTTAAACTTTGTTACTCCCAGTTCCGAGGGCATGTGGTGATTCGAAATCAGTTCTTTCACCTCTACCTTACTGTCTATTTCCATATTGAGTTCGTCAGAAGACTATCTAAAGTGGCTTGAAGGGTGTAAAATCAATAACATCAAAGATTATCGATTACCTCATGTCGTCAGAAGCTTGGGTCAGGCTTCGAGTTAGACACTCAACTTCCTTGAGCAAACCACTATCACGAAACTCAGAGAGCAAAGGTTGAGCATCTTCAGCCATGGCTTGAATCTGTGACATTACTACATCAAAACCCAACGCTTAAGCATGAGAATACATAACATTTTTTCCTTCTGTCTCTTCTCAAACCTTTAAATTCACTTGAATAGTATATAAATTATAGATCCAGCAAAGGCCACCAAAATTACTCATATCACCTTTAGGAGCAACGGTTTCGCCTCTTCAATAACAGAAGCCGCTCTCTCAGCAAGCGAATACGTATTAGCAACACCAATCGCCTCTACTTCACGTCCAATACGAGTGAATATTCCAACTAACGCATCTAAACTCACTCCTTGCTCTCCCTTTATCTTCTGCCTATCACAAACAATCAGACCTTCTTTACCACATTCCGGATGCAGAGGACCTACAGAAGGCTCCGGTATCGGATCCCTCGGCGTAATGTCGATCAAAGTTTCCATCAGAAGACCAGACTGATTCACCTCAACCAGTGAATTCTTAGGGATGATGATCTTATCATCTTCAATCTACAAAATAGACAAAGAGGCCAACTAATAATATAAGAAGAAAAACATATCGTCACCGGTCAAAAAAACCAGATCAAAGCAGAGCAGCAAACCATATATACCTCAGCAACAGCTTCAATGTTCTTCAAGGAAGGGTTCACACGGATGACCGTACCAACGGTCACGCCACGGATCCTAACCGGTGTTCCCGTGCAAATGCCGGAGGCTTGACTGAGCTCAAACACGGTCTGGTACTTCCTGAACTTGGACCGCATTTGAAACCCTCGCAACCAAGCCCAGCTAAGAGCAAGAAGCGTAGCTCCTGAGACGATGAACAGACCGACCCCACCTTCCCAGACGCTTCTCTTACCGAACCCAAAATCACTCAAAGGTTTTAAAGTCTGTCTCCATATATTCCTCGGCACATCCAAAACAACCGTGAGCGGGTTCTTCCCTCCATCAGCAGAGTCAGAAGTGGATGCAGCTCTGACCACTAAATGCCTAGTTCTAGGTTTCGGTGGGAGATAAGGAAGCCCGTTGGGAGAAGCTCGAGGGCAAGCAATCATGGAGGATGATGGCATTAGTGATGATGGGACTTGAATTACCGGATTCCCAATCATCTTCTCCGGAACCAAATTAAAAAAAACTAAACTTTATGTTGCAAAGTTCCGATTTTTTTTTTCCGAGCTGTTGCTGAAGAAAAGAAAGAAGAACATGTGAATTGCGTGAGACTTCTACTATACCGATCGAATTACAAGTCGAAATTGGGGATTTCTGGGGAAAGAGAGAGATACCTGGGCTCGAAGGTTATTACGGAAGTGGTGCCGTGAATCTGAGAATGGCGTCAAAGGCTTGCCGCTGGGATTTAGACGGCAAATACAAAGAGATTGATAATCCCATGTGTTATATTTTGCTTCATATCCAGTAATTAATTAAACTAATTCCAAAATGTAAAGGTAGTGTATATATAAAATCTACCTCCATGCCACTTTAGGATGATGAGGGGTATTTCCGTAATAATCAAAATACATACAGTGTACTCAAAACTTTTCTCTTTATCTTTGTATACTTCGCCCTGTGTAGGAGCTTTAAAGCCATCGGTTTTTGCGTTTGACCGCTACTAATGGGGGAGAAGAATATAGCTCAAATCATATAATTCATAAAGTTGAACAACTCTTCCGCAAACCAATTTATTAATGTAACATCAAAATCCAACAAACCAAAACAGCTTTTACCATTTAAAAAGATGAAATCTTTTTGTTATTCTGAGTAAACATCAAGATCACAGCTTTTGTGCTGAACACAGACACACAAATCCCTGAGTTTTCAGCTTTTATTATTGCCAGTTCTTGAGCTGATGAATACGTCCTCTGTTGTCACAGGCTTGAGATGATTCAGTTTCATTGCAGATCATCCATCACCAGCCAACAAGGAGTAGCTTTAGAAGAGCCATTCTGATAAACAAACCGTTCTTTGCTTGTCTAAAGTAGGCAGCTCTTGGATCAGCGTCAACATCTGGAGTGATCTACGCAAACAGAATTACAGAGAGAGTGAGGATTGTGTTGTGCGGTTCATAGAGAGGAAAAAAAAGATAGAAAGAGAGAGATGTTTTATCAACTCACTTCATCCAGTCTTGGTAAAGGATGCATGATAACAGCATTTTTCTGCATGACTCCTAACAGATCCTTGTCCACGATATACTTCCCACGAGCTGCTTCGTAAAGGTCAAGCCTTTCTCCGAACCGCTCTCTCTGGATTCGGGTTTGATAAACTACGTCACACTTGGATGCTACTTCCATTAAATCTGAACTCTCTTCCCATTTCACCCCATTTGATGTCAGATAGTCTTTAATGTCATCCTATAATTACAAGAGTAAACATTTTTTTTAAAGATGATGATAAGCAACAAACCCAATACAGTTTTCGAGTTAATTAAGCCATCTTCTTCAAACTCTCTCAAGGAGAGTGAGAAGTTGACTAATACCACTAACCTTCATCTTAACAATCCCAGGGGAAACAAAGTAGATCTTCACGTCTTTAAATTTGGCAAGCAAGTATGCAAGTGACCGCACTGTCCTTCCGTTGGCAAGGTCTCCAACTAAGGCTACACTGATGCCATCCAGTTTCCCAATTTCACTTTGGATGGTGTAGACGTCCAAGAGAGCCTTCACACCACAGCAACAGTATCAGATATAAGAAACTAATACGTCTTGTTTAGAAAAAACTAAAAACACTAAAGGTTATGAACACAACACACCTGAGTGGGATGCTCTCCAGGACCATCGCCTGCATTAATGACAGGTATATTGGCAGTAGCTGCAGCTTTCCTAGCAGCACCGCTTTCGAAATGCCGCATCACGATTATATCTGTATAACCCTCCACCGTTCTTATGGTGTCTGAAAAACGAACCCACAAATTTAAAGTAAATAGTGTAAAACACAATCAAACATGTCACAGTACCAATTAGATACTAGCTGACAAGATGGGATACCTTCAAGTGTTTCTCCTTTAGCAGCAGACGAAAACTCTCTAGCGTTCTCAGTAGTTAAGACTTCACCTCCCAAGCGTTTCATGGCAGACTCGAACGAGAGCCTTGTACGTGTAGAAGGCTCGTAAAAGAGGGTAGCCATTAAATACCCTTTGAGTATTTCACTCTGTGAAGAGCTCTTTTCTATCTTCTCCATTTCGCGCGCAACGTCGAATATAGCACTTAGCATCTCCCTATCAAACTGTTGCCCTTCGATCACATCACTCAGCTGAAATTTCTTCCCAGCGGTAAACGAATCCCTCGTCTCGACTTGCAAAGCATGACACTTGATTCCTCGCATCGCAGCATTTTTCTTGAGGTTCTTAGAAGTCAAGCAAATCTTGGAACTGACAAAAGGACTTGAGAGATTGCTTGGCAAGTCAGTGCCGCAGGCTAGTGCTTTAGGAAAAGCTGAGGCACCACAAAGTGTGGCTGAAGTAAGTGATGATGTGATAGACATTCTGGTAGGAGGCTGATGATTCGTTGAAGGTATGTGCTTAGAGACAAAGTTCCAGAATCTGCAAAGATCAGCCTACAACGCATCACTTCACAGGGACTCCCAAAACATAAGAACTACCAAATATATCAAAATCAGAACTAACCATGCTTTCACATTTGTTTCCACATGATTTTTTTCTAAGAAACCCAAACAACACTTAGACCATGCTGCTCTAATCTTTAACCTTGATATCAGATTCTCAGTTAAGACAGGACTATTGAGATAGTTAGATATGTGGTGTCTCATAGTCTGTTTGCAACAAGTTATCATGATCCGAAACTAAAGCAAAGTTCATTTTTTTTTATTTCAATCAATTGTGAACCAAAGGCAAGAAAATAAAATACAGGAATAAGAAAAGGATTCCCAGAATTTCAAAACCTGCACAGTCACAGACCTTATGGAGCGTTTGAAATCAGCAGAGCAGAGTTATCTGCGGTTAGGTAGGGAGAGTCTTGACTGGTCGACGCAACGCCGGGAGGGAAATTGATAAAAGGAGAAGTTACACTTAACTACGCTGCGTAAGTACGAGATTGTCGACGGGAACGGCCGCGGGATACGCAGCGGCGGCCGGAGGAGCGTAGGGTTTTAGAGAGTGAATCAGAAATGACGAATTTTTCGAGAGGTTTTCGGAATGGCGGAGGGAAAAACGAATAGGATTAGGAAATAAACAAATCAAGATTTTAATCCCTCTGTTTTATTCTTTTGTTGGACGAGTAAAGGTAGTTGATTACAAGTTAGTGGCCTTATTAGGCCCACACGGTTTTTTTTTTCCTTCCGGGCAGGCCCAGTTAGAGATAAAACGTTCCAAACCAAATTTTTATTTATTTCAAAATAGAATAATTATAAAATTAAATTAAATTTCTTTCCAATGTAATATTCTATTTTCTATTTCAAACTAAATACTATTTTAATTTTTTTTGTCGAAAATACTATTTTAAATATATATTTGTCGAAACACACTATATTACATAAAAATAATTAAATTTATTTTTATTATTTTAAAAATATTGTTAAATTTATTATGGTTTAAGTTATTATATTTTATAATTAAATATATGTTATTTGTATTTTAATTTTAATATTATTTTACTTTTAAATATATATGATCATCACTAAAAATAAATCATCATCAAGATAATTATTTATAACTTTTAAAATAAAATTAATTCAATATAAAGAACTACTTTATAAATAAAAAAAGTTTAATGTCAAAACAATAAAAATGATATGAGTGTATATATTTATAAGAAAAAATGAAATAGAGTTAGGACAACTTTTGTACTAAAATATAATTTAGCACTATAGAGTTAGAAATGCTTTAAAATTTGAGATTATTCAAAGAGAATTAGACAATTAAATCTCCAACGCATAAACTCATGATGACGAATGACCAAGTAAGAAGAAAAGGATTGGGGGAGTCTTTAAACATCAAGATGATATCCCTATGATCCTCTCAAAAGGATGAGGAGAGAATAATCGCATAAAATGATTGAAAAAGTTGAGTTGGCAATAACATAGGCGTTTTACTTTGGTAATTTTACATTTACTTGCACCGTTGGTGAAGAACTTCTATATTTGCTTCTATATTCGCTCCCTGATAAGAGATTTTGGTGTTAAGTCAAGGGTTCACCCGGTTCATCCAATTGTGAGTATTAAGAAAGGTAAACTTTTATAAAATTTAAATTTGTTAGCATTATAAATATTTATTGTTTTTTATTAATTTAACATTTTTTACTATTGATATATTCAGTTTTTTGCTCATTTTTAAGCAAAAATTGAATTATTTATCCAGTAGATTTTATAGCAGGTGGACTTCTTGCAACGCACTGCACTAACAAGTGGCGCAAGAAGAATCTGCGTACATGGAAGGAATTGGAGATACTGGTTACTTAAGATAAATTTTGTTTTCTATTTTTTTATATTAATTTCTAATTACAGTACAATTTGTGTTATTATAGTATGTCTGTTTCACACATTGCTTCAATGAATTATCGCTTGAAGAGGAAATCATGAAGCTGAGAAGAGCTAAAGAAACATGCAAGTTGAGTTCAGCTCAAATAGAGGTTGATATCAAATATTTGAACTCAACTAACACTAGTAAAGCATACTCAACGTATCCAGAGATCGCCACGAAGAAGAATCAGCTAAAAGAAAGTTCATATGAAAAACATATTGAAGATTCAAATAGGAAGATCTTCAATGGACCTGATGAAGATATGCGACTACTAATAAAATCATTCTGGCCAAACCACGAGGAATCTAGAAACAAAACCGGATGTTTTGTAATCTTAATTCATCATAGAACCGAGGCAAATAGGATTCATGCCAAAATTAATTACAGTTTAAAAATTATTCAACTTCTAAACCGGATGATGCTCAGTTTGCCTTATTGGAAGCTCACGAGTTTAAACATTTACAAATCAGACTTTGGCGACCAGGAGGGACATCTAAGCATTCAGAAGACACATCTAACCATCCAGTAGATTCAGAAAACATCTTCCCAAGCACCAGCACCCACATGATCAGGCGGAACATGTCACACTTATACTTACATTATATGGAAGTATTCACACTTAGCTCCATAACTCTCCAACGGCTCCTTTCTTCCTGATCCGAGACAAGCATGATTTAGGGAGATTATTCATCATCAAGATATCAAGATATAAGTCAACAAATCCCCTTCATTCATGCCATTGCTCATCACTCATTAAATTAGTCAAAAATCTCTTTAATCCGTCTTTTTGATCTTTGATTGGTTCTTTGCATAATTTTCTCTTTAGAGTTAATAGCATTGACGTATACTGAGCCTATATAAGTTCATAGTTGTTTCATTTGTAGATCACTCCTTGTTATATAAGAAAATATAAAATTTATTCTTTTTTTATTCAAAAAGTGTTTTTTTGTCTAAACAACTTATCTTTAGATATTCATATGAGAGATGCATTTGTTTCTACTGATTCTTGGAATATAAGTGTTTGTATGATTCAGACAGATCTTGGTCCAACAGCTGAATGAGTCAGCCATCCCACCGACTGAGTGAGTCAGTTAATTTACCGATTGAGCAAGTCCATCAACCTCAGTTCCACCTCCATTCAGACTTCATTCCACATTCTCTATCATAAGCTTGGAATTCTCTTGATCATTTTGTGATCATAAATTGGAGTGATTCCAATCTTATATGTTTGCTTGCATGGAACCAGAGAAAATATGTGCCTATAAGCTTAGGGAAACCGATAGAATAGTCCCTCTTCAAAGCTTAGAGATGTGTAAAACAATACACATAAACATAAGAACACAAGTTACTTTGGCAAATTTTTCTCTGATTCATTGATTTGACCGTGATGTCTTTAAATATACAAAGGAAACAACTGCTACAAAGATGAAAACTGAAATACGAGAAAGTGGAGTTATGGAGATTGAGAAAGTGGAAACGAATATATTGTATCTAATTATTGTTGAAGATAGTAAACCCTTAATTGACTTGGTGCCCACGTCACCTTTGTCTCCGAGTTGTATCTCATCAGAAACTGGTGATTTTAGTGAATGTAGTCGAGTATCTAAGTGACTTTATACTCAGAACTGGTATCACCTTGTTTAGTAATTCTTTCTGTGTTGAGTCTGTGAGAGTAATTGACTTTCTCCAAGTTCTCTATTGTTGTTATCTCACTTGCATGTTCTTTTAATTGCTGCTAAGTACTCCTCCATGACTAAAGCTGATGACATTCCTTGCTTTCTTCAACATTCCTGTGTTTTGGCCGATACTTCTCTGCTACTGGATCGTTCTGTTTGTTCTGACAATGAGACGCCAAATCTCACACATGATGATGTACAAATACATACCCTTCAGTCTGGGAAAAACAAGTATTGAGAGTTTTCTTCTCAATACAAAATGAACTTCCTACATTTGTTATGGAACAATTTTAAGAAATTAGTTAATTTTCCTTTTTTCTTCTTGCGAAAAAGAATGATAATTTTACTTCACCAAAAAGGCAAAAAAGGAAATTGATTGATTTCCTCTCCTACTTTCTTTCTACGCACGGATCCAAAAATTTATTACACGGACCTGGATCTGTCAATTACAAGTTAGTTTATCTTCATTCTTAAAACTTAAAATCTGACAAACAAAAGAGAGAGTGTTATCTGTACAGAAAGGAAAACAAATTCAAGCTTTAAACCTAAATTCCTACTCTAAAACATACCCTTAACACAAGAAAAAGTGAAGAAACCCCCTAAGAATATACAACACGAGCATCTATGAAAATCATCAATTAACCTCTGGTATGCTCTGCAAAACCGGTCTCCACGACCGTTGCTGATTGGATTCTTCGTACGTATTGGCCAGACTCGGACACGAGAGAGCCTCTTGCTGAAAGGTCAAGTCATGGACGTTGACTTTACTCAGTAAATCCTGAAGTTGCTTCTTCGTTAGCCTGATCTTGATCTCATGAGATGGATCAGAGGCTTTACTGTCACCTCTAACAACTACTGTTTTAGCCTTAGTGGAAGTTGTAGAGCTATGATGATGATGATCTTCTTCTTCATCTTCGTTGATGAATTCATCCCAATCTTCACCAGCCCAATGCATTTCGGACTCATGTCTTAGACAATTCCCCATTCTTTCTTTTTCTTTTCTTTGGAGGTAACTGGTAAGGGATTTGTTTATATATACGTAGGTAGAAGCTGGTGGGATATTAAAATCATTAAAAAAAAAAATTTGGAGATAAAGATTAGATCAAAATGCAAGAAGAAGAACATATACTATCTGCCACGTCAGGTTTTATTGTACTTTTGTCCTACGTGGACATGTGTTTGTTGAACTCACCGTCACCAGCTTTTGTCCCGCTTCCTCCACCCTTCCACGTGTCTTTATCGGCTCCTCGGCTCGGCTTGGATATTTTTGCTGATTAGAATATATTTTCCAGTGTGCCGGTGAAAATGCAAAGCCCATGGAAAAGGCAAGAAAGAAGAACTATAATAATTGTATAAATACCTAACGTGACGTCTAACGAAAACAGAAATACACACGAAAGTTTCTAGTAACGCACATGGCTAAAGAGAAACATGTAAAGCATTAATAATGACGAGACCCAATAATGCATTATCCAATACCGCATTATAATAAGAGCTTCATGTTTACATGTACAAACCCCATAAAATGAAATTATGTTCATATCAATTAGATTTCCTTTAATTCTTGAAAGAATAGTGTCCGAGTATTGAAAAATTGATAAGAAGAAATTTATTTATAAGCTATTAGTTACAACAACTCACAACAAATATGTTCCCAGCTAATTTCAGTAAACCACTAGCAGAGTATGTTTTGATTTATAAACGCGTTATATTTAATAAAATGATTAGAGATTTAGAAATATGGATCGAGCCGAGCTAGGAGAGAGCCGAGTGAAGTGAAGTGTGAACACGGCACTTGGGGAGGGATCTTTGAAGTGTGAACGCAACCAAAGATGCCCCAACCCAATTTTCAATTACTCGATTAAGCCATAACATATTCAATAATTACACGCACGTCTCCCACATTTACTTTGATAGTTTCCATTACCCTCTTACCTTTTCTTTCATTAGTTTTTAATTATTCAAGGTTTTGGATTATTCAGTTTTTCAGTCTTAATTTTAGTCATTAAAAAATTCCTACGCAACTCATGTACTGCATTATGATTATGACTACTATTGGTACATGGTGCTTAAACTTGCACACGATACAAAATTAAAAAAAAAAGAAGTCTAAATCATCAATGATTTCAACTAATAGCACTCTTTTATTCATTATTCGTGTAAAAATACATCAAATTTCACATACCAACCGATATTAACATCAATTACCCTAAATATATTGAAAACGTAACTCAACAACTAATATACTACAATTATTATTTATAAAAAAAAGTCAAAAGCTCAAAGTTGGTGTTACATCAAACTTATCCCACTATATTACAACTAGCTTTTTTCTGTAGTATCGACCAAAAGCCCGAAGTTGGTGTTATACATCGAACGTATCCCACTATCTACTAGATTTTTTTTCTTTCTATAGTATCGCTCACTTGATCCATAGACCCGAGTTTTATATTTCTAAACGAACCTTGAATTGTATAATATTTTGGTTGATCTATCGATGTCTCGCACCTCTTGTTCTTATCAATTGTTAATGCAAAAAAGTTTTGTAAATAAGATATAGAATCTTGCTGTTATGCCATTATATAGGGGTCTATTTTCAATTTCTATGACTAGATCTTACACATACATTTAATTATTCTCATCTGTTCTACAAAAACGATCCACCATTTTAATGAATGTTCAATCATTGTATTCAAATAAACAAGTATATTAACATATTTCCTAGAAAAGTGACAATTCAAACTGAGATTCTTTGTTATTAATGATTTCTACTGATTTGGTGACTAAGTCCACCCGAAGACTTTATTATTTAGAGTCTTTATAGACTATAAAGAAACGAAATGTAAGATGGAAATAAGATAAGATACTTCCCTGGCGTAAATATAATCAATGATTATACGATTCACATATACATACACACATTGACACGGCACACACAATGATACATGCAATGCTTACACGAGACATGTAGACTACTTATACATGAATGCAATGAGAAATGGTCCAATATACGTGATTAGTTAAAAAATACTGTATATTAGGTTTGGTGTTGGAAGTTTAAAACGGACTAAAAAGTAAGAAAGCTAATTTGCCACACAAGGATCCATTAAAATTAAGCTCTTAATACTTAGGTTTTGAACCATCTAAACATGGGCTTTATTTTTTATATTTGTTGTTGGGCTTTGATGCTAAAAGAATCTGAAGCGCATCAAAATACGTAGTCTTTCATTTTCAATGATAATAATAAAAAAAACTGAAAATAATTTGGACATGTGAAACTAATTAATAAAATCACATAAAATATACTGTAGTATCCCCCACATTCATATGCATAACATCTTTCGTTACAGTTCCGAATCAATCACGAGCTCTCAAGTTTCCATATCCGTATCTCTTTCACGCATTCTCTGCTTCTTCCCATCTCTTTTTTTTCCTTTTCTGTTCAGATTCTATTCTTCACTTTGAGAAAAACTTTGTCTTTTGTGGTGGTTACGTCGATGAGGTAGATGAAGTTCACCGGAAAATCAAATTCGACGGCTACATTACCCGCCACACTCCCAAATCTCACGGGTAGTCATAAGGCTACCATAAGAGCGCGGAAGCTGAAACCGAGATTGACCCGTCAGCGAAGATCCGGCGTCCCCGGTAGGAGGCGGAGCAGACCGGAGACTCCTCTATTAAAATGGAAAGTGGAGGATCGAAACAGGGAGCGATGCGACGCTGTTGAAGATGATGATTCTGATAATCAGGTTGATAATAAGTCGCCGAAGATTCTCAGGAGAGGTACAAAACCGAATACTGTAAGGGGACTTGCGGCCGGAGTGTGGCGATTGCAAGTCCCGGATGCGGTTTCTAGCGGCGGAGATAAGAGGAGCAATGATGGGTTAGGCTCTCAGGTACAGCTTTGATTTTTTTGGTTATTTTTCGATGTCTGATAGTTTTGAATTTTTTGGTAAGGAGTGGAAATTAGACATTTCGAATCTGGATTTGTAGGATCCGCATTGTGAATGTGATAACGAGGTGAATTTGCGTGGACGTATAGAATCAAACAAAAGATTACATGGTTGCTGATTTTGCTTTAGCTTTGAATGAAAACATGAGAGCATATTGATTCCAGGATCTTCACACTACTGTAGTTTCTTGTGTCCTGGATCTTTAAACATGATTTTGATTACTGTTTGATCATGTCTCTGGAATCTGGATACTCTGTTTCTTCTCTGCTGGATGTAAAATAGCTACAGTATATAGAGAAAGTCAGAAAATAATGTTCTCTTCATTTTCTTTGGTGATTTTTTTTTTTCTCCAGGGAAGTACTGGTCCTGCTGGACACTTGGGTCCTCTGTTCTTTTATCACGATGATCATAAACATTCTGGCTATCAAAGCAACAATTCAAGAAACAAGCATTGTTCTGTTGCTGCAACAAAAAATGGATTCTTTTGTAAGGTGTGTATGTTGATATCCGTAAGGTTACTTCTAGGTGGAGATGTCAATTCGATTAGTTGTTGAAATGCGTCAAAAGTCATATACTTGTTGCTTGAGCTGTTTTATAATGAACCATAACTAAATTTTGTGGTTGAGATGGAAGGAAGGCTCAAATAACAATCTGGTACCTGAGAGTTGTGGTCAGCTTTACCTTTTTGGTGTGAGTGTGAGTATGATAACGCTGCCTAACTTCAGTGTAGTTGTTAACTTGAACATATTAAGAAATTGACACTCTTCACATTTCTTTGGTTGGCTATTCTTGTCTGAGTCCTTAAAGGTCCCTTTTTTTTGTGGAACTGTATTCGTTTTTTTGGGGTTTCTTGATCTGAAATCTTCAGTTTCTTTTGCTGTTAGGATGAGCCTTCAATTCCAATTTCCTACCCTGCGATGGAGGGGACATCAAAATGGGATCCCATTTGCTTGGATACAAGGGATGAAGTGCACCAACTCTATAGCAACGTAAAGCGGACTAATCAACAAGTGAATGCTGTATCATTGGCTTCTTCTATTAAGCTGAAACTGGAAGAAGCTCGTGGTCGCATCGATGATCTCGAGAGTGAGAAACGATCTCAGAAAAAGAAGCTTGAGCAGTTCCTGAGGAAAGTTAGCGAGGAGAGGGCGGCTTGGCGGAGCAATGAGCATGAGAAGGTCAGAGCAATCATCGATGACATGAAAGCTGATATGAACAGGGAAAAGAAAACTCGTCAGAGATTAGAAATCGTCAATCTGAAATTAGTTAATGAGCTTGCAGATTCAAAGCTGGCTGTAAAGCGTCACATGCATGATTACCAAAAGGAAAAGAAGGCAAGGGAGCTAATCGAAGAAGTCTGCGAGGAACTCGCCAAGGAAATAGAAGAAGACAAAGGTGAGATTCAAGCATTGAAGAGTGAATCCATGAATCTCAGAGAGGAAGTAGACGACGAGAGAAGGATGCTGCAGATGGCTGAGGTCTGGCGCGAGGAACGTGTCCAAATGAAGCTTATCGATGCGAAAGTAACACTCGAGGAGAAGTATTCACAAATGAACAAGCTTGTAGGAAATTTGGAGGACTTCCTCAAATCAAGAAATGCTACTACAGGTGTTAAAGAGGTGAGAGAGGCAGAAGCGTTACGAGAAACCGCTGCGTCGGTTAATAATAACATCCAAGAAATCAAGGAATTTACATATGAACCCGCAAACCCGGATGATATCTTCTTGTCATTTGAAGAAATGAACTTGGGTGAAGCAGAAACCGAGCAGTGTGTTGCCTACAGTCCGGTAAGCAACGCTTCAGAGGTTCACAGGGTAAGTTCAGATGCCAATTTTATCAGCAAAGGAAGACGGTCGAATGCTTTCAATGACCAGAATGGTGAGTTTGAAGAAGACGACAGTGGTTGGGAAACTGTGAGCCATCCCGAGGAACATGGATCTAGTTACTCTCCAGATGAGAGCATACATTCTATCATCAACAATCATCAGCATGACAGGGATGTAACGATGAATGGAACAGAGTTTCAAAAGAGTCCACTCAGAGAAATAAAAGAAGCGGGCTCGGTTCCAAGACGAGTATCCAAAAAGATATCATCAATGGCAAAGCTCTGGAGTTCGTTGGAAGGTATCAACGGGAGAAAATCAACCGTAGGGATGGTTTCACTTTCACCAGAGAGAGGCTCGAGCAGAGGCGGATTCAGCTCGTTGGACTTGGTGGGGCAATGGAACTCACTATCACCGGATTCGGCACATGCTAATGTAAACCGAGCAGGGATGAAAGGATGCATAGAGTGGCCTAGAGGTGGGCATAAGAACAGCTTGAAGACAAAGCTCATAGAAGCACAAATCGAGAGCCACAAGGTTCAGCTCAAGCATGTCCTTGAGCATCAGATCTAGGCCACTACATACTTTGAAGCTACGCGTGACCCAAGTCAAGCTAGTCTTCGTGGCTAATTAATACCTTCTTTCACTAGTAAGTGATATTCTTAATCACTACTAGATTGTGTATACAACTTCTAAATTGTGGGGATGCAGTTTTATGCTTTCACAATAAATAAGAGAAATATCTTAAAATGATATTTTAGATTTTTAAGGTTTTCATGTATTCTTTCTTTTCGTTACAATATTATTCAGCGAAAGAGGAAACTTTTTGCATTGAAAAGACTTAAAACATAAGAAACATGATCTAAGAAACAAAAGACAAAGCTTGCATTACAATATATATTATGCGTTTAAAGAAATAAAACTAGCTAGGGAGGTACTTGGTTGAAGAAATGGACTCAATTTGGACTTGAACGACCAACATATCATTCCTAACGAAACCCTTTGATGGATCTCTGAGATCAGAAAGTGGCATGAAGTCAGCGTATCCCCACCCGATATTCTGTGGACTGAACCAGTTATCAACTGCCATGAATACAACACACACGACATAATATTAGTTATCAAGGTGGTCTCATTAAGATGTTAGAGATCGAACACACTAAAAGTGACAATTTGAGACGAAAATGGATACAAATACAAAAAGAAAAAAAATGGTCGTCACTTACGTGGCCGTTCTATGATAAAGTTGGATTGGCCTTGGTTAGGAACACGAAGCTTGGCTTGAACGTAAACCTTATCATAAGGCTTTGCTTTTAGTACCTCTTGTGGGGCGAGGTTTAGGTAAAGCGACAAATTTTTGCCTTCGTGATCCCCAAAACCATTTCGAAAGACTCGTAAATTCCTAATCATCGCCATGTAAAAAAAAAAATTGTGAATTAATTACTACCTAACTTGTACACACTTACAGACTTGGTCTAATTAATTACTGCAATTAACATATATGTGTGAAACTCACCAAGTTTTTCCTCCGATGATGAACTCCTCTGATAAGTAATCGGTAGGCAGTGTGGAGAAACCCTGAATAAACCAGGTGAATCTCGCGTTTGGAAAACTCTTGTTGACGGAGAAAAGCTCCGATTTGTCAAAGAGAGGTGGAATGGTGACATCAACGCCAAACTCACATTGGTCGGTGTCGTAAAGGTATCCATTTTTCAGGTTGTTGAACGTAGCAAGAGGAAGAACCCTAGGGAACCCCCACATCGATTTGTCTACACTGAATTTCCATACATCCGAATCTGCACGTACGGTATCACCACATAGATATATGTTACTGTAACTGTATATATATGTAGAGAGAAAATGACATTTTCTTTTCTTTTTTTTTTTGGTAGAAAAATCTCAAAAAATATTAGCAAAACCTTGGATCGTAAAGTATTTCTTCTGTTTCTTGTTGAAGACGTAAAACCTGAGATCTGCGGGGACCACTTGACGTGGAGAAACGAAAGTTGAGTTGTCTATGGCGACGTATAGAGAAATGTACCCTGCACCGTTATCGTTCTTGTTTCCCTTCGGGTACACAACAAGCGTCCTGTTATGTGAACTTTCAAATTAATTATCGATAGAAATTAAAAGATTCAGCACACAACGTACATTCTGTAGTATTTTGGCATATGAACAAGGTGCTACATTTGGTAGAGATGATTTACGCTTTATGGACCGACCGGTCACATGCAAGTATTAATATTGTTCCGGGTCTAGATAAGGACAAAACCAAGAAATTTCAATAAAACAAAAGAAAAAAAGATGGTACGTACCAATTGTATCTACCGACCCTAAAAGGACGAGATTCATAACTATCGGTGAAGTTTGACTTCGTGAGTGTGGTGAAAGACTCCAATTTGATAGAATAAGACGATGGAGGACGTTCTCTCAGACCTTTCAACGTGCTCGACAATGAGACTTTACTATCACGTGATGATGCTTGAGTGAGGATAAGTTTTTGAGAACCATTCTCCACGTTTGGAACTGGTCCTGCAAAAGAAGAGGTGATGTAGAGACAAGACAAGAGAGAAAATATACAAAAGGTATCTCTGTAGTAACTCATCATGTCAAAGAGACTTGTGAATGAATGATGTCTAGAGAAGAGTGTGTGTGAGAATTGCTCATGATTATGGTAAGTGTATGAGTACGTATATATAGAAGGAAAGGTGGGCTAACTAGTTGCTAAGGGAGGGGAAAAACTAGTGAATGATGGTGTTATTCTTTGTGCCTAGTGCACCAGTTGGTATATTAAAATTGAAATCCCGATCTGGTTCGATAATGCGTTTACTTTTCAACATCGACTTTTGAAGTCTATCTAAACTTGAGGTTGTACTCATTTATAGGTTTGCTGGAAAAATGGATACAAAAATTAATAAAGTTTGCATGATCAAATTTCTAACTAAAATCAAGTATCTGATTTTCGGATAATAATCTCATTAGTTCTGGAGCTAATTAACTTTTAGTTTTTGTTTTTTATGGTCAATCCGTAAAGGAACAATCAATCATCTATCCATAATCATAGCACTCGGGTCGAATTCGAATCATGTAGCAATACTTCTTTAGTTTAGTTTATAAACTTGTGAAACCGTATTCTCTATATAAAATACACATAGAGAATGTTTGGTTTCTTTTAAAACGTATAAACGTTAATTGTGTTATTTCAGTGAACGAATTTTCAAAACATAACTTTCCTTTTAAAGAATGATTAGAACAAACAAGAGTGATATTAGGTTTATGATTTATGTAATATAAAGTGCAGTTTTTACACATGAACCTTTTAGCAAAAGAGTTATGGTTTACACCTGACCTCATTTTCTTCTATTCGATGCTCTTTTATTCGAAACCTGACCTCATTTTCTTCGAGCTCCATTTTCTTTTCACTCTGAAGTTCTGAACATTACCCATCTCATTTAATGCACTTCCACTAAAATATTATTAAGTCAAAAGAAGATTCAGACAAATAAAATGTCAAAGAAGAAGATGTTCCCTTAATTTAATTCGATTTCCAGATCTAAAAACTCACGTGTTCTCTCCTTTCCTTCCGCATCCAGTGTTGATATTTGAGTAAAGTCGTGATAAATTCATCAGCTCCCATCTGAACTCACAGTCACCAATCACCATCACCCGGCCGTCGTTTTAAAAGGAAAAAGTTGCAATCGCATGCCCACGAACGTAAAACAAGCCCTAGTTTTCTTGGCCCAACGGACTTTTGCATCTACTGGGTTTGGGCTTTGGTATCAATGCCCAACCTCGATGAGCAGAGTGATGCTCAAAGATGTTTGTTTGGATTGAAGGAAATTAGTAATAATGTAAATTTTCAGAAAAAAATATTAGTAGTAATATATATATATATATATCTCTAAGTGTTTCTGTATTTTTACAAATAAGTAGCTAAGTACAGTTACTAATTAAATCACCCTAAGTAACAGCGATTATTGGTGGTTACTCTCTGACTCTGTTATTATTTTCTTTGGGGTTTTATGTGGTTTAAACTCACTGTTATTCAGCAAGGAAGAATAATACCTCCGGTGGAGAAACAACTCTGGAATAACCTATGGAAAGTCAAGACTCCTCCAAAGATCAGGCACTTCATGTGGAAAGCATTATCCGGAGCACTAGCGGTGGCAGAGAGGCTGCAGTCTCGAAATATTCCGCTAGACCCTACTTGCAGAATATGTGGTTCTGTTCCTGAAACAATATGCCACCTACTGTTCCACTGTACCAAAGCTAAAGAAGTCTGGAAACTTTCACAATTTCCAACTCCCCTCTCAGGTTGGTCTGAAGCTTCGGTATTCCTTAATTTCCATCATTTGCTGTCGCATAGCAGAAAGAGTGAGATAGCCATTGACATAAGACAATCATTCCCATGGATACTTTGGCAATTATGGAAAGCACGGAACGCTTGGGTATTTGAGAACGTCAATCTCGCACCGGCAGATATAGTAGGGAAAGCTTTGGAAGACTCTGATATTTGGCTGCAGGTCAATATGATGGAAGAGAACGACCCCCTACACAGTACCGTAATAACCGAAGGAAGGAGCAGATGGAAAAGACCTCCAAGCGAGATCCTCAAATGTAATATTGGCTCATCCTGGATCAACCCGAGAAGGAACAGTGGAGGAGCTTGGCTGCTAAGGAACCACAATGGAGAGATCCTATGTCATGGTAGACAAGCCTTCAAAGCTCAAGCGTCAGCTAGGGAAGCAGAGTTAAGTTGCATTCTTTGGGCAGTACAGGCTATCTCTCACTTAAGACATAAAAGGGTTATTTTTGAGGGATCCCTACCTTTGGCGAGAGAGACACTTCTGCATCCGAACCAATTTCCTCTGCTGCAGACAAGTACTACAATGATCCGAAATTTGCTTTCATCATTCGACTTTTGGAGCCTTGATCATTCATCGGAAAGCGCAAATCAGGCAGCATTAGCTATTGCAGTTAGCGTCACAAGAGATCATCGTTATCACTCTTATGTGGCCACAAATGGCCCTTTTTGGCTACACAGAATCACATCTATGGAGGCTGAGGATACACTTTCCTGACTTGGGCAGTAACGTGAATTCCAGAATGAACATGGGAAGGAGTCCCTGTTTCGTCAAAACAATTTTTTAGCTTCTCTTAAAGCTTGAGTATCTATTGGTATCTCTGTTTTGCTTGGTGTCTTTTCTTTTTTCGGTAATCTTCAAACTCTGGCCCTTTTCGTAGGCCCTTTTTAATACAAAACCAGCGTTTAAAAAAAAAAACTCACTGTTATTCTTTCATGCAGTCTTCTCATTGAAGACCTCTCACCATGACTACAAGTGTAAGGGTAATTCTAGGGACACCGAACGTTAAAACTCTTTTGGTATGGTGTGGTACAGATCTTGTGAATTTATGTGGAATCTCCAAATTCCCTAATGTTAATATTTTTGTTTTTTTGTGTGGTCAATTAGCTATAATAGGAGTGGAGCCAAAGTATATACATGTGCTTTCAATCTGTGTCAGATCAAATATGAGGAGTAACCAGCACCACTAGCTTTCAATGTCTCACCCCCATCTTCTTGAGTATCTTCAAAGAAAATAATAGAAGCAAGCAGACAAAATCATCAAGGAAGAGGCTCAAATCAACCTTGTCACTAAACAATTTAATGATATTACATTTAATGATACCAGTCTCAGGTCGTTTACAACAACCATCCAAAGCCTGATAAGATGGTTGTTTTGCATTTTCATTGATTGAGGGTAAACTTGAAAGAAAGAAAAAACAGGTACTATCAGTGTTTTTTCTTTTCTACTCTCATGATAAGTGTAACCACCTTATCAATCAAAAAAGCCATTCAGCTTTTTATTATTCCATGACAAACACGAGGCAACAAAAACCAGAGTTAGGTATATTATTATTATAAGAAACAAAGTAGCAACAGTATCATGTAATAATTGCATAAATATGATCTGGAGCTCTGGAGTCTTCCAAAGCATGTATCCCTCTCTACTATATAAGTCTCACTACTCTCAGTAATATACACTTCATTCACATATATAACGTCCAAAGATGACGATTCGCTATACAAACACCGTTTCTGCTGTTTATCTCTTGGTCTGCCTCTTCTTCACGTCTGCCTCTTCACGTTCCTTCATACGACAATACACTGATGACTTCAACACAAATATGCAGCGTACACAATCCATTTTTCTCTTAGATTTGATCTAATATTGATAAAAGTCCATCTAATATCTTTATATATCATGTGTGTTGGACCGTGTCTTCATGAACACTGAGACACATCCTTTGTTTTCTGTCTCAAAACAGAGGAGAGTGGAGAAAGAGCGAACCCCATCCAGGGAGAAGTGCACTACTTACATAAACATCAAGAGATCTCGTCACGTAATAATGAACTCTCAGCTTCAAACACAGTGAAAGGTCTGAGAGATCGTCCTCCATCATCTTACTCTCTAAAGATGGAATCTTTCAACACGCTCCTTAAGTCAACAACTGAGAGATATGAATCTCGTCCTTTCTCCGCCGCTGGATACAACTGGTACTGTTTATAAACCTGATGTTCATTCACTCAAACTTGAACTGTATATACTAATTAAAAATCTTCTGTGGGATCTCAAAAAACAAACAGGACACTTGTTGTGTACCCGAACGGGAACAAGAATGATAATGGTGCAGGGTTCCTTTCGCTTTACGTAACCATAGACAACTCAACTCTCTCTCCACATCAAGAAGTTTACGTGGATCTCAGGTTTTACGTCTTCAACAGGAATGAGAAGAAGTATTTTACGATCCAAGGTTTTTCAACCTTTACAAAAAATGTAATCTTTTTAACAAGAAAGATGCTCTTCTATGTATAGTAACATATCTACCAATCTATGTTTTGTTACTGTAGATACCGATGGATGGAGATTCAGTTTCTTCAAAACGATGTGGGGATTCTCTCAGGTTATCCCTGTTAGTACATTTAAAGAATCGAGAAACGGGTACTTATACGATGGAGATCACTGCGAGTTTGGTGTTGATGTGACCATTCCTTCTGTCTTTCAAACATCCGAGCTTTTTTCTGTCGCTGACAAGTTCCAAATCTCGAGATTCACCTGGACGATCCGGGGATTCTCCACGCTGCTCGGAGATACTTACTACTCAGATGTGTTCTCCGTGGGAGGAAGAAATTGGTGAGTCCACGTTATTTCCAAACATGAAAAGCTCTTTTGCTTTAGTTAGAGTGTATCGTAGTAACAAAGTAATCCGTACGATGATGATTAGGAATATACAAGTAAATCCAAGTGGTCGTGCCTCGGGAGAGGGAAAAGCCTTGTCCATGTATCTTATCCTTAACGCAAACGAGAAATTCAGACCCTATGAGAAGATTTATGTTCGGGCTAAGCTTCGACTTGTTAACCAACGCAACAGATTCAATAACATCGAAAGGCAACGTAGGCAGATGATTTACATATATTTTATTATGGCTATGGACACATCCTCAGTGACTAATGAGTGCTTTCTTGTGAACTTTTTCTATTTTTGGCAGTTGATAATTGGTTCAATGGTCCGGGATATGGAGATGCATTTGGTTGGGGTTCTCATGAGTTTATCTCACTTTCTGATCTCAAAGATTCATCAAAGGGTTTCCTTGTGAATGATATGTTAGTGGCTCAAGTTGATATTGAAGCCGTATCTTCAACCAAGTACTTCCCGAATTAGAATTTCTCTAAACAAGGAAGTTGCAAATTGTATGTTTTTGCTTTGTTATCAACACCACCTTATAATAAGTCTGTGTTTCAAATAAATGAGCTTAATTATATTCTCATATATCAAACCATCATCTCTCTTCTTGCAAGCACCAATGATATTGACCGCAAGTCAAAATCATTAATGCATGGAACATTTGTTCATAATTCATTTTCTAAAAAAATCCATCATTTGGCGCAACTCAAACTCTTGTTCTTCTAGCCTTCATTGTTATTCATAACCACATTTCCGCTGTTTAATATTTTCTTCAAGCATATAAAGAAAACATTTCAAAACAAAGCATGAGGAGACTAAACTAAATTAATATGTTAAACTCTAAACCAAAAAAAAAAAAAAATTAGTTTCAAACCTAATACATAAACTTTAAACTTGAAAAGGACGTGTGTTCTTTATGTTAAGTTATATGAGCTTCCAACTCAAAACCAATTGGCAATGAGTGGATTGATCAAAGTCTTATATATATTAGTGTTGGTCCTTTTAAACTTCCGATGTGGGATTCCAACACACTTCCTCGAGATGATGGCTCTTATCAGCCCATCTCGAACTGAATTCTACTTTAGGACCAGTAATAAACCCTTTTTTGAGCCACCCTACTTGGGTTAACAAACAAAGCTCTGATACCATGTTAAGTTATATAGGCTTCCAACTCAAAACCAATTGGCAATGAGTGGATTGACCCAAGTCTTATATATATTAGTGTTGGTCCCTTTAAACTTCCGATGTGGGATTCCTAACACTTTATTTTCAAAGAATTACTATAGTTTTATTTTCATACTTGTAAAAGTTAAACGTATAGCCACAAAATAGTTACGAATTTTCCGTGGTTAACTTAAAAATTTCACCAAAACGCCATAAAGATGTAGCAACAAAGATGGTACGTACCAATTTTATCTACCGACCCTAAAAGGACGAGATTCATAACTATCGGTGAAGTTTGATAGAATAAGACAATGGACGACGTTCTCTCAGACCTCTCAATGTGCTCGACAATGAGGCTTTACTATCACGTGATGATGCTTGAGTGGGGCTAAGCTTCTGAGAACCATTCTCCACGTTTGGGTCCTTTGGGACTGGTCCTGCAAAAGAAGAGGTGACGTAGAAACAAGACATGAGGGAAATTAGTATACATAAGATATGAAATTCCCAGTGTGTGTGAGACTTGCTCATGATCATTATGATATGTGTATGAGTGCGTATATATAGAAGGAGAGGTGACTATAACTAGATGCTTAGGGAGGGGGAAACTACTAATGAGAATAGAGCATGGTATTGTTATCTTTGTGTCTAGTGTACCAGTTGGTATATTAAAATTGAAATCCCAATCTGGTTTGATAATGCGTTTACTTTTCATCATTGACTTTTGAAGTCTATCTAAACTTGAGGTTGTTCTCATTTAAAGGTTTGCTGGAAAAATGGATACAAAATTTAATCAAGTTTGCATGATCAAATTTCTAACTAAAATGAAGTATCTGATTTTCGGATGCTAATCTCATTAGTTCTGGAGCCAACTTTAATTTTTCTTTTTATGGTCAATATCTAAAGGTACAATCCTCTATCCATATTCATTGCACTGGAGTCGAATTCGAATCAAGTATCAATACTTCTTTAATAAAGTAGTTTATATAGTAAACTGCACATAGAAAATGTTTGGATAAACGTTTTTTTTTAATCGTCTCAATACAAATTATAGAAATAATTACAAGGATAATATTTAACTGACAATTTAATTATTTCACAAAGATTCATCATAGATATACGGGCTTACCATAAATAACTTTAAGTGTTCGTTCCTTTCTTATCTGAATAACTTCATTAAACTGCAGAATCAAAACACAGAAACATTAATAAACTTTTAATCGACCACTGAACTAAAATGTTTTCACTTAGATAAACGTTAATTGTGTTTTGAAAAATGTTAATTGTGTTATTACGGTGAAATAAATTTCAAAACATAACTTTTCTTTTTAAATAAGACTTTCATAATTTTATAGTAAAAAGAGTAACAAATATCTTTCTCAATCCGTTTTATATTTTACATTTTAGTACCTCAGATTAAACATGATCCATTATTAATTTTTTTTTCTTCCCCTTTTGTTACTTGACGAATTCTAGCTCGAGATATGAATTTTATTTTGAAAACCGAAACAGACCGGACTAAAGCAGGCCGACCACAATGTGGCTGATAACAACCTTAATTTTAAAAACTAATGAATAATGGTCTAATTAGAGTGAAGTATAGTACTACTGAATATTCTTTTTGTGGATCGAATTTTACTTTTTACATACTTTGATTTTGCAGCTTTCAGTTTTAAAACTATAAAAAAAATTAATATAACAAGAAGACATATATGCATGGCTGCATCCTTCCTGCATCTGCATGCACATGTCGTCATGATCAGTCACTGTTTTTGTGAACGGAAGTCTGAAGCGAGTTAATGGACTCTTTTATTATTTCTGGACAAATCTGGAAAACATCGGTACACGTAGATTCCCTTTTGTTCTTTGCCTACAAAGTTAGGCCTCAGTACAAAACTAAGCATGCGCGTTGTAAGTCAGTGTTAGGTCTCGTTAACATAAAGTTTTGGTCTTATGTGTAATAATTTGCATGCATGCATGCATGTCACTTGTCAATGACCCATATCGAATACAATCCACGTTACAGTAGTATATCAACTGATATTCATAAAGAATGACTAGAACAAACAAGAGTGATGCAGTGTACATTAGATATGTACTATTATAATGTGCTGTTTATACACATAATACACCTTTTACCAAAAAAGGTATTGTTTACACATAATTATGTTATTATGTACTATCGATGCTCTCTTATTCGAAAGAAACCTTACCTCGTTTCTTTTCAATCTGTAGTTCTGAACCCATTACCCATCTCATTTAATACACTTCCACTAATTAAAATATTGTTAAGTCAAAAGAAGATGCAGACAAAGAAGATGTTCCCTTAATTTAATTCGACTTCCAGATCTAAAACTCACGTATTCCCTCCTTTCCTTCCGCATCCAGTGTTTGATATTTGAGTAAAGTCGTGATAAATTTCACGTGCAGAATTCATCAGCTCTCATCGTAACTTAAAGTCACCAAGCACCATCACCAGTAGCGAATGCAGAAAAATATTTTAATATGGGCATATAATCAAAAATATTGAACAAATAATTGATTATTGATATTTATTATTAATATATATATATATATAGTACATACTATTTGTTTAAGTTTTAAAATTTAACTTATAAGAAAGTGAACATTCGAGCAATAAAACTCATGAGTAGCAAAGTAACAACAGCAAATAACATTATCTCACCGATGAGCATGCTCTTATTATAAGAAACAAAGTAACAACAGTATTATGTTGTAATAATTGCATAAATATCTACAGTTCTGGAGTTTTCCAAAGCATGTAATATGTATCCCTCTCAACTATATAAGTCTCACTACTCTCAGTAATCTACACTCCATTCACATATATAGCCTCCCAACATGACGAGTCACTATACAAACACCGTTTCTGCTGTTTATCTCTTGTTCTGCCTCTTCATCACGTCTGCCTCTTCAAGTTCCTTCATACGACAATACACTGATGACTTCAACACAAATATTCAGCGTACACAATCCCTTTTACTCTTAGATATGATCCATCTAATATCTTTTTAATTTATGTGTTTGGACCGTGTCTTCTTGAACAATGTGAGACATCCTTTGTTTTGCTTTTAAAATTCTCTGTCTTCTGTCTCAAAACAGAGGAGAATAGAGCAAGAGTGAACCCAATCCAGGGAGAAGCGCACTACTTACATAAACATCAACAGATATCGTCACGTGATAATGAACTCTCAGCTTCAAATACAGTGACGAAGGGTCTGAGAGATCGTCCTCCACAATCTTACTCTCTAAAGATGGAATCTTTCAACACGCTCCTTAAGTCAACCACTGAGAGATATGAAACTCGTCCTTTCTCCGCCGCTGGATACAACTGGTACTGTTTGATAACCTGATGTTCATTGATGAGGTTGCTCTTAAATTTATTCAAAAAAAAAAAATATCGTTTTCACATATAATGCAACATTTAGTGAAAGTTACTCAAAAACAATCGGAGCAAGAAAAACAAATCAGCTACGGGTCTCAAACCATGTGACCATAGCCTCAAACTTGAACTGTATATACTAAAAATCTTCTGTGGGATCTCAAAAAACAAACAGGACACTTGTTGTGTACCCGAACGGGAACAAGAATGACAATGGTGCAGGGTTCCTTTCGCTTTACGTAACCATAGACAACTCATATCTCCCTCCACATCAAGAGGTTTACGTGGACCTCAGGTTTTACGTCTTCAACAGGGTAGAGAAGAAATATTTTACGATCCAAGGTTTTTTTGCTAATTTCAACCCACAAAAAAATGTGATCTTTAAACAAGAATGATGCTCTTCTATGTATACAGTAATATATCTATCAATCTATGTTGTGTTACTGTAGGTACCAATGGATGGAGATTCAGTTTCTTCAAACCGATGTGGGGATTCTCTCAGGTTATCCCTGTTAGTACGTTTAAAGAACCGAGAAACGGATACTTATACGATGGAGATCACTGCGAGTTTGGTGTAGATGTGACCATTCCTTCTGTCTTTCAAACATCCGAGCTTTTCTCCGTCGCTGAGAAGTTCCAAAACCCGAGATTCACGTGGAATATTCGGGGATTCTCCACGCTGCTCGGAGGTACTTACTACTCAGATATGTTCTCCGTTGGAGGAAGAAATTGGTGAGTCCACATTATTTTCAAAAAATTCAAAACTCTTTTGCTTTAGTTAGAGTGTATAGTAGTAACAAGTGATCCGCACGATGATGATTAGGAATATACAAGTGAATCCAAGTGGTCGTGCCTCGGGAGAGGGAAAAGCCTTGTCCATGTATCTTATCCTTAACGCAAACGAGACACTCAGACCCTATGAGAAGATTTATGTTCGGGCCAAGCTTCGACTTGTTAACCAACGCTTCACATTCAATAACATCGAAAGGCAAAGTAGGCAGATGATTTACATATATTTAATCATGGCTATAATGGACACATTATCAGTGACTAACTAATGACTGCTTTCTTGTGAACTTTCTATTTTTGGCAGTTGATCATTGGTTCAATGGTCCGGGATTTGGAGAAGCATTTGGTTGGGGTGAACATGAGTTTATCTCACTTTCTGATCTCAGAAATCCATGGAAGGGTTTCCTTGTGAATGATATGTTGGTGGCTCAAGTCGACTTTGAAGCCGTATCTTCAACCAAGTACTTCCCGAATTAGATTAATTTCTAAACAAGGAAGTTGCAATTGTATGTTTTTGCTTTTGTTATCAACACCACCTTATAATAAGTCTGTGTTTGTGTTTCAAATAAATGAGCTTATATTCTCATGATATATCAAAACATCTGTCTTTTCTCCTTTCTAGCCATCATTGTTATTCATAACCATAGTAAAACTGTTTAATGTTTTGCCTCTTCAAGAATAAAAAAAAAATGCATCAACACACAGCATGAGGACACAACTAGCAACCCAAAAAATAAAATTGAAAATTATTATGAATATTACCATTCAGATGGTCACTAGAAGGGAAAAAATAACAAACATACAAACAATACAAAAGTTATTAAAAATGAGGTCATTCCGGGAAAGATATCAATAATTTTGAGTTTTTTTTGAACTATTTTATTTAATGATGAGAAGGCTTAAAGTATATATATATATATATATTTTTTTTTTTTTTACTTTTCTTATTTGTTTACAATGCAAGTTTTTTTTTTTTTTTTTGAAGTGAATGTTAAATTTATTCAAACCAAAAAATCAGTGTTACATCTAGTGTTACATGATTTTGATATATTACAAAAGAGATTCGAGGATTTAAGTGCGAGTGATGAACCAACATTGTAAAGCTGGTTCATATTTCGTATCTAGGCGCCGGATGGAGGAGATTCTGTCTCGAACTGCTTTGTCGATAAGTTTGAGGATTCTATCTCGTGGAAGAGGGTTGTCATGCCGTCGATTGTTCCGCTCTTGCCAAATGTAAGAAATGGCCGCCTGGAGAGTATACCGGAATAGAAAGACATCAATGAGCAGAGAGGTGAACTCCGAGAAGAGCTTCTCAACCAAGTCCCAGGTCGAGGTATACTTTTGCCCAAGTAAGCCCCTAAGCAAAGACTCCCAAATGGGTCTTGTGTATTCGCTGGAGAAGAATAGGTGGTCCCTTGATTCGACCTCCTGCATACAGAACACACATTCACCAGAAATCCCTCTGTTCCACTGTAACATTCTCACCCCTGTCGTCAAACGATCCTGCATTGCGAGCCATGTCATGAAAGAGAACTTGGGAGTAGCATGCTGGAACCAGATTCCTTTGTGCCATGTCTTTGAGCTTCGCACACCTCACAGGTCAGAAATTTAGGGCTATAAGAACCATTAGCGCGACGCCACAGCGCTCTGTCTCTTACACCTATACATCACAGAGTTCTTCGATCGTGAATGAGAGTCTCAATAGCAGCAAGAGCCTCATTCCTATGTCGCCTTTGCCTGTGATTATCCAAAACAGTTGCGACTGTTGCATGTATGGAGATTCCCATATCAATTACCCCTCGAGCACCTGTGATGTCTATCAGCCTGCCCAATGGAGACCAGATATCATACCAAAATGAAGTGTTTTCACCACTTAACACGTCAATTGTATGAAAGGGTTGGGCGAGCTCTCTGAGTTTCAGTAGCTTTCGCCACATCCAGGACCCCGTGTTTTGCTTAAATCGGACGGACCAGAAGGATTCAACTTGTATGAGGTGTTCATGAATCCAATCTACCCAGATAGAGTCTTTTGCAGACAGAATTCTCCAGATGAGTTTCAGATTACATACCAGGTTGACATCAGAAAGCAGCCGAAGTCCTAACCCCCCTTCTGTTTTCGGCCGACAAACATCTTCCCATGCCACTTTTGATTTATGAGGGTTCAGATCAGGACCGGACCAGAAGAAAGCAGAGCATAAGCACTCTATTTCCTTTATGCATGCTTTTGGGAGTCTGAAAGAGCCCATCCAGAAGTTTGTAATACTGGCGATGATCGAGCTTATGAGCTGCAACCTTCCAGCATAGGTAAGATAACGTGATGTCCAAGAGCTTATCTTAGACCTGATTTTTCTTAACAAAGGTTCATAATCAGATTTGGTCATTCTCTTGGTGAGTAGCGGCAAACCCAGATAACGTACAGGCAGCGACCCGTAGGCAAGGGGGAAGCGTGACTCAATTTCCAGTCTTGTGGAGTCCTTTACCCCCGCAAGGTATAATGTCGACTTTTCCAGACTTATGTGAAGACCAGAGATCCTAGCGAAATCATCAAGCACACTGATAATACCTTCCATTGATCGTAGTTTACCATCTGAAAACACCATAAGATCGTCTGTAAAACACAGATGCGTGAGCTTTATATTCGCACAACGGACATGGTATCTAAACTTGCCTTCCCTCGCTGCTCTGTTTAGAAGCATTGACAGAACTTGCATACTGATAACAAACAAGTAGGGAGAGAGGGCGCAACCCTGTCTCAGACCCCTATTACTTTGGAAGTATCCTGCGAGTTCGTCATTAACTTGAACAGAGAACGATGGGGTAGAAACGCAGAGCATAATCCAGTGAATAAACTGATTCGGGAGGCCCACTGCCATTAAAATATTCCTCAAGAAACTCCATTGGACTGAGTCGAAGGCTTTAGATATGTCAAGTTTCATCGCACTACGTGGGGAGGCAGACGCCTTATGATAATCTTTGACCAACTCTCTGGACATCGGATAGACTCAAAATTCCGTTCCAGTCTCATCCTCCACTCATCTGCCTCAATCGCTGTAGAACCTCCAGCAAAGAACTTGGTTCCCAACCGCACCATGTGATCCAAAACCTTGAGGTAACTCGGAACCCTCTCCACTTGGTCCGCTTCCTCCTCAATCACATCCGCGTGAACCCCCACCAGTGGTACTACTTGTGGTGCTGCTGCAACCGCAGGAGCAGGAGCCACCGCAGGTAGCCTAGCTAGTACCTGTGCTAACATCCCAAGCACAGCCTCTAACCCCACTGGTGCTACATTCGCAGCAACCCCAGCTGCATCCGCAGCATTCCTAGCCACGTTCTCAGCATCAACAGCATTCCTTGCTGCTTCCACGGCTGCCACTCTAGCCGCCTCATTTGCAACCGCAGCTGCCTGTCTCTCGGCTTCCCTAGCCCTCTCAGCAACATCACCGTTGACTGAGTTCACAGAGCCCACAGCCTGGTTGTCCCCATTGTTTCTCACGGTTCTTCTGGTATCAACCATCTGCAAGTACACAATGCCAGTTAGCTGAAGCTAACTCAAAACGTGTTTTTCAACACCACACAACAACTTACCGCGAGACCTTGGCAGTGAAAAATGGATTGGACCCCCATAAACCCCAAACAAACAAATAAACCACAACAGTCACCAATTTCAGTCCTAGAAGCGTTAAAACGCTCTGATACCAACTTGTGGTAACCCAACCCGGTAAACCGTACCGCGGCTGTGTCCCACTACATCCTCTAAGTCCGTTTCTATACTTAGCCATATTTTCTAACTTTTTTCTTTATTTTTCTAAGTCTTTCTTATCAATACACAGCGGAATATAAACAACTCATTTCATTCATTTAACTCTCAAAAGCACTTAAACAGATTCGGGGTTCCACATAAATCAAAACACAAGGTTCACTAACGATTACAACCAATCATCTAGCAACCTAAACGGCCAAACACCAAAGCCATAAGACCCTAACACAAGTCTTAAATCATAAAACACACAACCCCGATCCATCCATGTTCATCACTGCCGCCTGGTCTCGCCCCTTTACTGCTTAGTACCTGCACACTCAAAATGAGAGGCATAAGTATTTCATAAATACTTAGTGAGTACAGTCATCCCGTAACACCTGGTCAGTACCAAACACGCAGTCATACTTTCGGATTCAACATTCAACACAATCAATTTGTAATAGACATAACAATATCAAACGGCCATGATCATCTAGCCTAACCAACCAAGATCAATCCCTTTTTAAGACCCATGTCTACTTCAGCGAGAATCTCACATCTCCTAAGCTAGTACATGATCCGGATTATCCTGAGGTTAGCTAAATACCATCTATGCCACGGTAAACACCACAACATCCCATAACATAAGGATTGCTTATCAATTCCAAACACATAACATGAAAATCACACAATCAACATGCAAAACACTCAACCCTAGCAATCCTACGGTCCTAGACCCAACCACAGTCACGCACTCACTTAGACAAGGCTGGAAACAGATTGGTCAGAAGAAATCCCGATGAAAACCGCACCAAAACGAAGATATCCGATCTCCCTAAGAATCTCTCGGCTCACGGTACGATCCGATCCTTATCCCCTTGGCTATCTCTTGATCCGTTCACCTTTCTTCGAGCCAAACTCTGGTTTCCCTCAGAAACCCCACAACACAAGGCTATTAGCTCGAGGTTATCCAATGAAAACTCAACACTTAGGAAAATATCCGATCGCTTACCAGTTTATCTCGGCGATGGTCGGTTCTGCTCGGCGATAACCTGATCTATCTCGGATGTCCTCGGGATAAACTGTTTTTCTTAGGGTTTTCTCTCAACTATTCTCTTTCTTTGCTTTATTGCTCTCGAATAAACACAACTCTCCCGAGAAAAGTCTCAAAATCCCTTAAATACTAGCAAAACCCTAGGTAACCCGGACTTATCCGACGTTTTTCCGGTTCCAGTAAGTTTTATCCCGGTCCGATTCGATTCTCTCGGCTATTCCCTGTACCGACTCGACCATTCCTTCGATAAACCCCAAAATAGCCGACCAAACACTTGGCCCACGGCCCAAATCCCTTTCCTCTCGGATAAACCGCCTTTATCCGAGGTGTTTTCCATTTTTCACCCGGATATTCCTATTTCTCTCGGACAACTTGTCCCACCTCGGCTAATCCTCTATTTCTCTCGGAGGTTTCCTATTCCCCCTCGGAGACAGTCCACTGACACTCGGACTAACCTCCCAGACTCTCGGATATATCCCACTGCACTCGGATAAATCCCATTTTCCTCAGACTGGATCCTGTTTCCCTTGGATATGGTCTATCCGGCTTGACTCGGTCATTCTTCGGACAACACCCTGTCCGGTACGATCATTCCACATTTTCTCGGATACGGATGCTACAAAAACTATTTAATGTTTTGCCTCTTCAAAAATAAAAATAAAAATGCATCAAAACACAGCATGTGGAGACAACTAGCAACCAAAAAAATGAAATTAAAAATTATTATGAATATTACCATTCAGATGGTCACTAGAAGAGAAAAAATAACAAACATACAAACAATACAAAAGTTATTAAAAATGAGGTCATTCTGGAAAAGATATCAATAATTTTGAGTTTTTTTTGAACTATTTTATTTAATGATAAGAAGGCCTAAAGTATATATATACATATATATATATTTTTTTTTTACTTTTTTTATTTGTTTACAATGCAAGTTTCTTTTCTAAAATGACTTGTTTTGCAATCGTCTTTTTGTGAGATTTTCTCGTGCTTCTGCGCCACTTCCTCACATTTTTCGATAAAACTTCTGACTTCGATTCCAAAGTGAATATTTTCAACATTTTCATGCAACCTACATCTTCACGGACCATCAACCAAACATTTCTTGCACATTAGACATTTTTGTTTTTTTCATGCTTGCAATGATCGTGACAGCAACTCTGTCTAACAAAACAAAAAAGAACGTGGCAACAACTCGAATTTGGGTATTATAAATCTGATTGATTCTTTGAATAGAGAAATCTGATGATAATATTCGAAGGATTATCTATGTACGCAATTACTTATGAAACGTGGGTGACAGACTTTTATATACTTTATAACAATTTGGATATTAAATTTTTGATTGTTGTACTAATAAACTTTATACTTTTAGCTATAATTTGTTTAAACTTGAAATCACAAATTTTTCAAAAAAATTTTACAAAAAAAAAAAACTAAGTGAGAAAATTTATTTAAAAAATCTAGTTCATATAAAACTCTACCTCATATGTGAAATGAATAGTAGATTAACATAATAGTGGAATGATCCAATAGTAGAAACTGAAAACCCTTGAACTAGACAAAATTGTTCTCAGAATAATCCTAAAAATCCTATAAACATTAAAAATTTTATTTTAATATAATTTTTATTTTTTGACACGTCTATAATATATAACATCATTTCTTTTCATGAATATATAAGTACTTGATTTTAAAATGATAAAAAAAAAATTAGATAGTACTGTAGTATCATTCTTTCTTTTTTTGTGCGAACAGGTAGTCGTATCATTCATATCATAACATTTGTTAAATTGATGGAGAATTTGAACTCAAGATGAGTTCAAAAGTCAATGAAAATATATAAAATTCATTTTTTAAGTTGCCATGGCAAACACGAGGCAAATAAATAACGTTCTCGTTCATTATCTTTAGCTTCCCTGAGCTTCTCTCTCTCACTACATATACAAGTCTTACAAGTCTCTGTTCTGTAGATTTTATTCACAAAACCTTGGAAAGATGACGAGTCACTACACAAACATCATCTCTGTTTCTTATCTCTTGCTTTGTCTCTTCATCACATCTTCATCTGCACGCTCATCCTTCATACGACAATTCACTGATGGCTCCTACCCAAATCTGCACCAGCGTATGACATCATTTTTTCTATTACGTTTAATCCAATATTCAAGAAAATCTATCTATGACAACAACACATCCTCTGTTTTTTTTTGTCTCAAAACAGAGGAGAATGGAGCGGGACCTATCCAAAGCCTGGAGGAAACGCATTACTTACATAAAAACCAAGAGATCTCATCACGTGATTACAAAGTCTCAGCTTCAAACAAGGTGACGGGTCTGAGAGATCTTCCTCCAGCTACTTACTCTCTAAAGATGGAGTCTTTCAACACGCTCCTTAAGTCAACGTACGCAGAGAGATATGAATCTCGTCCTTTCTCGGCCGCTGGATACAACTGGTACGTTTGTAAATCTGATCTTTCTTCTCTTTAGTAACTGAAATGTAACTTTTATAGACATATCTCAAAACACAATACGTATACAGGACACTTGTTGTATACCCTAACGGGAACAAGAAGGATAGTGGTTCAGGGTACCTTTCTCTTTACGTAGCCATAGACAACTCGACTCTCGTCGCTGCACATCAAGAAGTTAACGTGGACCTCAAGTTTTACATCTATAACAAGAACGAGAGAAAGTACTTCACCATCCAAGGTTTTCTTGCTAACTTTCAATCCAAATCTTTAAATAAGAAAAGTGCTATATATGTGCATAAGAGTAACATCTATCTATCTATCTACCATTGATTTAATCGGCAGATACAAATGTATGGAAATTCAATGTCTTCAAAACGATGTGGGGGTTCTCTCAGGCCCTCTCTGTTGATACCTTCAAAGACACGAGAAACGGATACCTCTACGATGGAGATCACTGCGAGTTTGGTGTTGATGTGACCATTCCTTCTCTCTTTGAGAAATCGGAACTTTTCTCCGTCACTGAGAATCTCCAAACCCCGAGGTATACATGGACCATTCGAGGATTCTCCACGCTGCTCAAAGACACTTACTACTCAGATGTCTTCTCAATCGGAGGAAGAAGTTGGTAAGTCCATATTATTTCAAAAATATAAGAAGGCTATGTTCTTTGTTGGTGGATATGTGATAGTAACAAGTATAGCATATGATGATGATCAGGACTATACAAGTGAATCCAAATGGTCGTGCCACAGGAGAGGGAAAGGCATTGTCCATGTATTTGAACCTTGATGTGAACGAGAAATTCAGACCCTATGAGAAGATTTATGTACGAGCCAAGCTTAGAGTTCTTAACCAACGCCAACTCAATAACGTCGAAAGGCCACGTAAGAAAAAAGATATATAGTTCGTACACAAATACCATCTAATCGCAATGACTAATTGGATTTTTTTTTTACATTTTTGACAGTCGATAATTGGTTCAATGGCCCGGGACATGGAACATATAGCTGGGGTTACCATGAGTTTATCTCTTTTTCTGATCTGAGAGATGCATCAAAGGGTTTCGTTGTGAATGATGTGTTGATGGTTCAAGTCGAAATAGAGGCAATTTCTTCAACCAAGTACTTCCCTAATTAGATTTTTCTTAACCGAGGAGGAACTTGCAGCTCCATGTTTTTGCTTTCTTGTACTGCTTGCATTTGAGATTTCATTTCCTCGCATAGAAATTACATCAAACAAAACTCTCCCATATGAATAAGAATGTTTGTTTGTTCTTATTTTTATTTACTATCGGTAAGTAGAGTATATCGATTATCATAGTTTAGCACAATAGCCTGACCGTTGTCAAGATCATGTACACACCCATCTCAGAATCAGTTAGTTATAAAACGAGTAGCTAGCTTTTGCTTTATGTTGAGCATAATTAAAATCATAGTTTAGCTTAATAACCTGACTAACGTGTGCACCAAAACACATGTTCATAAACACTATATTTGTTTAAAAAAAAAAGCATCAAGGTCTCTAACCAAATATTGTAGTCAATACATATGAAATCAACAGTACATGAGGGTCCAAACCAAAGACAAAATTATTTATTCTTGATTAGGGGCTTTAGGTTTTGCTACCAACCTATTAACGGTTGATAACTTGATAACTACATATTATTTTGTTCTTTTAGTCCCAGTAACAAAATTTTCTAGCTACATGTAGTAATGTAACCACCTTAACTAACCAAAAGATATTCCAATTCTCAATTTTCCATTACAATCACGAGCCAAATAACAGCATATAGATTGGTTATAAAGAAAGGCAGAACAAGAACATTGTTTTGTAAGATTCTCACTGTCTTCAGCTTTCCAGAGCATCATATTCCTCTACAGCATCTCTCTCACACACTATATATGTAAGTCTCACTAGTCTCTATTCTGTAGATTTCATTCGCAAAACCTCACAAGATGACGAGTCACTACAGAAATACCATCTCTCTTGTTTATCTCTTGCTTTGTCTATTCATCGCATCTGTGTCTCCACACTCCTTCATACGACAAGTCACTGATGGCTTCAACCCAAATTTGCATCGTATTTAATCTTCTTTGCTCTTAGATTTGATCCAATATTCAAGAAGATCCATATGATATCATTAAGATTCTGTTTATTTTCAAGCATTGTGTGTTTTATTAACCAAATGATCTGGTTTCTGTCACATAACAGAGGAGGAAGGAGCAGGACCAGACTTTCAAGAAAACCAGGAGATCTCATTACGTGATCATCAAGTCTCAGCTTCAAGCGCAATAACGGGTCTAAGAGATCATCCCCCATCGTCTTACACTCTCAAGATGGAGTCTTTCAACACGCTCCTTAAGTCAACCAAGGAAGACAGATATGAATCTCGCCCTTTCTCCGCCGCTGGATACAACTGGTATGTTTGTAATTTGTAATCTGTATGCGCTTAAAATTCTTTTGATGTATATATCTCAAAATACAATATATATGTTTTACAGGACACTTGTTGTGTACCCTAAAGGGAACCAGAAGGATAGTGGTTCAGGATACCTTTCTCTTTACGTAACCATAGACAACTCTACTCTCGCTGCACATCAACAAGTGTACGCAGATCTCAGGTTTTACATCTATAACAAGAACGTGAGAAAGTACTTCACCATCCAAGGTTCTTGCTAACTTAAATCTTTAAAATAAGATTAAAAAATGTGCATAAGAGTTATGACATCATTTTATCAAATCATTGTTATAATCTGCAGATGCAAATGTATGGAGATTCAGTGTCTTCAAAACGATGTGGGGATTCCCTCAGGTTCTCTCTGTTGACACTTTCAAATATCCGAGAAACGGATACCTTTACGATGGAGATCACTGTGAGTTTGGTGTTGACGTGACCGTTCCTTCTCTTGCCGAAAAATCCGAACTTTTCACTGTCACTGACAACATTCGGAACTCGACTTTCACGTGGACGATTCGGGGATTCTCCACACTGCTTGAGGATAGTTACCCATCAGATTTGTTCTCTATCGGAGGAAGAAGTTGGTGAGAGTCCCACATTGAAATCAAAAATAAAAAAGTTCTGTTTTTATAGATTTTTAGAGTAACAACAAGTATTTCCCAAATGATTGATCAGGAATATAGAAGTGAATCCAAATGGTTTTGACAAGGGACAGGGAAATTCCTTGTCCATGTTTCTTCAACTTAACGCTGACGAAAACTACAGAACTTATGAGAGGATTTATGTTCGAGCAAAGCTTAGAGTTCTTAACCAACGCAGCAGATTCAGAAACGTCGAAGGGCAGAGTAAGTAGATGATGAGATTATATGTAACATATATATGTGTGTGTGTGTGTTGTTCATCACGATGACTAATGGGGTTTTTTCTTTCTTTGGCAGTCGATCGATGGTACAATTGGCACAATATTAATGGCACTGCTGGATATCGAAAAGTATGTAGCTGGGGCTTTCCGCAGTTTATGTCTCTAGCTGAACTAAGAGATTCATCAAAGGGTTACCTTGTGAATGATGTACTCAAGGTTCAAGCCGAAATAGAGGTGGTTTCTTCAACCAAGTACTTCCCCTAATTAGCTGTTCTCTATAGCCATGGAAGAACCTGCAGCAGCTCTTGTTTATCAATAACCTTGGCACCTAATAATAATAATGTTCTTCGTTCTACTTTGTAGATTTTGTCATCTACTGTAATAAATAAATGAAAACAAAGCTTTGTTAAGCTTGTTGTTGTCTTTTGTCAAGTATGGATGGATCTCTTACAAAACATTATACTTTTGTTCATCAAAATCATAAAGGATTCTGACCAAATATTGTGGTCAGTACATGGAGTGTTCCAAACTAAATAAAGACTTTATTATTGAATAAGAGGCTTTAGGTTTTGCAACCAACCTAATGGTTGATAATCCACAACAATGCAGAATGAAAGTAGGTTAAAAATGGGTTGATATGAAGAACAGCCCCAAACTATTGTCTCTCTTATTTGAACACCTTCCGAACTAAAAAAAAAAAAAAAAAACCTTCATAGAGTTTGCTGGTGCTCCTCTTAGAGTGTTGCAATACATTCAATCTCAATCTTGGCGTCAAGAGGCAAAGCTGCCACTTGATATGTGGACCGTGCTGGAGAAGGAGCTGGGAAGTCTGCACCAAGGATTAAAATATTATGTTTTCATAATGTTACACACTAAGTAATCATTTGTATCGAACCAAGAAGGAACACTAACAATCTTGTAAAAGAACTCACATTTGGCGTATATCTCGTTCACTTTCTTAAAGTCAGCCAAGTCAGCAAGCCTGTGACAGAAAATTAAAGAGTTTCAATTTTGTTTTCCAGATTCAGAATTCACATGAATAATAGTGATTCTTTGAACTCAAAACGTACATGATTGTTGTCTTCACCACGGAGGAGTAATCAGCACCACTAGCTTTCAATATCTCCCCCATGTTTTTGAGTACCTTCGATGTTACAAGAGAGTAACAGAAGCAATCAGACATAATCAGGAAAAAAAGAAAACAGAGCAACTCAAACCTTGCTGCAGATATATACACTGGAAGCTACGTTGAAGACTAATAATACCAAATCAAGCAGTTCAAAAGTAAAGCTCTTTTAAGTTTCAGAGGCTTAGTTTTGATGTTGTGAAGGTGGATATCGCACTAAACTCAGCTTGAATCAGGTACAATAGTTCATTTGACAAACAACATCTATTCATATAAGACAACCTAAAATCTCCTTTCGATCACTCAAACACAAAAGAATCGCAAGTGGGAAAGTACTGTAAACAAAAACCAATCTTTATATAGAGACCATAATGACAGTTTAAAAGCTACTTCACCTGCTCAGTCTGATCTTCAACGCTGTCCGAAACGAACTTTCCAGTCTACACACACACACAAATCAAAAAGGAGAATCTTGCAGTCTTAGAACCAAGAGTGTGCAGCAGCTTATAATAAACCAAAGACGTGGTACAAACCTCAGGTATAAGTCCAAGAACACCTGAGAGGAAAACAAGATTATTGGCTTTGATAGCCTGAGAGTATGGTCCCAAAGCAGCTGGTGCTTTCTCTGTAGCCACAACTTCCTTCTGACCTGCAAATTTTCATATTCAACACTAACTCTCATTATCCTCCTACGAACCCACAACATCACACATTTTCTACAGTAAACCCTATTCTCAATACCAAAAAACAAAACAAAGCAATTTGAAGATAATCAAAAGTGGTTTTCAAACTTTCCGACCCAGACATTCATCAAAATCACAGCTTTAGGAAGTAATAATAATTTGGACGCTAGAAGCCAATTATAGGAAATAATCGAAATCGGAGAGAAATGAAAATGAAGCTGTTACCAGAAGTAGCGGAGACACTGAGGGAAGCGAAAGCAGGAGATCTGGAAGACATTCGGAAAAGAGATACGCCGGCGAATGTTGCGCAGCCGACACCGGCGGAGACCAATGGGCGGCGAGTGGAGCGAAGTGCGGCGGAGAGGTCAAGAGTTGGGGAGTTTATGGATCTGAAGACCGACCAAGTCATTTCACTCTCTCCGGCGCCGCCAAGAAGGTACAAAAGCAAAAGGACCAAACAGTGTATAGAGAGAGAGAGAGAGAGAGAAAGGTAGGTGAAGAAAGGAGACTGAGTTTGATGCGATGATGGGATTTTAAGCAGATGATTCTCGTGTCTTCTTCTTCTTCCTTTCTCTTCGAAACGTTTTTTACATTTCCGAGTTTACCCTTAGTTAGGTACATATATTTACTGAGAGAAAAATAAAGTTTTTTTTTCTTTTCTTTTGTTGAATTTCAATTTTACATTTAGTGTTTTGGACCCACTGACCCTTGAAGTTGAAGCCCATGAGTTTATATAAAATTTGTTCTTTTTTTAATATAAACTAGATTTCGAATCCACGCATTTGAGCGGATTTTTTTTTATAAATATATTTTAATTATAGTAAAAATTAGTTTATAGTAAACTTTTGTTTAAAAAAATAGTTTATATTATTAAATCTAAAATTATGGTCCAAACAGAATTTTTTTATTAGATTATATAAACTATTATAACATTATAGTTTTTATTCAGGCTTGTTTTAAAAAAAAAAATTTGATTAACAGATTTTTTTGTTAAGTTTTGTAACAAAAATTTCAAAATATTATGTTTTATAATGCAAGAGAAATTTTATTTGTTTGTAATTAAGATTGTCAGACTTTATTTGTTTTTGCCTCGAGATACTTATTTGGATGCAAATGCTCTCAAATATTGTTCTTTTAAATATTTTTAAATCAGTATATGAATATTTTATCTGAATACAAATTCTATAATATCTCAAAATTTGGATATTTAAAATGCTAAAAAATAGAGATTTGATGCAGCATTTGAATCTAAAAAATTAGCAGATAAAAACATCTTTTAATTTAAACCACAAATCAAGTTTTTTTTGTCAAAACCATTTTTTATCGAAATAAAAGCTACAAAATCGTAAAATCACGTTGTTGTACCAAAATCGAAAATTCCGGTAGAAATTGTAAAAATAGCATTTTCCATCAAACCGTATTTTCCTGCCAAAACTGTAAACCCACATTTTTTAACAAAACCAGAAATTATGTTTTCCCCCAACACTATAAAATCGTATTCTATGACTAAATTTCTAAAATTAAATAGTTTTTGTCAAACCTGCAAAATTGTATTTTGTCATCAAACCCGCAAATCTGCATTTTCAATAAAATTCATAAAACCATATTTTTCCATCAAAACCTATAAAACCCGCAAAAACATGTAAACCTCGTAAAATCCGCAAAATCAGGTTTCCCGTCAAATCCACAAAAAACTCGTGTTTTTCCTTAATATTGTAAAATTCATAAAATTGTGTTTTACCTGCCAAACTCACAAACCCGCTTTTTTCTGTATGACTACATTTTCTCGCTAAAACCTGTAAAACCTATAAAATTCGCAAAATTGCGTTATTTGCATTTCGCAAATCCATGTTTTCCCGTAAATCTCGTAAAATCTGCAAAATTGTTATTTACGACCAAATTTTAAAAATTAAGTGTTTCTGCTAAATATACAAAAGCACATTTGTTGTCAAACCGACATTTTTTCGCAAAACTATATTTTCTCCTAAAATTTATAAAACCCGCTAAAATTTATAAAATCCGTAAAATCTACAAAATTGTGCTTGTCAAATCCGTAAACTCATAATTTTCCGAGAAAAATCATTAACACACCAGAAAAACTAAATTATTTACATAATATTTTTCATTGTATGTATATATGTAACCAAAAAATAATGATTATATATTCATCATTGACTATAAATTATCACATTTAGTAAATACCATAATAATTTTTAGACATTTTAAAATAGTACTTTTTTCTTTAATACTATAGAGAAGAAATTGAATATAACATAATATATATTTAATTTATCATATAATATATAGTTTTATATTAGTTATTCATTCATATATGTGGTAGTTATATTAAGATATTATGAAAGATTTTAAAATAATTTCAAATTTAAATTAATTTAAATTTTATTAATATCAGACAAAATTTATTGGTATTATATATTAATAAATTAATATAATTTAATTTAATTTAATATATTTATTAACAGTTTAATGATAAGACTAAATTATCTTTAATGAATATTTAGAAATTTAATAGCATATATTGTAGTAACTAAATATTAATTTAAAAATATGATCCTCTTTTAATAGTATAGATATATTTACGTAAATTCTACAAAAATCATGTTTTTTCTTTTTTTTTTTTGGTTAAAAGGCCTACAAAAATTATGTTTTATGGAGATGGGATCATGTACAAGTGTAATATGAGAGATGGTCTCTACAAATGGGACAAGTCTCTTGCCTAATCAACCACTCATCAATGCAAATCTTATGAAATGTGTGGCCACATCTCTCTAGCTTTCTTCCTAACTCTCCTTCTTCCCAATCCTACAAGAAATCACACATGATGATTAGGAATGAAATGATGACAATTATGATTACATTTTTTTATAACGTCTAAAATTTTATTACCTGTAAGCAGATCGAACAACTCGAAATTGTTTGATGACCTGAACAACTGTTAAACGTTGGGATTTTCTGAATAGAGTTCCTCGATAACCCTTTTGTAATTTCTTGGTTATAGTCATACATGTCTGATCTCTCCATATAGTTTGTGTCCAATGCCATTATCTGCATTTTTTTAATTTTGTTGATTTTTAATTTTGATTAACAATAATTTGCAAGTGCATGTACTAGTGATTTGTTGATCTAGTGTACTATTGGAATTGAATTGAGATGGTGACACAATAACGAAAACTAGTACAAAGTACAAACTGTTAATATTACACACGGTCAATGTTAAAAAACAAATGTTAAAATGATCAGGTTAAAAATAAAATCAGAAGAACAGAAAAAGTGGAGTATATATACTTACTTGCCATTGATATGCTTTGAGCACAACCGGTCTAACCAATCCCATGATGGCTTTCCCATTCACCACTCTCCTCAGTAAAGCAACCTGATCAGCTTCTCTTATTATTATAATTGTCACCATTATCTAATTACTAAGAAGATACAATCGTTTCTTAATTTTTCTTCACAAAGCCAAACCCTCACTTTCTAACTAGAAGCATATGATTGATTAGGGTTATAAGTAGTCACCTTAGACAAAGGTTGATCAGCATGTAGCATCAGTCCAAAGAGTTGGACCGCAGTGATAACTCCAGCCACAACTCCTAGCAAACCGCCTTGAAGAATTCCAATGTCTGTGGTGTGACCTTCCACGGCTCCTACAATGGCAGCTACCACAACGCTAGCTACATCCAAAGATTGTAGTGACAATTAGTGATGTTATATAAAATTGTTATACAAAAGAATTTGGATGAAATCAAGCCATGTGATATGTTAAATAATAATACATTACTTTTTAAAAATGTCTTCTGTAAAATAATTTAATTGAATTTAAGAGTAGGGTCATATAATGAGATAAGTTATTGAATTGAATTAAGGTAGGCATGAATGCATTGTGGGTGTGTCCATATCATACACAATTTTGGACCTCACCATCTTATAAACATCTTTTTTTTTGAACACAAGGGTTCACCATTTTTAATATCCATATGAATAAGTTTATAGTACATTTTTGTGTATATTTTTTTGTCAACTGAGATCTTATTAAATCAAATTAAAAAAATTATAAATACTTTGTCTTGACTGCCTCGACAATAAGTCATTTAAGTAAGATAAGTAAAGCTTATAACGAAATGAAAACAAAAGATCCCCAACTTCAGATATTTTTTTGAAGGAAAAAATTTGCTTCTCTATCAAACGCTCTAGAAATCTTGAGAAGATGAAGATTCAAGAACTTTCTCTTTATCTCACACGCACAAGGGAATTAAATATATAACATACCTAATGAAATGATTTTTCACGTTTCATTTGTAAAAGTACGTCAAATTAATGGGCATATATATATATGTAGAATATAAATAAAAAAGAACAGAACCCTCAAATTAAGATCACTTGTAGAGTTACCGGAAGCAAGAATGACGATGAATAAGCCCAATAAAGCTCTTTTGATCGCTCTAATGGACACGATGCAAACCGCGCCAAGAAGCCAAAAAGGAACATTGTATGTGAACTTCAGAAGAATCATCTGAGTAATGCACATGAAGAACTACTAATTGAGTTTTGATTTACTTATGTGAATTGTTTCGTATTTAGGGGGAGAGAGCTTAAATTGGAGAGTAGAGTGGAGACTGATGAGAAGAAGAGCAAATTTATAAAGGAAAACCAAAAAAGAAAAAAAAAAAAGAGGAAGGAGAAGGAATTGCATTTAAGAAGCTGAACTACCCATACCCCTAATCTACATTATTGCATGGAGCGCCTCTATTGGCGCATGCATGAACTCGCCCACAGAATCTTAAAGGTTATAAGAATAAGAAAAATTAATTGAGAATTTAATGCAGTTTGAAAAAGGAATGGGAAGGCATGGGATAGGCTTGGGATGAAGTTAATTTATATCCCACTATGATGTGAAAATGAGTTGTTATTTGCCATATAAGATTAATGGTACTCCTCCTAATTTTCGAAAAATGTCAGTGCTTAATGCTTAGTGTGTAGCAAAAGACAAAAAAAGAAGAGCTTTCAGCCATTAGATTGATCAGTTTGCATCGGTCAATTTTTATCCTATTAGGTTCACTAGTTTTGTTAGTCCCATTTACGATTTTTTGTTTTTGTTTTGGGTCAGTACGTTTGCCTAGGTCGAACCCATAAACTGGGTTAAAGCATGCTTGAATAAAGACTACAATACATGAATTCAAACACACGGCATAAACAGACTGTTGTATGATATTTACATATGATTTTTAAAGACATTTTATTTGACTTAGTAGCTGAAACTAACGTGGGATCAATCTATATGATTAACCTGATTATATAACCTTGATGATTTAAGGTTAAGATTATAAATTTATCGGCAGTGTCCATCCAACACTATATCCAAATTTTGATAACTATATCCCAATTCTTTGCTTTGAAATTAAAAAAATGATATAAGTTGATGAATTTAATTAGTAAAAAGTATAGAAAGAAGTAGAGTTGGTCATCACGTAACCATTATTCTAAGTTGTGAAAAATCATCCTGCCTATATGATGATACTTAATCAACCAGTCAACTAATCGGTTTAAGCAACAAGTTTACAATACATTTTCTTAAATTTCAAATGTAATGTAACAACAGTAAGAAATTGTAAAAGGAAATATATATCTCCCAAACATTTTGAATATTGAATATTCATTTATCAACTGTTCATTTTTTTAAAATAAAAATGCATGTATTTGAAACAGTTAAATTTGATAAACTGGACCAACTCAAAAGATGTTACACAGTGCATTAAGTAGTAGTGCACAAAACAACAACAGCTTCAATGCGTCTAAGCAAAAGTGCCAAATCCAAACATCAATTCTGTTTTCTTGTCTTCTGCACAAAGTTCAATATGACAGACACAATATCTTAAGAGAAATAATCTTTGTCATTGTCGTTCTTATCTGACCAATGGTGGAACAATTCTACGTAATATATCAGATAGAAAAATAAAAAGTACAAAATTAAACTAATAAAAAAAAGTCTACGGAGAAAGCTTTGACTCGGTGTTGATAACGAGAAACTCCTTTACTTTTCAACATCTTCACAGAAATAGCCGCCCTCTCTTGTAAATACGAAGCCACCACCACTTGTTTTGTTGTTCATCTAATTTCATTTCATGCTTCTCATGATACATTCTGCAATTTTTCAAACTCTTTGATTTTTATAATCATTTGTTTCTGCAATCCATCTGGCGAACATTATATTGCTTGATGAGCTAAGGTAATATTATCTGAAAGCGTTGCTGAAGTGATGCTTCCACGTCTTAATATTATAGTATCCCCCCTCCCAATTTTAAAAAGGATCTGACTTTTTTGAAATTTCTCTGTTGTTTCTTCTTTATCATCTGCAAATTTTATTTTACTTACATTCTCCAAAAGCTGCCGTCTTTTTGTTCTCTCTGGGTCGTCGGAATTTGAGCTAGTTTAGCTAAAGTTCCGATCTTTCTTCTCTGGGTCATCGGAATTTGAGCTCAAATCATGGGCAATTGTTTTGCGAAGAGTGGATTGATAAAGCCTCAGCAAAATGGGCAGACAAGATCAGTTGAAGCTGATCACCGAGGAGTAGGGACCCACCAAGATCCGCCGTCGTATACTCCGCAGCCGAGAAGCCAGACGCCGGAGAAACCAGCCTCCGAGGTGAATCAACCACCGCCGTGGAGAATGGCGGCGGCAGCACCAGGACCAAGCCCCAAAACCACAAAGAGCAATTCGATTCTAGAGAACGCTTTCGAAGACGTGAAGCTGTTCTACACACTGGGGAAAGAGCTAGGCCGAGGACAATTCGGGGTGACGTATCTGTGCACAGAGAACTCGACGGGGAAGAAGTACGCTTGCAAATCGATCTCGAAGAAGAAGCTGGTGACGAAAGCTGATAAGGATGATATGAGGAGAGAGATCCAGATAATGCAGCATCTGAGTGGGCAGCCTAATATTGTGGAGTTTAAAGGAGCTTATGAGGACGAGAAGGCCGTGAATCTGGTGATGGAGCTTTGCGCTGGTGGTGAGTTGTTCGATAGGATCATTGCTAAGGGACATTACAGCGAGAGAGCAGCTGCTTCTGTCTGTAGACAGATTGTGAATGTCGTCAAGATTTGTCATTTCATGGGTGTGTTGCATAGAGACTTGAAGCCTGAGAATTTCTTGCTTTCTAGCAAAGATGAGAAGGCTTTGATCAAGGCTACTGATTTCGGCTTGTCTGTCTTCATTGAAGAGGGTAAAATAACAAACAAAATTTTATTGTTTTTCTTTCCTGATTTTTCGGTTTATTGGCTGAGTTGAATTATCATGTCATCATCATGAAGGGAAATTAGTACATTGATGAAGTGGATTGTTTCTAGGACAATAGATAGATTATTGATCAACAAGGTTCTGCTTTGATTAAGTTGCTTGCGTCATGTGTCTCTTGGTTCTGTGAATTGCATAAAGATCATACCTTTCTTTGATCTCCGGTCTAGGGCGTATAGAGACAACATGAACCTGATGAACTTTGATGTTTCTGACTGTTCATCATTTGGTTGTTTCTTCTTCTTCTCTACAGGGAAAGTATATAGAGATATCGTTGGGAGTGCATACTATGTTGCTCCTGAAGTCTTACGTCGTAGATACGGGAAAGAAGTTGATATATGGAGTGCCGGAATCATATTATACATTCTACTCAGTGGTGTGCCACCGTTTTGGGCTGGTAACGCGATAGTCTCTCTCTCTCTCGCGTGCTCTTACATTTTCATACATATGTTATATAGAACAGAGCTGATAGAGTACATGGTTGTTACTTTTTGCATCTGTCTATCTGGATATGCAGAGACGGAGAAAGGGATATTTGATGCTATATTGGAAGGCCATATCGACTTTGAGAGCCAGCCGTGGCCGTCAATCTCCAGTAGTGCCAAAGATTTGGTGCGTAAAATGTTGACTGCTGATCCAAAAAGGCGCATCTCTGCTGCTGATGTTCTTCGTAAGTAACCTCTGTGAAAATGATAAGAAGCTAAATTTTCCGTTATCTGTTTCCTTCTTGATCCTTGAGACTTTTCTTGATTGGTTTTTGTGCAGAGCATCCATGGCTTAGAGAAGGTGGAGAAGCATCGGACAAGCCTATTGATAGCGCTGTTCTCTCAAGGATGAAACAGTTTAGAGCAATGAATAAACTCAAGAAGCTTGCTTTAAAGGTGAATTCAAGAACTTCTAAATATGAAAAAATGTGTTTGTTTCTCGTTGTGCTAATGATTAGGTTTCTTTATAGGTCATCGCGGAGAATATTAACACGGAAGAGATACAAGGATTGAAGGCAATGTTTGCTAACATAGACACAGACAACAGTGGCTCAATCACATATGAAGAACTGAAAGAAGGATTAGCCAAATTGGGATCAAAACTCACAGAAACAGAAGTGAAGCAGCTCATGGATGCTGTAAGTTGGTCTAAAAAATCACTTCCTTTACTTTCCACTACTTAAGATCATAAACAGAATGTAAAAAAAGAAAACTCACATTCTCGGATTATAAATTAGGCTGATGTTGATGGAAACGGGTCGATAGACTACATCGAGTTCATCACTGCAACAATGCATAGGCACAGGCTTGAAAGTAATGAGAATCTCTACAAAGCGTTCCAGCATTTTGACAAAGACAGCAGCGGGTAAGCGACGACAGACCCGGTTCTTCTCGGTTAACTGATGATGTATCTATAAGCAAAAAGATGTTAACTTCAAAATTGTATGCGCAGATACATTACAATAGACGAGCTGGAAGTGGCGTTGAAGGAATATGGAATGGGAGATGATGCAACAATCAAAGAAGTTCTCTCAGATGTCGACTCCGATAACGTAAGTTTAACGTTAAGAATCTCTTCTTCTTCTTTCAAGAAAACTAGACTCTGTTTTATCCATAAACCGGTTCTGTTTCCTTATGCAGGATGGTAGAATCAACTACGAAGAGTTCTGCGCGATGATGAGAAGTGGTAATCCACAACCACAACAACCGCGACTGTTCTAGTGGACACTGCTCCTGGATTCAAAAGTCTTTTCCATTGTTTACGAGATTAAGAAGAGAGACGGGAATAACACCGTTTGGGGACGTATTGTATCTAAATCTAGAAAGACAGGAGCTGTATTAATGTTTGTTCAGACAAAACTAGCCACATAAGAGGAAGGTACTCAAAACTCTGATTGCTTGTGTTTTGTATTTTTTTTTTTGGCTCTTCTGTTTTGTCCTTTATGTTCTATACCAAGGCTGTTGTGATATGAGAGAGAGTGAGAGAGAGATTTCATTCTTTTAAGGGGTTGATTTTATAAGAGAAAATTATTCAAAATGGACATTCATAGTTACCAATAACAACCAATTATTAGTATTTTCCTTTAGCTACACGACTACAAGTCTAAAACCACAATAAAAATACATACAGACATTTGCCTGAAACAAGACAAGACTCTTGTCTCCTCCCCTATCACCCTATAAAGTCTGTAAGAAGTTTTTCTTGAATACATCAGATTTCACTTTATAATGTCAAAAACATCATGCAAGAGACAAAAGACTCTTTGTCTCCATTAGAGATAATTGGATTGTCTTAGGGCTCTTATCATATGGTAAGCTGAGGAGTTTTCTGCTTTCTTTTTCTTCGATTCCTCATCCCCTTTCATACATAGCGTACCTTCTACACTTGGGATCTTTACTTTAACTGAACAAACAAATCTCCTCCTGTTTACTGATCCTCCTTCAACACTAAAAAAGAGTATAAACTCACATTGAGCAAACTCACGATTATTGGTTCCAAAAATGAAAAGAGTAAGATATATACCTGTAAATCGGTTTAGGCCATTTTTTCTTGGAGCAAATCTCATACAGCTTCATTTTGGCATTGTCAAGCTCAACCTCTACACTACCCTCATCAATAACCATCGCAATAGGAGTACACTCTGAGAGCTTCCGTACTGCTTCCTTAGCAGCGATAAGCTTCGCGGTATCTCTATGCTCAGCACGACCAGAAGCGAAAAACTCGTCGTTGAGATATACACCAGCAACAACGCTTTTGCCATCTTTCAAGTACCTGATGTCGATTCGCTTGTCGTGTCTATGACATAACTGGAACATCATACTGATAGGTTGAGGTTGCTGCTGTAAATCATCCAGCGTAACTATTGGCTCTAAAAGACCCCTGAAGATCTGAAATTCGACAATAGCAAAGCCTGAAAACTTAAGGCATCATAGACACAGAGAGACTAAAAGACACATCAGTAAAGTTTTGGAGACACAGACCACCCAGAATCTCTGCAGATCAAAGTTCATGTCGATGTAAACAGCTCCAGCTACAGACTCGACGAGGTCAGCGAGAACTTTGGGAGCTTTCACTAATCCACCATAGGCAACTGAATCATCTTCTTTGCACACCGCCTCTGAGAACTCTATAACCTAATCAAAAATGACATGTTCTCTCAATCAAACAAGACAATTCTCATTCAATACTCAAAGATATACTCTGTTCCAACCAACCAAAAGGCTTCTTGAATGCAAAACAGAATCAAACAAGAACATGTGTTTTGTCTTAACCTTTTCATCTAACGGAGGAGCATTGCGTCGAAGAAACCGGTAGAGTCCGTGGCTGAGTGCGACACGAGCGAGTTTCTCAGTACTGACGTTCGCAGCTCTCAGCAGAGACAGCTCGTGCGGTTCGAGCTGTGGGTACGCGAGGTACAAGTAGTTCGTGAGGGCGAGACCTATAGCGCTATCGCCTACGAACTCAAGCCGCTCGTACGAAGGAAAGTCGACGCAAGAAGTGTGCGTAAGAGCTTCCTTCAGGAGGCTCTTGTTCAAGAAGCTGTATTTCACGATCCTCTCCACGGCTTCCACAGATTCCATCCCCGTCGAGATTGGAACGCGAGTGGTCATCGCCGGAGAATTGGCTGAAGAAGGCGGCGGAGTCGATGAAACTGGAAGATGAGGAGCCAAATTGGATAAGTTACAGCGAGTGATCGCCGGGAAATTGAAGTCCGGCGAGAGGAAGCGATCCATGGGAGAGAATCTAAACGAAGTAGATGTGATGACGACGCCTTTGTTTTTATTCTGTCCCTTTTTTTTTTTTTTTTTGTTTTCTTCGCCGCAGTATTTAAAAATTGTATTTCCCAATTTGACTTTGACTAACAGTCGTCTTCAGTAATAAAGGAAATGAATTAACATTAAATATGCGTTATAGAAAAAATTAAAGATTAAATACAAAAATACAAGCTTTTTAAAATTTCGTCCTTAAAGGGCAAAAATTTGCCGAAAGCCCTAAACTGATGGTTTTCTTCCCCAGTTTTGCGTCGATGAAGTGTGTTGTTCTTTGTTGATATACCTCGAGTGAAGGTGGGAGAAGATCGCAGGAGTTTCAAGGTTAGCTTCTTAATTTGCTTATTTCGCGAATTTTTTTAATTTTATTTTATTGCATTTGGTTTTGTACTGCGATTCTATGAAAGAAATATGTATTGAGATCGTTCTTTGATGTCGAGAGTAATTTTTTCAAGGAATCGGGAACTCGCGTCGTCATTTTAAATGGGTTCGAAAGTTTTGTTTGAATGGATTAGGATTTTGGTGTGTTCGTAGTGTTTCGCGAGAGTGTTGTTGTGATATATGTTGTATCTAAAGTTGTGTTTGATTTTGGTTTGGAATTTTAGGTTTTTGATCATGGAGGGAGAAGAAAGTCTGTTGGATGCTATAAATGAGGACGACGGATTTGAATCCATGGAAGAAGATGTTGACATGGTTGATGTGGAAGAAGGCGAGATTGTTGTGGACCAGGACTTACAACCTGGAGAGAGACAAGATGGAGACAAAGATAAAGAAGGGCTCTTGTGTAAGAAGAACGGACCGAATCAGCCAAACAAGAACAAGAAGAAGAAGAAGAAGAAGAAAAGAAGGCAAGGCGCTGTGATGGGGAAACCCATGGATTTAGACAGGTATCTGAATCCTTTTCTCTTCAACTCTCGCTGTATTTAGACATCCAACAGCTGTGTTTAGTAGTCATGGTTTGTTATTGCAGGTTTGTTAGGGATACGTGTAGACGCCTGAAGGAAAAGAAGTCTTACATGGTATACACAGCTGTTGGATGTCTTGGAATGGCTGCCTTGAGTGATCTTGTCAATGAGGTATACATACTATAAGCAACTTCAAGATGCTTTCTATGCTATTTCCATTGGAACCATATTTACTTTGTTTTTTTTATCGTTTATGAGAAAAATGAGGCTAAGTGTGACCAGCATGAGTGGCGAGCTTGTTTAGCTATATATTGTTTCAAGATGTTTCTAGTTGGAGCCTACTTTGATGCTTCAAATACTGTGCCTTGTTCCTGAGATATAGCTGGTGAAAACTTCATATACTAGGTTGATTTTTGTTTTCCTCTGCTGTGCACATCAGTGTTTTCTCTATTTTTATTGATTAGACAATGTGATCTGGAAGTTTTGTAACGAAGGCATATTGTGATTCATCTATGAATGAGATCGACAGTGTCACATATTATCATGATCGAGTGATGACTGTCTATATAATTATGCTTTGTAGATTGTTCCTTCTGTTGGTCACTCAATTTGCTTAAAGTTGGTTCAGAATATTTCTATTTCGGTTTGCAAGAGTCGTGCTTAAGTTATTGAGTAATGAGTGGTGATGGCAAGTCTTGTATGTTTGTCTCAGGTGGAAGCAATCGAGACAGTTGGAGGTCAGGTGACTGCTGATGGCAGTAGGAAACGGACAGGTGGTGGTGTGTTGTGGAACATCATCAAAGCGAGACAACCCGCAGCTCACAGAGAGATTATGAAAAAGACCAGAGAGTTTGAGGTTTGTTCTTGCGCTATTATCTTATCACTACATGCTTCGATATATCCTGTTTTTCTAGCTTGATTGTAGAGTTGCAGTCATGGAGATGATGTTATACCATGTTTTCTTTCCCTACACCCCTCTCACTCACTGTGTCTTACACTATTCAAACTTTGCAGAAGCAATTTAGGTACCCAAACACGAGACCGAAGTTAGGTAGCTCATCCGAAGGACTTGCCTCTGGAAATGCATCTTCTGATGAAGCTCTGGCCAGTGAGAGGTGTCCTATGCCGGTATCTGAGCAGGCTGAATCCAAACCGCAGGAAGAAAGGAAATCTGTTCATGAGAGGATCAGAGTACCTGTTTCATATGATGACCTTTTCGGAGAAGTGCCTCTCGATGCTTCACAAGCACAACAATCTTCTGCTTAAGCTCATTTATAACATGTTTGCCTTATAATTTTTTTTGACTAGGTAAACAATTATAAGGTTATAACTAAGCAGCTGGATTGCTTCTTCTCTTGCTGAAAGTAATGATTTTTTGTTGAGAAATGCATTAACCGATCTATATATACCAACTACCAAGATTTATTACATAACTTGAACATATTTACCTAGACTTTCACTACATAACATCAGTCAAAGCCATAAAGATGGTCATATGTTAACTTCTCATTACAATGATGCAGCTGATTCCACACGACGTGTTTTGTTTGCTTGATCTTACACCAGGAATTTCTTGTTTCTTTGTCACTCCTCTCTGAAGGCGACGATTGATGCTTGCAAGATCCATGTCCTATATATAGCATTACCTCCCGGACTGACCTTATTTCAGAGCTAGCCTCGCACACAAACATGTTTGGTATTTGAATGTGGCATACATAGAAAGAGGATCATATTCGGAGAATCCGCGTCAACTTGTAAACCTGATCATATAAAAATGGAGTCTGAGTAAATATATAAACTTGTAAATGGTATGGACTAACATAGCGATGGAGCAAAAGAGAAAGAGAGAGGGAAGCTCACTTGGGCAGTCCTGCTTGGTAAAAACAACTCTAAGCCATTTCTTTGACCATCAATTCTGCGCAAATGTGAACTTGGTTCAAAATGATGAACATACGACATCTTTAATTCTTTGAGATCAATAAACAGATTGAGAATTGCAAACCTCTTGGTAATTGATCGTTGAAGATACTGGTCCTCCGTTAGAAGTCCTTGACCCCCATATTTTACTTCATCAGAGTTAAGTATCAGCTGCAGAATCCAGGTATTATTCTCAGGTGAAATGCATAAGAAAACCTTATAGTAATGATAGTGTTCTATTACAGTAGTAAGACGAATGCAGAAAACGATAGCAACTGTATTTCATTGACAGACTCTTATTAACAATATGACGACGGATGAGGGTGGGAATATCAATACCGAAAATAGAAAAACTTACAGTATATTCACCAGCTTCCTCTACGCCAACATTATACTTTTCATATGAGTTTGATGGATGGAAGTTAAAGATAAATAGGAAAGGACCCCTCGAGAATGAAATGACCTGTGAGATGATGAACAATTAGTTGACTTGTAAGCAGGCAGGCTCAGTGTCCAAACCCTTTCATTTTTGATGCATATTTTTGGCAATTTCACTTTGAAAAGGTATACACTGTTATTATCTGTTCATAACTCTCTAAATGGCTTTGGAGATCGTTTTTGCACTAGCTGAAAAAATATTGTATACAAAAGGCCTATGCAAACACTAGCATGCCAGTGAATTCCAGGAAACTTTAAGTGGGTACTTTGACGATTTATTTTCTGTTACACACCCTGAAACTAATTTTTTGTAGGAAAAAAGAAAAAGAAAAGCGAAAGGAGTCGAATACCATATTTGCATCATTCACATGGTGGATGCTGGGTAGACCTCTTGAAAGGATACCCTTGCTTTTATCCAAGTCCATTAGCTCCTACAAATATAGAATGAGATCAGTTATTACGAAACATGTCGTCTGTTGCAACATTTTCTACTCCTTACATTTACAAAGATATTCAATTACAAATATAACAACGATGGGTACATTTATAAGGAATCAAGCTATACAATTAGGTGCTTCAGATAACAGGATGAGCATCATTGGCAGTAAATCTTTTTAAGTTCATCTTCTCAACAATTTCTCGGCTTGATAACATTCATTTGCCTCCTTCATAGACCAATACAGTATTGAATTGCTATGACAGTTATATACAGAAGCATTTTTTCAGAGAGTCTAACAAATTAATGGACATGGAAGCAGTACTTTACTAAAGAGGTTTTACGGCAGGTATACCTTGTCAAAGGAAAACAACTGATGATGGATTCCACTTTCCAGCAGGTCCCAGCGGCGGTTGGCAAGTGAAAACGAGAAGTTATTGCTCGACGTAGGAAACTCAACTCTCTAACACAAGGATGAAACGTCAGAAACATTAAGAAGATGGCTTTGGAACAGTGGAAATGTGGAGAGTTATACCTTAGGATGTCCAAATTCATTTCCCATGAAGTTGAGGTAAGCACGGCCACCAATCGTAAAAGTAATCAGTCTAATCATCTGGTTCAAGTAATGACAAGAAAAAAGCTTTCAGAATTAAAGTGAATAAAAAAAGCATGAATAAGAGATATAAAGCAAGAAACCGAGGGCAGAGAAAATTTGAGGCAACAAAATAGTACAGTGAAGACAGAAGGCGGTAATAGATAGTCTTCCAGAATTCATCTTTTTCACTTTTCAACGCAAAATTCAGAGTAGCATTCAATCTCATTCTACAGTTGTGTTCTCACCACGAACTAAGAGGTATGCTAATTTTGGGAAGTTGTGTGTGAAGGAGTAGAAGATATCTAAAGAAATGGGTACCTTATGTAGTGAAGCTCCCCTGTCTAGCAATTCTCTTCCTCCAGGAGCACCATTTTTGACTCCACCAAGCAAGATTTCTGCAAATGAACGCCCTCCTGATATTGACTGGTGGAAAAGTAGAATAAATAACAATGGCAATGCAACCTAAAAGAGTAATATATGTAGATATCAAAAAGCTTTAGACATCTAAAGTTAGAAAGTAAAATACTTGGTTGTGACTTTCGGCATAGCTGAGCATCTTGTCTGCATACTCTTTGTTAGCCACCAATGTGCTGACAATCTGCGGCATTGGCTAAACATCAGAGAACGGGACCCAAGTTTTGTTCTGTCATATCAACGAGGAAACTTAAAAGATATGACCTTGCTCATGCTCCACTCATTATCCGGTACGCTGTCAAGGAGAGAAACCCACATGTCTGTCGCAGAAAGGTTCACATAATAATCAAATCCAAGTCCACCTTGAGAAACTGGCTCACACAAACCAGGGTAATATGTTGCCTGATAGCAAAAGGAAACTTTCGTAAGTTCTACATAGTGATTAGTAAAACCCAGATGATGTGTAACTTGTTGACAAAAAAAAAGAGAATGATGACTTACATCCTCAGCGATTGTTATTATATTTGGATGTAGAACGTGCATGATTTCATTGGCCAACATGAGGTACATCAAGGCATCACGGTCAACATACTGATTGCAATAGCTGCAACAGAACAGACGTCAACAGTTTGAACAATTGTCACCAAAATCCAAATTACACAAAGAAGCGTAGCATCTAAAGAATATAGATGTCTTACTCGTCGAAACCGCTGTTAAAAGGAGCAAAACCATTGTGCGTGTAGATCATCGAGGCAAGCGAGTGAAATTGGTAACCATCCACTTGATACTCTGTAATCCACCTACAAAAGCGCATAACAACAGCATCAGATTCCTAAACCAAAGAAGTGCAAGACACTTTTCTACTAGACCAAAAGAGTGAGTACACCTAATACATTATCCACAAACCACACAACATTAACAATGTAGATGCCTTTACCAGTTCAAATTTGAAATGAGAAAATGAAGAACATCCAAGTCACCATATTTGAACATCCGTGTGCCCCAGTGTTTGTGATGTCCCCTTTTACCTATTTTCAAGATGGAAAAATGGATCATGGTGTTGTAAGACACGCTCATATTCAACTATATCGGACATAATTGAGACTTACTAAAGGTTATCAACAGACATTGGTTGTATAAGAAAATTATGTTGCTTACTTTCCAGTTACAAAGCCATGACTCGATCAACACATTAAAATAAAGGTTGCAAGAACTCTGTTGGTACACCCAAAGGCATGAAAACAAATCAAAGTAAATTGCTATTAAGGGAAATTACCGTGATGAAAATAGCAATCATTTGAACCATCAAACAGGGAGAGCCCAACCATTTGATCAGCTGCTGCATAAGAATGCACGATGTCCAAGAAGACAAGAAGTCCTAGGCCTGTATGTAGATTAATTCAGATTTACCATGTGCTTCATCAACCACATGTTTGACTCAAAGGTTCTACAACATCAATAAGAGAAGAGACGCAAGAAATACTTACCATGTGCTTCATCAATCAAGCGTTTGAAGTCATCTGGCGTTCCATATCGGCTACTGGCAGCAAAGAAATTAGTAACCTGAAATGGTGATAATGCATACATAAGAAAACTGAAGATAAAAACTAGCACTGTAAATAACAAGGATAGAATTAGAGTTAATAAAAGATAATGTTAAAGCGAAAGGAAGTTTAGCTTGCTCACCCTATAACCAACAGTAAAATAATCCTTGTGCTCAGGGATACCAATCAACTGGATTGCATTGTATCCTGCTCTTTTCACATGAGGAAGGACCTAATGTTTCATAAGCCACAGAAAGACTAAGATGTATGCATAATAAGATTGCAAGTAAGAACATAATGGATGCATTAGGAGGTACCTTATTGGTAAATTCTTCGAAAGATGAAATTTTTGGCTCAGACCCACTGATGCCAACATGACATTCGTATATGCGCAAGGACTTCGGTTTGTCTGGCTTTGAGTTTTTCCACTTATACGCAGATTCAGGAGACGGTTCCCAGTGAATTGCGTAAGCTTGCTTTCCCTCGTCCTCTGTTTTAGAGATCAGTGAATTAAATGCTTGATATTTTCTCAAGGGAGAATCGTAAATAATACATAAACCATGGAAACATTAACATAACAGCAGATGCTATCATACCTGGTTCCACATATGTAGCCCAAGCAGGCACACGTTCAAGCGGTCCATCAGGAGTATTGAAATACAATCTATACTTGCTTCCATGTGGAACAGCTGGAATGTATTTTTGCAACCACGCCTTTCTTCCTTTACGTGTCTCTAACCAATATGGAATCGGAGGTGCTTTCTCAGAAAACTTCTTTGCCCATTCTGGAGATGTCACGACATTGAAAATATCATATGGCTTTCCATGGCCTTTATCAATGATGTCGCATGGAGGTAGATTGCTTGGTGGATCGTTTTTATGCTCCTCTTTGTGCTGTTTATATCTCGTTTCTGCATCTGGGATATCTCCTAGCTCTTCTAATGTCTGTGGACCGTTCGGACCAAACAGCTGCTCGTACAGCTTTGCAGGAACCTCATACCTGTTTTTGATAAACCTGTCCTCACCAGGTTCCCAGTACTCATCGTTGGCTTTCTGGAAGATCTCTTCGGCTGATACGCCACTGTCACCTTTATCATAGTCGTCGACATAGTTGTACTGCTGAAAGTATAGTTCGTCTGGTTCTTCGCCTTCCCTTAACTTGTCTTCAAGGATAATGAACCAATAACCATAATCGTCATGGCCACATAGTCCTTCTCTGGCGGAATTTTCTGTTGGGGACCATCCGTTGAAGTTTCCGATTATAGCACCGTAGCGAGCACCTGGATTTGGTGTAAGTATTGAAAGTTAAAAGAAGAAAGAACCAAAATGGAAGTAAAGAAACTGAGCAATGAGATTCTAAGACTTGAGAACGAGAGACAGAACCTGGACCCCAGTCCATGAAATCAACCCTGTGTTCCATATGTCGATGCATCCCAAGTAACTCAAATCTACACGGGAAAGAATGCAAATTCATTAGACAAAACCAGTTTGCTAATACGAACTTGCGAAGTGTGTCTCTTCCTCGTGGAAGAAACATACCCTGAAGCAAAATCTTTGAGATTGAAGTGTCGTTTGAGGATCTCATCTTTAAGGTCTTTCAAAGCTTTATGCCTACAGGTTCAACAAAGGAACACGCTTATATAGATAACAGTAGCAAAGAGAGTGTTTACAAAATTTCGAAATTTTACTAATCAACGGCAGTGTAAAACAAAATTCGACAACTTTAAGATGAGAATTTGCGTAGAGATATAACAGGAAATAGAAGATTTCCCAAAAAGAAATGCAACAAATTCAAACTCTTTCAGATCAAAATGAGCTTTTTTTTTGTTTTTTTTACCTTTCTCGGAGAAATTGAGCGAAGATTCTGTCAGCAATTCCGAGTTTTGTGAGAAACCCAACAGGGTCGACTCCAGCGTCGGCGTCGCTTTTGCTCTGACTCTGACTCTGGCTCTTCTTTTTCTGCTTCTGCTGCCGTGGTTGGTCGGCGGCGAAGCAAGTGAATGTCACCTTGGTTTTCCTCGGAAAATTGATTCCCGCAATTCCCAGGCGCCTCCTCTCGGAAACGAAATGGTTGTTTGGGTAGAAAACGAATCTGCATTGATTAGAGAGGGAAACCATTTTTGTTGGTGCCAGAGCAGAGAGATGAACCAGGGTTTTAGTCCTTTTTTAAAGATAAGAGGTTTTTGAGTCAAACTGAGAACGAGTTCACTCACCACCGTTCCGACATTTTGTTGGAATTAGAAATCGAATCAAACCGAACGGAATTAAAAACCGGTTCAGTATTAAACCGATTGATCAGAACTTTCTACATGGGCTAGAAAAACAGAAAGGCTTCTAACACCCTTTATTTGTGTAATGTGTGTTTTGTTAACGGAACCCACTTTTCGAATTGTTGGGTCGAATTTAATCGTAACTATACAGTCCCATGCAGTCGCAAAGTAATATATCGTCCGAGATTTGTGTTCTCAACAGTGATATTTCTCTTTCTTTTTTTTTTTTTAACTCAAGACAAATTTAAAATGAGACACTTTCTTTTAGTGATCGTTAACAGATTTACAGATTTATCAGTGTGGCTTTTAAGCAGCTGTTTTGCTCTTCTTTACGGCAATCTCCAAGTTTCTTCTTGTCATTTGAAGCTCTCTTGTGTAGTAATGCATTCTGTCTATCACCATTGCCAAGAACAACACAGTCCCTTTTTGTCACACAAGATTCAAAAGAAAGCAGTCAAGAACATTTAAAGAAAACACAAAAATGGTGTTTTATGTTATTTTTATTATTACTTACCCATGAGGAAAGCTTCGAGGAGGCGATTCGCAAACATGACTTGATCAGTCGAGTTAGCTACAGCGCCAGACTCGGAGAGCCTTGTGTTGATCTGGATCGTGCTGAACAGAACCGAGCCAAACAACACAAGCATAGTGGCTGCAACCGTCTTTGTAACCAGTGGTCCTCGACCTTGCTTGAACAAGTCTAGCAATTTCACCACAGCTCTTCTCACTGGAGTCCCAAACCCGAGTGTTATAATAAGAGCGGCTTCTATTGAGACGACCGTGAATAAAAGCTGAAACATCTCTATAAACATCTTTTTAGTTACATAGATATAAGTTTAGAATGGATCAAATGCAAAATGGTTTTAAGTTGTTATAAATGCGTTGAAAGAAAACCTGTTGATGAGCCAAACAAAAAAAAAGAATATGAAGTTGCTTGATTCAATGGATATGGATAATGTAGAACTAAAGCCTTTGGAATCGAATGAAATCATATACTTTGTGTGCGGTCCTCAAGAAAATGATCATATGCTTTGTGTGCTCACCAGAAAATGATCGGGTGTAGTTTTGTAATATAATCTTTTGTCACCTGAAAATATTCAATCTTACAATTAATTTTACTAACAACCAAAACAAACTTTGTAAATGTCTCGAACTTTTGGAAGATTTTTTTGCTAATTCACCACAGTACAAAAAGCTAAATTTTGAATTAACAAGTACACAAAAATATACATTTTTGTTGAATGTTTCTGGCATCCCATAAGACTATTATTCAAATAACATATCGAATGTGACTTGATCAAAAAAAATTAATTATTCCTCAAATATTTGTCCCAATGGCGAATATTATACAAGGATTTTTATTTGGAAAACGCAAATTTATTAATGCAACTGATTTCCGTTTAAGCTATATTTTAAAAACACTTATTTGAACATTCAAGCAATGGGCTGTTTATAGATTCGATCGATAGATACATGACATTGACAATTTATCTGTGTTATAGTGTTGATCCGGTCACCTTCATGCTCTTCTCTTCATAAATCTTATGATATCTTATATATGCGCATGCAGCGCATCAACTTCTTGTTTACCAATTTTATTATATATAAATTATGAACAAAGGCACAAGTATTTGTAAGATAACTTCTTCTTTTTTCTTGGTAGTGTAAAGATCTACTCTATAGTCTCTAGCTAGATAAACAAAAAATATAATTTTTGGGTGTAAATTGACCTACAAATTATGAAGAATAAGATGTTACATATATAATTCAAGTTGCAAATATCAGCTAAAAATAAATTATACCAACATCATAAATGTGTTACTAGGCAAAAGCGAAACAGTTTCATACTATTATTGAGGTTATAAACAAAACTAAATGTCTGTCTATGTACAATGTGGACTCCATGTCTGGCACATGACGTACAGATGAAACTAAATTTGCATTAGTCGTATCTTTCTAATTCTGTCTTTCCTTTTTGTTCCAAAATAAAACAGGAAAAAAAGCCCTACAAAGAGTATGGATAAACACATACGCAATGGTTTGTATTAGAATACAAACTAATTCATTAACTATTAATGAATGAAATAATACTTCAATTACCATTTGATGAAGTCATGTAGACCATAAATGAGAAACACATTATTCGTCAAACTCTTATTTGTCTGGGTTTTTTTTTATTTTATCTTTGACAACTGTCAATGCCTTCATTTTATATTTGTTTTATCGAAAGACCCAGCTAAAAGTATCGAAGTAGTTTTCAAATCTCGGTCATTACGAAACTTCAAAACTCGGGTTGTTTTTGACTTTGTTTATACAAATTTTCTGACATTTTGTCGTCTCTCATTTTTAGTCCACAATTAATGGAATTAGTCCAAGAAAATCTCTAACTTTCTCCTTGATTTCTCGTTTCTTCGAAGAAAAAAACTCTATTTTCTCTCTCACTCTTTGTCTTTCTCAGACTGATATCAGCAATGGGAAAAGAACCACTGCTTCAGAAAGTGGGGATTCAAGAAGACATTGAGTCAGATAAGAGGATTTGTGTCAACGATGGAGACGCTGACGGCCCCGTCACTTTTGTTTTACTCTTGACAACCTTCACTGCTCTCTGGGGCATGTTCTCTTATGGCACTGCCGTAATTTTCTTCATCTTCACTTTTTGTGTTTTTTTCTCTCGTGCTAATTAGGTTAAAACACCGAGTAGGGAAAAAATTCTAGAATTAACGTAAACTAATTGTTTTGGGATATATATGGCTTACAGTTAAGTAGGTTAACTGATTCCATTTATGTCTTAATCTGTTGATTTGGTTATGTCTTACGGTTAAGTAGGGTTGCTATCAAATGATCAATCAATTACTTTTTGGAAGATTGTATACAAATGTTTTTTGGTTTCTATTTCTCTTGAAAGGTCAACTTCGATAGAATGATTTATCAGTTAAATGAAATTTCGCTTTCGCGAAAAGTGACATATTTATGAATAATTCCACTTTTTTTGTTTGGTAAAATGTTAAATGATTCCACATTTTTTGTTTTGCTTTTATTTATTTTTGGCCAGTCCGGCTATACATCACCAGCTCAAACCGGGATTATGGAAGGTTTAAATCTCTCGTTAACGGAGGTTAGTGTTGAATTGTTGATTTTTTTTGTCGTCGACTCGTGTAGTTATATGTTATCTAATACAAACATATTATTTCTTATAAACGAATGCATTTTTTCAAAAAAAAACCTATTAAACCTAACACATACAAAAGAAACACAAGAAAATGCCACCTTTTCCCAGATAACTGTGGAATACGTCGTACGCAGTATGACGTATCTTGTATTATTTTTTTCCCAGCAAATACGTATCTTCCAATAATTATAATACGAAAATATTACATGGTCCAGTCGTTCTTATACATTATTTTATCATAGTTTAGGATTTCTACTCAAAAAGTTAAAATTACATGTTATTGTCATAGTTTTGCTAAATTTGGTAGCCTTCTTATTTAATGTCTTATTATAAATAGATTTTCTTAGGTTGCATGAAAAAAGGGTAATCAAAATCATTGTTCCTTCATGACATGGATGCAGTTCTCATTCTTTGGGTCCGTATTAACAATTGGTGGACTTGTGGGAGCCGCGATGTCGGGAAGATTAGCCGATCTTTTTGGTCGGAGAGGCGTAAGCTCATTTATTCATTTTCTTTAAACTAGTTATTCTCATGCCTAAATTTACAGTTTCATTACGTTATTCGTTACATTTTTTATTTCTCATTCGTTACATTCTTTTCTCATATTCCAAGAAAAACTGATGTGTTAATGATTAATGCGCAGGCTTTGTGGATTTCAAACTCATTTTGCATGTCTGGCTGGCTTATGATCGCCTTCTCTCAGGTTTCTAAAGATCAGTCAAAATTTCTTAATTTTCTTATATAGGGTAATTATTAGAGTGTGAGATTATCAAGAAACCGGTTTATACTAAACCATGTAGGTAGTTTTAATTAGGTGAATGCAAACGAGGTAAGCTCTGAGTATATAACGATGTAACCAAGGTAATTACATGGTTTTAGTATAAATCGATTTCTTGATAATCTCACTCTCTTATAGTATTTTGTCTCATAGTATGTATGTATTTTAACCCGTCGAATGTCGATAAACTCCAGTTTGGACTTTCACGCCTAACATTAATTAATGTAGGCAAAAAATAAACTCTTTCAATGAATCAAATCAAAAGTTTAGACTAATACTTAATTAAGTACGTACTGTACATCTAATAAATGGTGTTTATACTATAATTTTAGGCGACTTGGTCCCTTAATATCGGTAGATTTTTTCTCGGAGTGGCATCTGGCGTAACTTCTTACGTGGTACGTAATTTAAGATATCGACTGATACAGTACTACTCAGGGTTTAATTACCTTTAAGCAACCAATGATTAAGTTAAGTATTAACTCTAAATACAAACATAATCTCAATCTACAGGTACCTGTCTACATTGTAGAAATCGCACCCAAAAGAATCAGGGGCGCGTTCTCTGCGGTTAGCTCGGTAATAATATACCGTAAAACAAAAACAAAACGAAATAATATATTATTTTTGTTATTGTAATATCTTTTTTTCTTCTTACAGCTCGTGATGTGTGCTAGCATCTCCGTCACATTCCTCGTTGGATCAGTCATTTCGTGGCAGAAATTAGCTCTCTTAAGTAATAACATTAATTTTGGAATGCATCTACTAAAACTGATATAAATATTTTAATTAAATTTTAACACCATATTCTTGTGATTTAACTGTAGTAATCATGTCGATGCAATTTTTTTTTTTTTTTTTTTTTTTGTCATTTGTGATTTTGCAGGTACGGTTCCTTGTATTTTAGAATTCATCGGTTTGTTCTTTATACCGGAGTCTCCTAGGTGGCTGGTAATTAATTCGTTATGTAGCTATTGATTAGATTAACATGTACAAATTATATTATAAGAACTAGTTACAAGTAAAATACTCAATATTTAACAGTTTGCTATTTTGTAATTTATAGTCTAGAAATGGTCGGGTAAAAGAGTCCGAAGCTGCACTCCAACGTCTACGAGGAAACAACACTGATATAAGCAAAGAGGCTGCAGGAATCAAAGTAAACATATAATTTAATATTTACATTCAATTAGTACACATTTTAATAAATTTGATTATTTTTTTTCAGAAATATATGGAACATCTTAAAGAATTCAAAGAAGATGGTTTTTTTGAGCTCTTCAAGCCTCGATATTCTCGTGCTGTTACCGTAAGAATTTGATTAAAATTGTAGATTTTTAAATAAAAACGTGTTATTGACTGCATTATATATGTTTAGGTGGGAATGGGACTGTTAGTACTACAACAACTGGGAGGTCTCAGTGGCTATACATTTTACTTGAGCTCGATTTTCCACAAAGCCGGTATACTTTAAAGTTTAAGTCTCTTACTAATTAAATAAGAATTATATTGTATAAAAGTAATATAAATATATAGTTTTTTTTTTTGAACTTTTATAAATATATATAGTTTTCAAAGAGGAAATTAATCTAGAATCTAATTGTTTCACAGGGTTTCCTAACAACGTAGGAGTAATGATAGCGACTGTGGTGCAATCCACGATGAGCGTTTTCGGATTAGTAATCGTGGATAAATATGGGAGACGACCCCTTTTAATGGTCATAGCTTATTTTAAATCTTTTTAGCTAATGAAACTATATATAATATAGTCGACAACTAAGAAAGTAATGTCCTTTCTGTTTATGTGAATTACTTATTTGCAGGTTGCGACGGGCATGATGGGTTTGGGGTCATTAATCACAGGATTCTCGTTTTTGTTTCAGGTTTTGTTTTTTAATATACAAAAATTAATTATATTAATAAAATATATATATTTAATCTATAATTGAAGCAACTAAAACAAATTTGCAGAGCTATGATTACCTCCACAATTACACCCCCATTTCAACATTCATTGGAGTGTTGGTACGTAATAAATTCCTTCTGCCTAAAAAAATATTACTTACTTAAATAATTTTACTGTCAACTATATACTTCTTAATATAATATACCAACTCTTCGACAGACAAAAAACAAATAATTACCGAATATTATTACAGGTGTTTCTAACTTCAATCACAATTGGAATAGGAGGTATTCCATGGGTCATGGTCTCTGAGGTAATCGTTGTTTTCAGTATGATCGTAACTAGATGAATAGTTAGTGAATATAGTTTTGTTTTAATACACACAACAACAATATATGGTATATCATTGAATCAATTCTCAAAAATATAAAAACAAATTTGATGACTGATATCCAGTTATATGTTAAATGAATCATGCGACAAAACTTAGAGAATTCATTAATGTTTTTGTAATAGAATAATAAAAAGGTTGCAATTTTAATATAGTTTAAATTATCTATATATAAACTAACCAGCCGTTTTTATATACAAATTAATTTCTATGTTTTTTTTTTTTTAATTTTGTTGTGGGATAATTAGATGACACCGATAAATATAAAGGGGTCATCCGGGACGCTGTGCAATCTAACGAGCTGGTCCTCTAATTGGTTTGTTTCTTACACATTCAACTTCCTTTTCCAGTGGAGCTCTTCTGGTAATTCACTTCATTTTTAACAAATTAAATAAATCTATTTATTAAGCATTTGATCAGCTGAATAACTTGTTGGTACTTTCAACGTAGGTGTGTTTTTCATATATTCAATGATATCGGGTGTGGGCATCCTATTCGTGATGAAAATGGTACCAGAGACTCGAGGTCGTTCCCTCGAAGAAATTCAAGCTGACATTACCCGATAATTTACTTTATAACGATAATTTACTTTGAAAACATTTAATGGTTTTTTTTGTTTGGTATCCAAATTCCTATAACTTTATATAAGTCTCACTTATCAATCAAATATCCATAACTTGCACATTAACCACTAAAAGATTGGTTCGTATTCATATTTGTAAGGTTGATTGTATTGAAGTTAAACTTGATTTTGGGTTAAGCTTAATTTTGGGTTTATAAAATAATTATTAGTTATTAGATTAGGCCCAAAATTAAGCTCAAGTTCTAGAATCTCTAGAAACATCACTAAAAATCATCATCTTTCTTAAATGTTCTAGAGAATTCTATTAGTTAAATATCTAGATAATTCTATAGATAATTCTAGATGTTGTAGTTAAAATTCTAGATATTATTGTAGAAAATTCTAGAGATTAGGAGAATGTTTGTAAGATATTTTGTAATAAGTGGAGCCTATAAATAGCCCACTACTCCATCATTTGTAAACAAGAGAAGTTGAACAAATAAAGAAAGAGTGTTCTTCATAAGTTCTCTTATTCTCTCTAAAGTTCCTTCAAGTTTTCTCTAAGTATTCTTTCATCTTATTATTCATACTTAGAGGGTCTTTGTTTCTTTCGGATCTCTCGGGTATTACGGTCTTGGGCTAGTGCTTGGCACTATCGGTGTTTTCTTTATATGGTATCAGAGCCATTCTGATCTGGTTCTTTTTCAAGATCGGATTAATTGAGATCTCAGATTTACTCTAAGTATGGAGTCAATGGGCCGCGTTGTTGGGTTGGGAATGGAGATTCTAAACCAATCCAATTACCGGTTATGGAAGTCATGCATGGAGTCATACTTGGTGAGTGAGGACTTATGGGATGTCGTCGGCGGCAGTAGCACAACACCACCAAGGGGAGCTGCTGCGACAGCGGAAGCGACAAAGGAGTGGACACGGAAGAATGCCAAGGCGGAGTTTGCATTGAAGAGGTCAATATCCTCGGGAGTCTTTGAGCATGTCTCAAGTTGCACATCCGCTAGTTCCATTTGGCAGGCGTTAGATCAGTTGTTCAACAAGAAGAATGAAGCTCGGCTACAACTGTTAGAGAACGAGTTGGCGAATGCAAAGCAGGGGGAGTCTTCAATCTCAGAGTTTTTCATCAAGGTAAAGAATCTTCGCTCAGAGATTAATACTCTAAATCCGGAGGAGTCAATTTCCGAAGCACGTTTAAAACGGTATATTATTCGAGGTCTACGACCTGAGTATACACCGTTTGTGACTTCAGTTCAAGGATGGGCTACACAACCTTCCTTGGAGGAGTTCGAGAACCTGCTAGCTTCGCAAGAGTCATTAGCTACGCAAATGGCAGGAGTCAAAATCCATGATGACTCGGGGAGCGCCTTTGTAGCTCGGAAGCAACACAACTTCAAAGCCAAATCCAAATACGATGGTGCAAAGAACATCGATGGACCGGAAGGATCTTCTACTGGAGATAAGAAGCGATTCAAGTGCTACCGGTGTGGAAAGCTTGGGCACTTCAAAAAGGATTGTCGAGTCAAGCTGAAGGAGACAAATATGGCAGAATCAAAAGGTCATATTGAAGACGAAGAATGGGGGAAATGCTTCACGGTGGAGGCTGCATCTTCAGGTATATCCACAACTAAAAATCTTGAAAATGATTGGATTGTGGATTCGGGTTGTAGCCACCATATTACCGGAGACGAGAAGCTATTTTCTAGTCTTCAGCGCCATGATGGAAAAGAAGCCATAATTACCGCGGATTATTCAGTTCACCGGGTCGAGAAGGAAGGGACTGTTGTCATTGAAGGAGAAGATGGAAGCCCTATCACCCTCAAGAATGTATACCATGTCCCTGGAGTAAAGAAGAATCTTCTCTCTGTGGTGAATGCAGTAGACTCAGGTAACTACGTTTTATTTGGCCCAAGAGACGTCAAATTCTTGAAGAATATTAAAGAGTTAAAGGCGGATGTGGTTCACACCGGATCGCGGGTTAAGGATCTATATGTCTTATCTGCGTCCAACTCATACGTGGAGAAGATGAGTACAAACGACAATGCCTCTATATGGCATGCTCGGCTTGGTCATATAAACATGACTAAGCTAAAGGTTATGGTGAATAAGGAGTTGGTAAATGGGCTTCCGAAGCTGAAGATCCAAGATGAAGGAAAGCTTTGTGAAGGTTGTCAATATGGAAAATCACATAGATTTCCATTTGACAATTCTACTTCACGGTGCAGTGCTCTGTTGGAGAGGATCCATAGTGATTTGATGGGTCCTACAAGAACACCCTCATATTCCGGGTTTCGGTACATGTTGTTGTTCATTGATGACTTCTCACGGCACACTTGGGTATACTTTGTGAAGGAAAAATCAGAAGTATTCTCCAAATTTCAAGAATTCAAGGTTACCGTGAAAGGGGAGCTGGGTCGGAGAATCAAGACCTTAAGGACAGATAATGGAGGGGAGTTCATGTCCAAGGAGTTTCTCTCTTTTTGTCAAAAGCATGGAATAAAGAGAGAGTTTACTTGTCCGTATACACCTCAACAAAATGGAGTAGCGGAAAGGAAGATTCGACATCTAACTGAGACGTGCAGAAGCTGGCTATATGGGAAGGTTCTGCCTAAAGCCTTGTGGGCGGAAGGCATGAGATGCGCAGTGTACGTCATAAATCGGATGCCACTCAGCCCAAATAACATGAAGTCTCCGTATGAGATGATTCATGGGAAGAAGCCGTCAGTGAAACATCTCAGGATATTTGGATCAGTCTGCTACGTCCATGTGTTTGATTCTCAAAGAACCAAGTTGGAGGCAAAGGCGAAGAAGTGCATCTTCGTTGGCTATGACGAACAAAGAAAAGGGTGGAGGTGTATGGATCCAGAGACACACAGGTACGTAGTGTCTCGAGATGTTGTTTTTGATGAAGTTTCCTCATTCTATGGGCCACCTCAAGTTTTAGTTGAGGAAGAAGGTGGGAGTTCCTCCAAGAGTGATAAACCAGCTCTGAGTAAGGAAAAAGGTCCTGAAGAAGAGATGCAAGGTGAAAGGGGGAGCACTGATCAAGAGGAGGATGAGGAGGAACATCATGGTTCCACGGCTAGTCAAAGGCCTAAAAGGGACATCATTAAACCTGCTCGGTTCAGAGATCCAAAGTTTGTTACTACCTTCTCGTGCTACTTTGCAGCTCCATTAGATGAAGATGAGCCAACATCTTATGATGAAGCAAAAGGTGTTGACGAGTGGGAAAACGCAATGAAGGAGGAGATGAATGCTCTCATGAAGAACGAAACTTGGGATTTGGTTCCAAAACCCAAGAATGCCCAACCTGTTTCTTGTAAATGGGTGTACCGGATCAAGCGCAAAACAGATGGAAGCGTTGATAGATTCAAAGCAAGGTTGGTTGCTCGGGGATTCTCTCAAAAGTATGGAGAAGACTATGATGAGACCTTCAGCCCTGTAGCCAAGATGACTACGCCACTTGGTTTTATATCACGAGAGCATCCTGATTATGTGTGTAAGCTGAAGAAGGCCTTGTATGGGTTAAAACAAGCTCCACGAGCCTGGTATGGAAAGCTTGCTCAGTTTCTTCAGTTCTGCGGTTATATGGCATCAAACTCTGATCCGAGTCTATTCTTCAAGAAGAATGGAGGAGTCCACGTGGTAGTTCTCCTTTACGTGGATGATATGATAATTACCGGGAATGATGATGCAGAAATTACTCGTTTACAAGAGGATATGTCGATAAGGTTTGAGATGAAGAAGTTGGGAGAGCTCAACAACTTTCTCGGTTTGGAGGTGGAAAGGGTAAAGGGTGGAATATTCATCGGCCAACAAAGCTATGCAAGAAGAATCGTTGAGAAGTTTGGAGTACACGAAGGAAAGACACGCTCTACTCCAATGGATGTCAACATAAAGCTTAAACGCGATGAAGGGTCCTTACTACCTGATCCTCGGCCTTATCGCTCTCTTGTAGGAAGTCTTTTATACTTAACCATTACAAGACCTGACATTGCCTTCGCGGTAGGTCTTGTAAGTCGGTTTATGCAGGCACCAAGGAAGCCACATCTAGAAGCGGCAAAGAAGATATTGAAGTATGTGAAGACAACTCTTGGCATGGGTCTGGTGTACAAGTATAATGCCAAGGTCTCTCTTTATGGCTTCACGGATGCTGACTTTGGTGGAGATCTTGATGATCGGAAATCAACTTCAGGCTATGTTTTCCTATGTGGGAACACAAGTGTCTCATGGTGCAGTAAGAAGCAAGCAACGGTGTCGTTATCTACAACTGAAGCAGAGTATAAAGCGTCAACTCTAGCAGCTCAAGAGTGTATTTGGCTTCAGAGACTCCTTGAAGATCTGTTCGAGCCAATCAATAAGCCAATTGCAATTTATGGAGATAATCAAAGTGCGATCAAGCTGGCTAATAATCCGGTGTTCCATGGGAGGACTAAACACATTGAGTTAGAGCATCACTTCATAAAAGAGAAGGTGCTTGATGGGACAATTGAAGCTTTGGAAGTTCGAAGCGAGGACAACGTTGCGGATATCTTCACCAAGTCATTACCAAAAGGTCAGTTCGAGTTACTTCGCTCGAAGCTCGGGATGACTGACAAAATCAAGTTTAAAGGGGAGTATTGAAGTTAAACTTGATTTTGGGTTAAGCTTAATTTTGGGTTTATAAAATAATTATTAGTTATTAGATTAGGCCCAAAATTAAGCTCAAGTTCTAGAATCTCTAGAAACATCACTAAAAATCATCATCTTTCTTAAATGTTCTAGAGAATTCTATTAGTTAAATATCTAGATAATTCTATAAATAATTCTAGATGTTGTAGTTAAAATTCTAGATACTATTGTAGAAAATTCTAGAGATTAGGAGAATGTTTGTAAGATATTTTGTAATAAGTGGAGCCTATAAATAGCCCACTACTCCATCATTTGTAAACAAGAGAAGTTGAACAAATAAAGAAAGAGTGTTCTTCATAAGTTCTCTTATTCTCTCTAAAGTTCCTTCAAGTTTTCTCTAAGTATTCTTTCATCTTATTATTCATACTTAGAAGGTCTTTGTTTCTTTCGGATCTCTCGGGTATTACGGTCTTGGGCTAGTGCTTGGCACTATCGATGTTTTCTTTACAGATTGGTTTAAGTTTTGCCCCTAGAATACATTACAAGGTAAAGGTTATCAACAGTAGCGGACCTATCAA